TGTAATGCAATGCATGTGAAGTTTTATTATATTTCTCCAGAAAGAAAAGTAAACCGGGATCACATTTCCTTGTTCCAGTGTCTCATTAGCCTTTCCCTTCCTTGAGGTATCACATATTTGGATCATGTCCATTATTGTGTGTTTCCTTTCCAGTTTGTTATTACTGACATCACAATGAAGGTTTCCATAGCTGAGTAAATTTGGCTGGATTCACACATGGTCTTACAGAAAGCAGACCGATCGAAATCGATGGGACTTGATTTCAGTAGGGATTGTACAACCTGGGATGCGTTTACTCAGAAGTGAGTCCCCCTGTGTTGAGAAACACAGACACAGAGCGAGCCAGAAGGGGTCTCCCGGGCCATCTAGTCTGACCCCTGGCTCCAGCCAGCTCTTCTCATGACATGCCCACCATGTGCAGGCCCAGCCTATCCTTGACCACCCGCACCGATGGGGCCTCAACCACCTCTTGGGGAAGCCCATTCCATATAGGAACATAGAATGAACCTGCCGCCTGATGTGGGGTTCGAACCCACAACCCTGAGCTTAAGCGTATCCTGCTCTACCAACTGAGCTAGCCAGGCTGATATAGGTAAATGTGTGTGGGAATATAGCCCTTAGCTATGCCCCCCTTCTCAAACACGCCCAGGCCACTCTGGTGCCATCCTCTGAAACAGGGGTGCTGAAACCTTTCCAGCCCCGAGTCCAGTTCCATCTGGGAGATGCTCCTGGGCTCTGCCTTCCTGAAGTGGCAGAAGGGATGGAGCCAAGCTGTTCAGCAACTGCTAGGAAATCCCTTGCTGCCAGCATCTAAGCCTTGCAGGACCTTAGCCACGTTTCTCAGATTTGCCAGGTCAATTCGGCTTTCTACTCAAGGCTGCTTTGCCATCTGCAAAATTCCACACAGAAAGCTCTTCCAAGGGGGAATTAACATCCCATCTTCATACGGATGCGTGCAGGATCTTTTTTCATGAGGGACAGATGCAGCAGCTGCTCGCGAAAGGGCCAGGATTGGATCCCAGCCTCTCTCTGGACAGGACCGGGAATGTTTCCTGGAAGCTGCTTCTGGGTGCAGACCTGTTAGGATCTGAGGCAGCAACACAGCGCCCCCTGGTGATGTGGTCAAAAAGGGCAGCATGGCACACCCCCAAAGGGCACGCCTTCCCGAGCAGAAGCACCCTTACTGCTTGCAGGGATGGGAGCCTATGTGATCAGGAGGTGCAGCTGGAGCTCTGGAAGGCTCTGGAAGAGGCTTCCACGTCCACGTCTGACCCCAGCGATGCAGGGCTGCTTTGGGCTGGCTGGGGTACATTTCCGGTCCTGCCTCTTGGGGTAAGTTGGGTACCCCAGCTTGGCTGGGGTAAGTTTCTGGTCTTGCCTCTAGTTTTGCCTTGACTCCTCCTGCCCTTGTGTCTACCTGGCTTCTGGACTGGCCCTGCCCTGCCCTGCCCTGCTGCCACTTCTGAGCTGCCCTGCCTCGCCGGCTTCTGACCTCGCTTGCTCCTGCCTGTGCCCCTGCGGCCTCAGCGCCAAGCCTTCCACCATCCCCAGCCGCGGAGCTCCAGCCACAGATGCCTGCTGCCTGCCTCACAGGCCTGCATCTCAGGAACCTCTTGCATCCCAAGGACTGGATCCGGTTCTGAAGGCTCTCTGGGGGGCCGCGTTCCAAATGCACTGGAGCAGAAGGCAAAGCGGGGGGCCAAGCACTAGCTTGTTTTGCGAGCTGCTACGGTGTGGAGGCGACAGCGCTGGACGGAGACTCAAGAGACCCAAATTCACGTCCCTGCTCAGCCATGAGGGTCACTCCAGACCAGTCCCTGACTCTCTGCCTCACAGGGTTGTTGTTCTGAGGATAGCATAGAAAGAAGAACTGCGGAAGCTGGCTCAGGACATTGCACGAGGATTTAAATATAATCTCACGGGAAAGCTTCCAAGTATTGCTTGACCCTCTCACTGCCGATAACTACACTTTAGGTGAAGTATTCCAACATTTTGGGATGGAGGGATTGCATGAAACCACCCAGTGGTGCTCGAGGGATAATGGGAAGGGAACAGAGCAGATCCCAAAGGGGAAGGCTGGGGAGGAAGGTGGGCTGAGCTTCCATGCCCATTTTAAGACAGTTGCCAGATGTAACTGCAAAGCTGCATGCTACCATTGCCTTGAAAAACGCTGCCATTTCCTTGGGTGCAATGCAAAACGGAAAGCGTGAATGGAGCTTGCCTGCCCACACCTTCTTCTCATGAGTCGCCCTCCTGCCCTCAGGCTTCTGGGCAGGAAAGGACCTCCATGTAGCCCCCTTAGAAGCACAACCTTCTTGCCTATCCATTATTATTTGGGAATATGTCATTCTTATTGGGAATTAAAATATTGTTATTACTGGGAGCTCAATTATTCTTCATCCACCTTGGGAAAAGTGGCTCATGAAGTGATGTGTCACTTTGAATTTAAAAGCATTTAGATGTGATGGAGGGTTGATCCCCCCCCCCCCCCCCCAAATTACAGATGAACGCGGAACTGGAACAGAAGAGTGGGAAGGAGAGGACAAATGCAGAAGCGGCACCAGCCAGAAATAAGATCCGTTCAGCCAAGCTTACATGTCGCTCAGAGTGGGCTGCCAATAGACAGATGCACACAGATGTGTCTGTACGAAGAAGCCACGGGGTGGTGACTGCAGGGTTGGACCGGGGCTTGGGGGATCCAGGTCCTAGTTCCCATCCAGTCATGAAGCTTTAGGCCAGTGTCTGACACTCAGCTTGACCTACCTCTCAAGGTTGTTGTGAGCATGCAATGGGGGGGGCATGCAAGTTGTCTTGGGGTCTTTGCAGGAGGAAAAAAGATGGGATATGAAACCTAACAGAAAGATGGCAAGGTTTACATATACGGTGCCACCACGCGTGAGCTGCTGGAAAAACCCGCTCTGCACCCCCTGCAGCTGGTCCCTCCACTGGTCATATTACGCCACTTCATGGCAAGCATTTGCCCAACCACGTCTCCTCAGAGTAAGACCCACTGAATCCCCAGGTCAGTGGGCATAGGACTGAAGCCTCAGGACAGGTAAATGTTTGAGCTGCGGCAGGACGGGGGAGGCCAAAGCAGAAGGTCCATTTTGCTTTCCTGAACGTCTAGCTCCCGTGCAGCTGAATGTCAGGAGGGCTTCCCGAAGGAGGGCTTCCCGAAGCTCGGGAGGGCTTCCCGAAGAATGCAAAATGCATTGCAGATTTAATGCCAGCAGAGGATGCTCCATGAATGGCTTCTTCTCCCTCCCCGATCCTTTTAATACACACAAGTCCACTTGGGCTGCAAGGAAGCAGCACGTCGCAAGCATTGGCGGAAGGCCTTCTGCTGGTAGGAACAGTGGCTTCAGACGGAACCTTAACTAACCCTGCTAACAGGACACGCAGGAACGGGGGAATAACGCGTAGGCGGCCCACACGCTTCCGTCCACCTCTGCCCAGCTGCCAAGTTTCATGCAGACTCCGTGCTGCCTTCCATCCCACAGACTAGCATGCGCTCACTCCGCCCGCACCATCCTCCACTTCCCCTGAAGCGGGACCGCTGCGCCATCCTGGGCATGACATGGGGGGCTTGCAAGAGACCCAGGCCAGGAAGCCCGGGGCGAGCGCTACCACCTCCGTGAGGAAGAGCTGGACTCCACTCCCCCCACCCAGCCGGAAGCCCGGCGTGCCATGCAGTGCAAGTCGGAAGGGGCCTGCCAGGGTGGATGCCTGGGCCTGTCCTGGTCACCCATCGGGCGGCAGGCCTGGGCCTTTCCACGCAGCAAAGGGGGCTCGACACGTAAAGCTGTGCCGGGTGACGGCACAGGCACCTGACGGATCCCAAGGAGCTCAGATTTCTGGGAACACTTTCACAGCACCAGAACCTCTGGGCCGCTCAGAGCAGCTTGCTTCTAACATTCCAGGTCATGTCCTCGACTTGCAAAGGTCCGGAGCCCGCCCTGCTCCCAGTGGCAGAACAGGGGTCTCCTTCCGCTCATTGCATCCCCATGCGCCTGCACCAGCGGCAAAGCCCGCTAGCCAATCCACGTTGGCTTTCCAGGGTCCGTTCGAACCAGGAACGGAATCCGTGCAACTGGACTCGGGGCGCACACGCCAGGCGTCCCCGGTGAGGGTCTGCTGCCCCAAATGCCCCCTGCAGAGTGGGGTTCCATGCCTCCCCCGCACCCCCAGGACGGCGTCCAGGCCCAGCCGCTCCCAGAGGCTGCACCAGTACCCGACACCCCCTCCCCCCTCGCTTGTGTGAGCGCAAACTGAGGACTGCGTCTTCGGCACATGCGGTTCAGGCAGTTTCAGGACACGCTCGTTTAAGACTGAAAAGGACCATTAAAATGGAACGCTTCCAAGCCCGTTCCGGGGGCAAATTCACGCTTGATGCATGGCACTGTCCTCCTTATTAGATGGATGACAGATCAAGTGGTATGTTTAAAAAATTAAGTCCTACATTGTTCTGTGCAGCACGGTTCAGGTTGCTAAGTAACGATGGTATTCCGATCTGCCATCATTTGCACAATAAAGGTCTTAAAAAACAACAAAATTAATAACCAACGATACCATGTCTTACACGGCCAACAAACAAATGTGCTTATCAGACGTGACAAGACGTCTATGTCACCAGCTCAACAAGAGTAGATCTTCACGTACAGGTGCAAACTTTACAAACAAACGACCAAAAACACAACACACAGTTTGATTAAGTTTTGCCATTTCAGTGATAAGCCTGGACCAGACTGTACCACTCCTGATTGTGGCCCAGAGGTCCACACAATGGAATGCTCCATTATATATAAAAGGGGGGTTCACAAAACAATTCCTGCTTCCAATGGAGTAACATCTTAGGGAGAAGGCTAAAATATATATTTTTTCCTCCTGGCACCTGGTATTCCTTCATAAGGGGCTTTTGTGGAACGGAAAGCCCATTAAGCAGAATGACACAAAGAGCAGCAAAGTTCACAGCTAAAAAATGAAAACACAATTACACAGGCTGGGAGGAAAAATCAAACTTTATTGATCCGTGCTCTTGCAAAACCGAAAGGAGCAACAGTGTAAGACGGTCCTCCGACAAAAAGGCTCACCGAACGGAAGCTGTTCAGGGCGAGGCCCAGTTGGGTCAGTCCCATAAAATGGCAGTGGCACTCCTGCGACCCCACAGCAAATTCATGCCCGGGGGGAGCTGCTCCCGCGTAGGGGCTCCAAGACGGACAGGTGCCTTGGCGCAGTTCCGGGAGTCAGTTCTGCCCGGCTGCTCTGCAGGTCAAAAAGGCCACGACTCGGCACTGCCGGCGGCCCTCTCCGGGCCTCACGTCCGCCTCGTCTTCTGTTTTTTGGCTTGCCTCTTCACGTCCTCGGGGCTGCCCCCGTCGGAGCCCGCGTGCCCGAGCGCACGCACCCCCTGGAGGCGGCTGGTCAGCTGCAGCAGCAAGGGGATCAGCTGGGGGAGCAGAAAGTCGCACGGATGTCAGTGGGGCAGGAGGACACCCCTCGCAGCAGCAAAGGGGTGGGCTGGGGCGAAGGTCAGCTGCCCGGCACTACATTCTGGGGACCGCTCCTCTCCTCCGCTCACACCCTCTCTCACCCTGTCCCCATCGTCTGACAACACCAAGCCAGACCCTGGAACTAGCTATTTTTACTTGTCCGTTAGATTCCTATCCCGCCTTTTTCTTACAAAGAACTCAAAGCAGCTTGCGACATTCTCCTCCTCCTGTTCTCAGCCTTATCCCCACAACAACACCCCTGTAAGGTAGGCTGGGTGGAGAGTCTGTGATTGGCCCCAAGCCACCCAGTTGGCTCCATGGCCAAGTGGGGACCAGAACCCAGGCCTGGCTGCATCCACTCCCGGCATTCTCACCACCATTCAATCGGAGAATGCACTGAATGCGCTCCAGGTCCCCTTTAGCTGCACTTTATCTGCTCTCCCTGTGGCCGCACTGGAATGCCCGACCGCACTTCAGCAAAGCAGCACCCGACTGTTGCATGAATGCGGGAAAACGAAGATGGCATTACTTTATCGTGATTGTAGCCGGCCAGGAGAAGCAGCAGCGTCAACGGCAAGGCGATGTAAGATCCCTGAGCGATATCCTGTTCAGTCATTTTTCTCTGCAAAACAGCCAGGAGAAGACACCGCTTAGCCCTGCTGCCCCACCGGTACCCGGGCAAGGCCTCTGCGCGATTGCAGAGCCCCGGTCAAGGCCTGCTCAGGGAAGACAAGGAGCGGGGATGTGGGGGCAGGATGCTGCCGGTGGTCCTGGTGGGGGAGGCGGCGGAGTGGTCCTGGACAAACGCCCACGGCCTGCCTCCCCCCAGCTGCTTTCTCTGCCACTTCTCCCCCCTCCATCCCGGCGACTTGCTTTGCTCGTTTATCAAGCAGCCACAGTAAACGCAGCGGGGGGGGGGGATGGCTTCCATTTCCCCCTTTCCCTAAAAATATTCTGCACAGCTTGTCTGGGCTGCTGGCTCTGACGTGCCTGGCAGCCTCGGTAAAAGCTCTGGGAAAGAAAAGCAGGGAAACAGAGCCGTTTGCTCACTTCCTCCTCCGCCCCCTTAAGCCCTTGATCTGCTTCCCCCAGCCAGCAGTGGAAGCAGCTGATGGAGGCCGTGATGCAGCTGGTGGGGGGGGGGATCCTGCACCCCTACAGACGACCACAGTGGCGCACCATTTTAAATCCAGGTATTTCCCCCACTGGGAACGGGCGGCAGCAGCCTGGCCCCACAGCTGGGAGGGCAACGGGGCAATGAGGGCACTGGGGCAGGAAGAAGGCCGGGGGTGTTCCTACAACCGTGACACCACGAGCGGCCACGGCGGCAGAGCACCGCGGCCTGCGGTGGGGCAGCGCTGGAACCCAGCCACCTCATCTCAGTCTGCTTCTCGGTCTCGTTTTCGGGAGCCGCCCTGCATGGGCAGCCCGTGTGCTGTGCCCAGTGAGTGAGAGATGGGGGCCCCCTCCCCACCACAGGCCCTCGCATGGCCAGTGAGCGGGGGGCCGTACCAGCCGCCTCCACACGTGCCGCTTCCGGTCCACCTTGAAGCGAAAGGTGGCGCAGCCCCTCTTAGTTTACGATTTATATCCTGCCTTTTTCCTACAAAGAGCTCAAGGCAGCTTACATCTCCTCCTCCATCTTATCCCCACAACAACAACCCTGTGAGGCAGGTTGAGCTGAGAGTCTGTGACTGGCCCAGAGTCACCCAGTTGGCTCCATGGCTGAGCAGGGACTCGAACCCAGATCCTCTGAGTCCCAGTCCCACGCTCTTCACCACTGCACCACACTGGCTCTTACTCTCGCCATGTATGTGAGAAAGCGCATGGAGCACAAGAGGGGGAAACGCTCCAGGCGCTGCAAGTGGCCACTGAAGGCACAGCAGTAAAAGCATTCCCAGAGAGGTGCCCAAGCAGTGGGGTCTTCCAAAACGGAGAATGAGGCTCAGTCGAGCAAGCGAGGAAAACAGACTCAGAAGCAAGAGTCCCCAGGTGGATTTCCTGGCCGTTCCCAGAGGGTGGGCTCACCGTAGGCTGGAAAAACAACACAATGTGTTTCTGGTACCCGACGGTGGAGAACGAAACTTGAGGCGGAGTGTAGTCATACTGGGATTTGGAGAGAGTGGAGTCCAAAAGTACCACGTAATTCTGCCGGGAAAAGGACAAGAAGCTGGTGGGATGCAAGAAGCTGCTACGAACGGAGACTCAACCAAGGCTGCTCCCTCCCGGACTGCGTGGCTCAGCCAGTCTTTGGCTACAGAAGGCCAACGCAGCCTGCCCACGCCGGCACCAGGCCTCCTTGCACTGCCACACGAGCCCTGGCAGGACGCGCTCGCACATCGTAACCGGCCCAGCTGGCAAGGAGGAACTTTCAGGCCAGTGGCCAGAGGGCTACTGCAACGGGGACAGGTCCTTCCATTCTTCTTCCATGGCCAGACTTGAAAACAAGGGAAAAGCCAATCCTCCTTTGGCTAGTAAAAAGCTGAAGGGGGGTGGGAATAAAAACAGGCAGGCTGGCCTCTTTTGCAGCTGCCACAGAAGGCAGAGGAGAAGGCGGGCTTGCCTTGCTCAGCCTCAACCCAGCAGGGAAGGCGCAAAAGCTGCACCGCTCACTGTGCATCTTGCACTGTAACAGCGCATCCTAGTCTGTCAATCTGCTGCTGTACGGAGAGAGGGCGGGAAATCGACCGTCCCAATTCCATGCGGGCTGGTGGTGATCAGTGGCCAGCAAAGACTTCAGGTCCTGTTCCAGCTGGTCATACCATTGCCCACACGCTGCTACTGGGCCCAGTCCGGCCTTCCCAGCATCAGTCTTCTATCGCGATTAAGAACAACTGAACTCCAGGAGTTTCCTTGCAGGGTTGGGCAGTATCTCCAGGCACCTGAGAGGGCCTTCCTGGCGCTGGCGCTCCCGGTCTGCTCTTGCAGCCTGTCCTGGCATGCGAGCGGTGCCCCGAAGGGAGGCAGATGGGCATCCCCCCCCCACCCTCCGTGGCCCTCTGCTCCTGTGGATTGTTCCGAGGAGGAGGGGACGAGCCAGGGGTGTGGGAGAGAGCGAGGGGATGACTGAGGTTATGTCCCAAAGCCCCTTTTGTGTTTCCAAAACTGCCAGAGCCAGCCAGCCAGACGCACACGCGGGGAAGCAGCGCGTACCTCTCCGTCCCGGGGCAGTGGAGGGAAATGGAAGAAGGAAGACTGGCCTAAGGAGACGGTGTGAACCGGGTTGTCAAGGTTTTCGCTTTTGTAAAGCTTCGCCTGCGAGGGGAAAAAGCACAGAAACAAACCAGACCCCCAGTATGGTTAACAGAGGCAGAACAGAGCTGTAATCTCCTGCTCCCTCCTCAGTCTAGTCTTTCCCAGAGGAAAGGGGAATGAAGCCAGGAAGGGAAAGGCCATGTTGCAAATTGTGGTGTTCTTGTCGTTCATTTTGCAGGAGCTACGGCAAAGCTTCAGACACGGGTGTGGACGGCTTCCACCTCCCAGGCCACGCCTGGCTCTCCCCTTGCGTACACCCTCCCAAAATCCATCCACCCCTTGTGCCTTGCGTCCTCTGAGCCTTTTATTTGCTTCACACATTCATAAGTCACCTTTCTGGTGCTTGAGATGATAAAGAAATCAGGTTAAAAACAGTCACACTCAAAATGCCACAAATTTAGAGGAGCAAAGCAGAAACTTTCTGTTCTATAACGTTAAAATGAAAACCAGAGCAGCATGAAACGCAACGAACTGTTATCTTCGGCTGTGCATACTCAATGCACCACAGTTGGCACATACGTTCCACACCAGGAGCTGCACAATGGGTTGCCAAGATGTAATACACAAGCCTTTACACAACTGGCTGGACAAGCAAAATGCGCTGTCTCGTGTGTTGGCAAATCTTTACTTTGTTGGCACAAGGAGAACATAGAAATGAAATAATAGGAAAAGGAATGATTTAGCTGGAGCCTTCTCTTGCACAATTTGGTTTCCACTGACCATTTGCACTAATGCAATGATACATCTGGAGATTTCCCCTGGAGATGGAGGGTGACACCACAGGAAAGGCCCCGTTCTGGGTCTCCCACAAGCCTGGCCCCTTTTTGAGGTGGGTCATACAACGGGGAATCTAGCGACAACTACAGAAGACAGGAGGCAGCTCAAGCACCCCAGCTTCTCTTCCTCCCCAGGGCTAAATTCTTATATCCTGGCACATCTCTTCAAAGCTTAATTAACTCCAGGGGCTGGAGGTTGCAGCCACAGGGATAAATTCCTCCCCTTTGCTACAGAGCTCGCCTTCCATGCAAAAGTCAAGATCTCAGGCAATCATTTGCAACTTTGCTTACAGACAACACCCAAGCAACCTAAGCCAACGTCTTCCAGTTTCCAGCAAGGGTTTCGGAGCAGCAGGCTCGGCACACATTCCTTCTGGATGGCGCATAGGATCACAGAACAGTGGAGTTGGAAGGGACCATAGAGACCATCTAGTCCAAACCCCTGCTGTTGCGGGACACCAATTTACACCATCCCACTCAGAGGGCTGTCCAGTTTCACCTTGAATGTCTCTACTGTGGGAGAGCCCAGCACCTCTCTAGCCAGCTGGTTCCACTGTCATATTGTTCTGACAGTGAGGAAACTTTTCCTAATATCGAGCCTGAATCTTGGTTGCCGCAACTTGAACTGATTATTCCATGTCCTACACCCTGCTATCAGCAAGGAGAGATCTTGGCCTTCCTCTTTGTGACAGCCTTTGAGGCACTTATAAAGATATATCACATCCCCCCTCAGTCTTCTCTTCTCAAGGCTGAACATGCCCAGTTCTCTCAGCCTCTCCTCAAGGGCAGTGTGTTCCAACCCCTGGATCACTTTTTCTTGCCCTCCTCTGGGCACTTTCCCATTTTTCCGCAACTTTCTTAAATCTTGGTGCCCAGAACTGGACGCAGGGCTACAGATGCCAATGGCCTGCAAGTCCATTCTACAAGGCAGGGTGGCCAGATGGGGTATCTGCATCTCCTGGGAGATCTTCTGGTGATCTGATATGGGTCCACAAGAACTCCTGCCTCCAACCTTTCTATGGGACAAAGTGTTCCAGGACGTGACTTCCACAGAAGAATCAGAATGCTCCACGATGAAAGAAAGTGGACTTTGGGGTCAAAGGACAGTAAGCTCAGCGTCCTCTGGAACGCACAAGGAAATCTTCCGTTCAGAGCTGTCTTTCCTCTGCCCTCGCATGCCACTGCAGCAGGTGCTGGAGGGCAAACACGGATCCCAGAGCCAAGCGCTGCCTGAGCCTGCTGCAACACTAGGGGCCCGCCTGCAGCCCTCCGGAGCCTGTTAGGCAACTAGGGGCTGATGGGAGTTGTGATCTAGGAACATCGTGAAGGTCATGCAACGCCCATCTCAGTCACGGGACTCAAGCTGAGCAACCATCCGCTGTACCAGCACTACAGGCACTCAACCACTCAATGAACTCAGTTCCTCCAATGAAATCCCTACACACACACACACACACACACACACACAGTGGAGGAGACCTGGGGAGGACTGAAATTGCGCACACTTACCCACAGGGTGGGGATATACTCCGAGGAAGTGAACACGTTGCCGCTTAGGTCAAACTGGTTAATTTGTCGGAATGCGATGATATTCACCCCTTCAATGTCACTGCTGCTAACCTGCAAGATGGAAAAACGCAGGGCCTCAGCGCTGGGCAGGCGGAGGATGCTATTCAGGCCGGCTCCCTCGGCAGTCAGCGCGGAGGGCCACGCCGCGTCACAAGCGCCGGGTGGGGGGGTGCCCTCCTTCGCTCTCCGTGCTGCCCCGCCTCCTGCTGGAATGCAGACCCCCATTCATTCCAGGTCGGGGCATGTGAACCGTGAGAGGGAAGAATGTCTGCCTACCTGCCCCCCTCCCCCCGGGACTCCAAGCTCTGTCATCCCCGGCTGGAATGGGCCAGGGTCAAAGACTGGAAGCAGAAAACATCTGGAAGGCAAAAGGCTGGGGAAGCAGGGCCTGGGCTCACTTGCAATTCCTGGGGGAAGGAAATGGGGAGGCGAAGAATTAGCCGGCAGCCCATTTGCCCCGGCTGCACAGCATATAAAATGCGTCCCTGTCGCCGTTTATAAGGATATTATATATTATTAATTGTCATAATATAGGAACTAAAATGGAGGCATTATTGGTCTCCTGGGTGGTGGGGGCACTGTAGTATTTCCTTTTTTATTCATTAGTTGGGCTTTTGTGTGTTATATTATTGATATTGTGATGTTTGTATTTATGGTTTTTTTCTGTGTTTAAAAAACATTAAAAAGGAGGGGGGGAAATAAGAACCAATTGGGAAGCAAAGACAATCTATTGTGTGCAGTGGGCAGGCGGGAGACACCCCCACCCCCCGCATGCCCTGGACTACAAATGCCCTTACCACTGACTATGCTGAGTGGGGATTATGGGGCTTGTAATTCAAGATTCATGGAGGGCACTGCAGGCCTGGCTCTCCTTTCTCTGCAGTGGACTAAAGCCTCTTCCAGCATTTATGAGACTGTGGCCATAAACCCCTGTTTATGGAGTGTGCTGGCCCAAGATGCAGAAAGCCGAGGGGCAAAGGGCAGCTTCTGCAGAAGGGAACGGCCTGTTCCAACTTCCGACGCGTTTCACAGGCCGGAAATGCTTGATCAGGCTGAGGAGATGAGCAAGCGCAAGCACACAACGCTGCCCCGGAGAAGTTCCATGCTCCACTGGGCTTAATGCAAGGTTGTCGGGCCATAAAGAGGAGGGAAAGGGCCACAGATCATTGCTGGTCAGGAGGCCCGCACAGACGCAAACGGGGTGGAGAGGGGCAGCCGACTTGTTCAGAGGGTGGGTCACCGTCTGCAGCTGGAGAGGCTAAAGGGCTCAGGAGCGGGCACAGGAGGAGAGGAAGGCCTAAAGGGGGACGCAGAGCACAAGAGGGGACACAGCAGCTCCCACAACTCCCACGCACACGCTTTTCCCCAGGCCAAGTGCATTCGCTTTATTCCCCACCTGCAGGGATGCCAAGGCAGCTCCCTTGCACTGCCTCTGTTCCGTTTCATCCTCACAACCACCCTGAGGAGGAGGCCAGGCTGGGAGTGGCTCATCCCGCGTTCCCCACTGAGCTGCAGGGCTGAGGGAGGACTAGAACGGCATCTCCCACATCCCGGTCCACACTCCAGCCGCTCCACCACGTCGGGCGGCCCGCCGGCCTTCCCCCTTCCGTCCCAGCACCGATCTTCCCGCTCCTCCGAGCCACGGCAGGCCCTCCGCTCAGCCGCTTCCAATGCACCGAAATCCTCCTCAGAGGCCAGCGCTCCAGCCAGGACGCCGCACTCTGGATGGGGTCTGACCAGAGCAGAACAAACGAAGGGGCCCGTTCGAAAGGCAGACCGCCCCACTTGTTGGTTGCGGTTCAGTTCTCCATTCCTTTAAGAACATTTGAACAGCTACACCCATCTTCTGAGATGCTCACTATTCCTCTGAAATGCAGGTGAGGCATCCCATCAGCCACGGCTCAATTGACAGACCTTGGATGGGTCCTGCCAGGGCATTTCTTAGCCTCTTCCTGACCATCTCATGCCAAGCCCATAAACATGGTGGTAGCACGGACATAAAACATGGGATTCCCTTTGTCGTTTTCCCTACCAGGTGCACAGCAAAGCGCTTTCCACATCACCTACAAAGCCCTCAGCGGCTTGGGACTTGGCTATCCAAAGGAGCGCTTGCGTCCATATCTGCCCTCCCGCCCCCTGAGATCGGCGGCAGAGGCCCTCTTCCAGGAACCCTCTGTGAAGGATATTAGGAGGCAGAGCACCCGGAGGAGGGCCTTCTCTGCGGTGGCCCCCAACCTATGGAATGCGCTCCCCAGAGAGGTCCGCCTGGTGCCCTCGTTATTTGTTTTTCGGCGCCAGGCCAAGACCTTTTTATTTAAAAGTTATTTTAATTGTTAATTTGACTATTTATTGGGTTTTATATTGTGCCAAGATGTCTCCAAATTCTTAAGGTTAATAGTGTGTATTGTGTCTGTTTTGTAAGCCGCCCCGAGGCTCTTTGCGAATGGGGCAGCATAGAAATGTTTTAAATAAATAAAAATAAAATGTGTTTTAAAAACAAACACTTGTTATCCAGCAGGAAGGCAGCTGAGAGAGACTTGAGAGGACACCCACACGCAGAGACCAAAATTCTGTCAAGCACAGAAATGCTCGAGTGCCCCTAAAATAGCTCTCTGGATTGCAGCCAGCGTCCTCAGTCCAAAAGAGCCTCAACATCACTTTTACATACAGCATTTTGTAAGGAAAAGCCCGACTCCTTTCAGCAGGCAGTTCCTCCAACAACTGGCCGCCTCCCACATTATTTTGTTGATACATACAAGTTCTGAGCATTAATCAGCGATTAATAACATTAATCATCATTACTTAATTACCCTGGGCAAGGACTAGTAATAGCTGCATTTAAAACAAGGCTTGGGAACTCACTTAACTCGTTATTTAAACCCTCTGATAGCTTTTATTTGCAAAAGTGCAACAATATTGCCTTGAACAAAATCCTAAGCTAATTGATTTTCCCTCTGGGGTGTTCTCCAAGTCAGGGCATCCTCTTTAGCAGCATTCACAACCTAGTAAATCAGGCATTTAATTCAGATAAAGGTCTACCTTGATTGCCGAATGCTGAGGAAGGGCTCTCTCGATATGAGCATTGCCTTCAGGTTTCAGCTGGACGTGATACACACAGGAAGGCTTAAAAAAAAAGGAAAACGGGGAGTTAATTTACACAATGCACATTAAAGATAACTTGGTTTGAAATGCTTATTGGCGATCAACAGTGGAACTAGTTGCCTAGAGAGGCCAGGGGCTCTCCCACACTAGAGACATCCAAAAAGAAACCGGGCAGCCCTCTGAGTGGGATGGTGTGACGTGGCGTCCCACCACAGCAGGGGTTGGACCCGATGGCCTTCACGGCCCCTTCCAACTCTCCTATTTGATGATTCTAGGAGCAACAAGGCTCCTTCAGCAATCCATTCTGCACGTCACATGAGCGCTCACCCACAAAGCAGAGTCCCCCCACACTTCCCAGGGGTTCACTCCCCCAGCACCTCTCAGGTAGGAGAGTGAGGAAGGGTCGCCTGTCTGAATGAAGGCTCCAGTCCTCCCTTGCCAGGGCAGAGGCAATGCACGGGCCCGGCTCATCGGGGCTGGAACCTGCCTCCCCTCACTGGAGACCTGGGCCTACGAGGCACGCTCTGCCCCACCAGCCGGCTGCCCACGGGCACTTGCTGAATAAAGGCCGAGAAGCACGGCTTCCAGGGCTGGCCATGAGCCGGGTGCACCTTGCAGGCGTCCCCACGGCCCATTTCGAACAGGTGGAAACGCCGCCCGTAGCAACTTGCAGCCAGAGCTTGAAGTGAAACGGCACTGCCATCTTTGGCCTGGAAGCCTCCGACTCCAGCATCTCCGCTCCCGGAGGTGGGCCCCAGGGGTTTCTCCAAAACGGGACATGTTCCTTGGGCTGAAAGCGGCCCAGAGTCTCCCGCTCACCCCACCTCCGCATCATGATTTCCCCGTTCCAGGCAGGCACTCCCACACAAAGCCCACCACTCGCCTTCGGGTCCTCACCAGCAGCCCACGCAGCCTGAACTTGCCCTCTTCGTCGGTGACGGTGTCTTCGCCATAAATGCTGCATTCTCCTTGTCCCACAGCTTCCACCGAAACGCCTTGCTCGGGTTCGCCGTTCAAAGAAGAAACGGTTCCATAACAGCTGGAGAAAAGGAGCGAGAAAGCACTCACTGAATGCCCTTCAGCTCATTCCAGCAGGGGGCAGAGGGGGATGAGGATGAGATGCAGAGCCATTCCACCAACCTTGACGAACAGTCACTGGCTTTATTTTCCTCTACCCTCCCCATCCCTTCTTCCCTTTGTGCAGAGCCCTTTTTAGATTTCCAACAGATCCGTTTTTAAGCACGCAAGCTGCTCCCAGAGACTTCACCTCCAAGGAGCCAGATGACGATGTTTTCAACAAAAGCGTACATTTTCGGGTGCCTGCGATCTTTCTTTAGAGGGGCAATCACACACTGACTGACCTGTAAGCTGTCCTGTAACCAGCAATGGTGATTTTCAGATTCTGTCCTTCCTGCACTTCGATCATTTGGGACGAGGGTTTGAAGCGAAACTCCTTCATCATGGGCTTGAAGTAATACTGCCCTGGGCTCTGTGAAGGAGCATCAGACAAGCGGCTGCATTACTTGAACTCTGCTTGCTCATGTCTACCGTGCTTGCTCAGGAGTTGGAAGGGCCACGGCCGAGCCATGGGCCCCGAGTTCTGCACACAGAAGGGCACTTTCCCGTCCTGCCCCATCAAATCCATATTAGCAGCCCCAGCCAAGAGGAACTGGGAAAGACCCCAAGCCTGGAGCACCGCTGCCTTTGAAAGCCCGCCGTCCTGGGCTAGACAGTCTACCAGCCCAAAACGAAATCGTCACCGCAGGCGTCGTGTCAGGGGCTGCAGACATTCGGCCCTGGGGGACGTTCAGCTCTTCCAGGGACTGGGCCCAGATGGCTACGGCCCTTCTCCTCATCGGAATCCCTTTCCCCAACCTGAAGGATCTGGCAGCTCCCCATCTCTTGCCCAACTCTTTCCTGCATTCTGCGAAGAGGAAATGCTTCCCCCAACACTTTCTGCCAGGGTTGCACAAGTAGGAAGGTTCCTTATGGACTCCCAGAGGCCCCTTTCCAGAAGGATACGCAGTGCCAGCTCCCCTGCCATCCACCATGACCTGGGGCAGGCAATTCGGATGCTTCGGATGAGAACTCCCCTCTTCCCTACAACCAGCTGTGCTGGCCGGGGCTGCAACCCGACCAACAGAGGCACCCGCCTTGCTAGATTTTGCCTAATCAGGTGGCAGCCTTTCTCTAGGGTCTGAGACAGACCTTTCACTCACTCCACCGGAGAGGGCTGGGCAGTCTGCCAGCTAAGCTGCGGTCTCCCAGGTACGGTCTGAAGGCAAGTGAGGCAGCTGGCTCACTGCAGCTAGGCAGGTCTGGCTCTGGTTAACGCTTGGAGGGGCAACCCCCCTGGAACCACACTCGGCCACCCTCCGTTCCACAGTGGAAGAAAGGTGGGATAGAAATGCACTGCATGTGCTGCAGAGTTAGATTTGACCTCTGAAGTTGCTTTATATGGTAGGCAAACCATGGTTCTAATGCACCTAGTGTGGTCTTTGCTGCAGGGTGAGTACATTTTGGACTCATGGAATGCCAGTTTGTTTGCTTTTTCCCCTGCTCCGGTTCAACTGCAAAGTCGTGCCCAACCCTTCATGACCCCATGGACAACACTCCTCCAGGCCCTCCTGTTCTCCACCATCCCCCTAAGCTCACACTTCCGTGACTCCATCCAGCCACCTCATCCTCTGCCGTCCCCTTCTCCTTTTGCCTTCAATCATTCCCATCTTCCTCCAGTGAGTCCTTCCTTTTCATTAGGTGGCCAAAGTATTTGAGCTTCAGCTTTTTACTAGAACGGCCAAATCCACTCACCAACTGTGTAAGAATGCACACACTCACACTCCCAGAATTAAGCAGATTCTGAGCCTGGGCATCTGTCGTGAGCACCTAAGCTCAACAAGCTTCCCACTCCTATGACATGAAAAGCCACTCCTGATTGTGCCAAGCATTCTTCACTCCAGCCAAAACCTGCGGCACCTTAAAGACGAGCAGGTTTATCACGGCACCAACTTTCATGGCCTACAGTCTATTTCATCAGATCCACGAAATGCATTCATGAGTTCCGTGCAGATACAGACACGGTTGGGGAGATGGAAGGGGCTAAACACTCAGGACGGAGGAACTGAAAAGCAGGAAGTACAGACGGCAACAATTACTTCAACACGGATCTTTCACAAAACAGTTACCCAGTGATGTTTACAAGTATACACTGGGCCCAGCCAGGGAAACACACGGACCTCGGGATTCTGTATGTATCCATCTACTCTTTCTTCAGAGCCTTAGTGATTCCACTTCCCTGCCAAAAATACTCCCAGGAGCAGCTTACATGCAATCAGTAAAACAAGAAAATCCCTACCCAGAGACTTACAATCTAAAAAGGCACAACACAAAAAGGAAAAAGGAAGAGAAGGGATTAAAAATTAGCGAGTGCTTCAGCAGGGCCAAGAGAAAGGCTTGCCTCTCCCTCTCACTTGCTTCTGTACATTCTGGTGTGCGTGACCCTTGCGGAGAAACATTTCACGCATCTAATGAAGTGAACTAACACTTATGGCATAATGGATCTGCTAAGTCTTTTAGGTGCCACAAAACTCATCCATGTTTTTGCCAAAACTCTCTTAACATGACAACCCCACTGGAAATTTATTTTTTAGCTGCAGAAACTGGGGCAGGAGAATCATTTTGTCACTGTTTTCTAAACAAACGGGAGAGATAGCATTTCAAATCATGCAGGGGTCTCCCACTAGACCCCCATCGACCTTCTGCCCACCCCAGTCAGTTCTGACGAACCGCTGCTCCCCAGTAATTCCCCCTCCCGCCCCCAGACCTGCCCCCAAGGGCAGGCACCGATCTCAACACCATACCAGGTTGGAGAACGTCAGCATGCCGTTGTCTTGAGTCAGGAGGTTGGAGCGGAACACCCCTCCACTCAGGGAGAGGAGGACCCCCGCAAGGGGGTGGCCATCTTCAGATTTAATCTGTTTAAAATGAAGAGCAATGTATCACCATCCCGTGTGCCAGGCACTTTAATCAAGCCAACCAAGAAAGCAACATCGGTTCCATGTAATGCAGCATCTCAAACCAAGGTTCTACCCAGTTCTACATTTCTGGCAACAACTGCAGTAACCAGCAAATAGTTCAGAGGGCTCTGGGCAGCAACTGCGCAACTTCTGCTCAAATTAATTTTTGTTTTCCTCTGGCAACCAGGATTGCAATCCTGGTGGGCTCTTCCTTCACTGGAGGACTTCAGGCAGAGGTGGAGATTGACCTCATGCTGGAAGCCCCGGCTCTGATTGTCCTGCCTTGGGCAGGGGAATGAACTAAAGGACAGCCCTCCAAGGCACTTTCTGATTCTACGATCCTATGGACTGACTTGCCCATGCAGGAGAGCAAAAACCAGATTCCTACAATGGAGAAGAACTTCATGCTGCCTGCTAAAGTTCCAATGGCCAAATTACGTGCTAGTTTGGATTTAAAACGAAAATAAAAACATTGTGCTCCATCGGGGAGTCTGCTCACAGCTTGGGACAGAGGCACAAACTACCATGGCCAATCAGTGCTCATCTAAGTGAGAACGTCAGGGCCCTGGGCAGCGCCACATGCAGCGGCCGGGGCAGCTCGGCTCCGGTTCAGCACCCTGGCCAGCATTCCTGCCCCACCGGAAGAGACGCTGCTCCACCACCAGCCTGGGCAACTGCCAGGGATTTGCACCTGGTCCAGAGAACCATCCGGGGAACTCCAACTGCTCCGCCACTGCTTCTGGCTTTCCTGACGGTCTAAAGCCGTTTCCAGTGGTTGCCAGCTCCTTCAGGGACCAAGAGGAGTGCTGGCTAAGTGGTCTCCAGGCACTTTGCTAACGGAGCGCCTCTTCCCTATCAACCTACCCGGCCCCTTACACCTGCTTCTGGGGTCCTTCTGAGGGAGCCCCCTCGTTAGGAGATAAGGATGGTGGCTACAAGAAGGAGGGCCTGTTAGGAAATGGTGCCCCGACTATGGAATGAGCTCCCAAGAGAGGCTCACCGGGCGCCATCTTTGCATTCTTTTTGGCACGGAAGACATGTCATGTCATGTCATGTCATGTCAAAGGCATGCCATGAGTGGTCCACTGGAGCTGGGGGTCAGACTAGATGGCCCGGGAGACCCGTTCTGACTCGCTCTGTCTCTATGTTTCCATGTTTTATTCCACCAGTATATTAATTGTTAAACTGGTTTTAATGCTACTTGAATAGAAGAGGATCAGCATTTTATGCAATCTGGAATTCTGATGGGTACGCGTCTATCGTTGTTTTATTGTCATGTTAATCTTTGAGATGTTTTTATTGTACTGTTTTATACCATTCGGTATGGTTTCACTCTTGTAACCCGTCCAGGGAGCCATGTGGCTATTGGGGCAGGTTAGAAATTAAATAAATAAATACGGGGTCCAAGGTCCCCTTTCGCAGAGCCGGACAGCAGCCCTACTTCCCTGGGGATCATAGCTTGGATGGTCTGGCACCAAGACACCCAGTTTCAGCCACTTCATTAACATGGACTTCCTGACTTGCTTGTGCGAGGCGTACAGCAAGTGGCAACGCCACACAGGGAGTGCGCCTGTGTTGTCTTCAGACAAGTAAAGATCCACCAAGGCCAGAGACGGATTCATGTTTTGGGAGGCAGCAGGAAAACCCATGCCCTTCCTTGAAAGTAATTAATGGCAGTGTCTGTCCTTTGAGCTTCTTGACCGAAATCTCCGCCGTTCACTGTCTCTCTCGTATTAACGTTCGCCCTGAACGCTCCAGAGGAAAAGCACGAAGGAGAGCGAGGGGAAAAGTTACCTCGAAAGTGACTCCAGCAAGAGCAAAAGCTTTGAAGTCCCCGATCGTCCCTTCCACGGCACTCAAAACAAAGCCTTCCTTTTGGGCAGTCACGGTGTACTCAAGGTCGCTGTGCAGTGGCCCCACACTTCCGGAAAAACACGAGAAACAGCATTCACTGCCAGCTCAGAGGCATCCTCCTACAGGCCTCACCAGCGAATAACCGCACGGCGTTAACATTCAAGCACCGAGCCCAGCTGAAAATTTGCTACGGGGGAACACACCGCCATTCCTACAACAGCACCCGATGCCTCATAAAACCCGAGGGTCACGGACGGCCGCCCCAGCACCCATCTGCATCTCGGCCTGCTCAGGTATCATCGCTGGTCCCCCATCCATCCCCCAGTGCCTCATTCAGGGGCAAATCCCAGGGACCCACCATCCCCCTGGTACGTGCCATCACAACCGCTCTGGTCCCTTCCGACCCAGTCCACGGGAACGGACCACGACACCTTACCTGTAGGAACCTCTGTCGTCTGTGAAAACAGTGATGAGCGGAGATGGGGTCCCTTTCTCGCCAATTATGATCTCAACCCCCTCCAGTTCGGGATGAATTGTCCCTTCCAGAAACAAGCCTGCTTTTCCATGTATTTCTATCAGCTTCCCAGGACAGCTCTCTTGATTGGAGACGAAGCAGGGGGAGAAAAAAAGAGAGCGGGTTCTAACGGGGGTTCAAAAGTGATGGAAGCTCTGTGGGCCTATAGCGGGGTGGGCAGGATCCAGGCCCTCCGGTTCTACTTTCTTTCTCTTCTGTACTGTACCCTCTAGACCAGTGGGGGCGAACCTATGGCAGATGTGCCACAGTGGGCACGCAGAGCCCCCTCTGTCGGCACGTGAGCCAAGTCGCCCCAGCAGCCGAGCATCAGATAACAGTGCACGCAGGGGCCACGAGCATGCGCAGAAAGTGCACTGCTTAGCGGTGCCAGGCAATGATGTCACGAGCCACAACTCATTAGTCACAACTCATCCGAACTTTCGCACGGCTGGTCAGCGCGCTGCCAAGGAGATAAACATGCTTGCTTGCACTGGCTGTGAGTTGTTTTTTCTACACTAAAACCTCAGTTTCCAGGTTTTACCACAGTGTTGGCACTTTGCGATCAATAGGTGGGTTTGGGTTGCAGCTTGGGCACTCGGCCTCTGCAAGGGTTGCCATCACTGCTCCAGGCCCACCAAATGGTTTCAGGGGGGGGGGGGGGGGGCTTGGAGGGGCCACTCAGGAATAGCATTCCGCTTTGGATATCAGAACTCGGCTCCCAGTCCTTTCGCACAGAAACGCATGCTGGGGAAAGCATCCATTCACAGACGCCATCGTGGCTGCGACCGCCACCACCCAGGGCCCTTCCTCCAGTAGGTGGCGAGTTCTAATTCTGATTCCCCACAAATCCCCTTTGTACGTGCCGCTGCAACTGTTTCTGCATGTCCTCCACATTCTGGGACAACGGCTTTTGTGTGCTCTCCATGTTTCTCCCTATCTATGTGCGGCCCGCAAGCCGCAGCATTGCCTGGGCCAGCTCACCACTGGTGCACCCCCTGTCTGTCTGTCTGTCTATCCATCTTTCCGCAGACTAATTCAGAAGGGTGGTTTTCAACCTTTCCACAGCTGGGGACCGGCAAAACCAGAAAAACCAACTCGAGGACCACCGAGGCAGGAAGAAAAAGGGAACGGCACGGACAGAGGCTGGGAGCTTTTCGTTTCCAGGATCATCAGGAACTTCCCTCTCTGCAGCCCAATGGAGAAAACGTACCTCCACTGACAACCGTTTCTATGGAGGGCGGGTAAAACAGGAGCTCCTTGGAGGACGGCGTTACTGTGATTTTCTCCCCAGACCTGGAATAAAAACCAAGACAGAGGCTGGAGCCCAACCTTTCCCAGCCTGAGGCTTCCAGCTCAGGGTGCAGCACCTCAGGAGCCAGGGTCCCAGTCCATGCCTTCAGGCTCTCCAAACGGCCAGCCCTTTCCCCACCAGAGGGGCTTCTGGCTTTTGCAGGCTTTCCCCCATTCTAAAAGGTGAAAATGTCTCTCCTGAGGCTGTTTGGCCCCATCCCTGCTTTGTATTGGCCCCACCCATGACTGAAAGGAAGCACCAGGAGCTTCTCCGGGAAGGAAGCTGGCCCTCCGGCTGAAAGCGGTTCAGCTCCTTGCTCCAGGAACCCTCTTCGAGGGAGGTGCGGAGAGTCTCCACTCAGAGGAGGGCCTTCTCTGCGGTGGCACCTGGACTGTGGAACATGCTCCTCAGAGAGGTCCACCTGGCACCGACCCTCTACTCCTTCCAGCGCCAGGCAAAGACCTTTCTATTTAACCATCATTTTAATAACTAATATCATTTTAATAATATCATTAATTGCATACAGTCATGTCTTTTTATTTTTTCTTTCTTTACTTTAAGAGGATATATTGAGGTTAATTGTTTTATTGTGGAATGTTTTTATGCTATTAATAATATTATATTGTTATTTATTTGGAATTTTTATTTTTGTAAGCCATCCTGAGGCTGCTGCAAAGGACAGCATATAAGTGTTTAAATTAAATTAATCAAATTAAAATTAAACATCCCACTCTGATTTAAAAGGAATGGCACAATCAGCTGATGTGAGGCAGGGCACCGTCCACTGTTACTGAATTAGCTGCTCTCTGGGTCAACTTCTACATCCTCTCCTTGAAGGCCTCACAAGTGACAACCTTGATTTGGGATCGGGGAATCTCAGTTTGATGTTTTTAAAAAAGCCATTCCTTCATTCCATTTGGACACTGTCCCATAATCAAAGCTCTCTGAATGGTTCACAAGCCAAAACGCAAAGCCATAAAATACTCTGGCTCCTAACAAACCACATTAAAAAATTAAAAATTGTTAAAACAAAACCAAAGTAGAGGAGAAAGCAAATCAAAAGCCAGCAGCCTTGTAAGGATCTGAAAGCATACTCACATTAAAAATAAATTAAAAGATCAGAAGCTTTAACTTTAAGCTGCTGTTCTAAGACAGAATCATGCTAAAGCTTGACGAGAGCCCAGACAGAAGGTTTTCCTGAAAACCTCCGTGAAAGGCAAGGAAACGCATAGAAAGGCCAACTCACCTGGCCCAGTAGGAAAAATCGTAGTGGAACGGCCCCTGCAGTTCCTCGACCATCTCCTGCACTGGCGGCTTGGAGCCTTCCTCCTCGGGCCCCTTCTTCTCCCTCTCCTGCCTGCGGGCCTCGATTTCAGCCAGCTGCTGCTCCCGACGCAGCTCCTGCTGCGATTTCAGTGGGCCAAGCACCAAGTCCGGCTCGCTGTCGATCGAAGATCTGAGGAAACAAACCGAGCGGGGCCGTGTCTCATCCATGCAGAACCAGCCACCAAGAAAACATAGAACGGCATGGAAGCATTCCAGTCTATGCCCTCTCAGGGCAGTATCCAGCCCGAGCGTTGCACCAAGTCAAGTCCCGCTAGCAGAGCCCCACCAAATCTTCCACGGTGCAAGCGCACGTCCATGGCACAAGTGCAAGCTGTTGCACAAGCGGTGGCACAAGCAGTTGTGCAATGGGCTGCAGAAGCAACCGCTCGTGTGGCTGCACCGGAGCAAATTGAGCAGTAGTTGGAGTCTCCTCTTGTATATGATTTGGAACCAGATTTCCACTAGCACACCACCATTTGCACTCATGGAATGTCACAGCTGGATCTTGCCCACATCTGCAAGGAGAACAGGCACTGGGGCTGCAGGGTCTATTTTTCAGGAGGATCCCAAGATCAGCGGCACAGGGGAACCAGCGCATGGCCAGACACAAAAGCTTCAGGACACTTCGCTCTTCGCTAGCCCCTTTTCAAGAGAAACGCCACTGAAAGAATTCGGTTCATTCTTACTTGATGGTAACCATTACATCCATCAATTTATCTGCCGTAATTGTTCCAAGGACGTGGTGCCGAATCGCAGTCAATGTCAGGATACTCGGAGCTGACCTGGAAACGAAAGCCAAAATGGAGCACTTAAAACAGCTCCCAATTAGCCATCTTCGCCTTTTCATTACATTCCAATTAAGCTCCGGGGTGCAATTCAGATGGATTTATGGATTCGGAAGCAGTGGTCTGGGAACTCCCAGCACGTCCTGGTGTACATTTATAAATCCCAGAGACCAGTTTAAAAAACAGGTGGAAAACCTAAAAAAGCAAGGCTTTTGCGCAATTCCATGCCTGTGAAAAAGGCAACCTGCGCATGTGCACACACAGCTTATCCTAGCCACGTTTTACAACCCAAGCCACGGTCTGACACAGAACAGGCAAACCAGGGTTGGAAGCATCTCGTCTGTTTTAATCCTTCACCCTCCATCTCTGTGGTCCTGCAGTGCCTCGAAGGGGAGCAGTGGACACGAACTACGCCCTGCTCCCTTTCCAGACATTCAGTGCCTGCTCCAGGAGCCCTGCGTGGTTTGACTTGATGCCTGCACGGAGCCTAAACAGGCCAACGGTGGAGTGATTCGCGGAGAGAAAAGGTGGGCACTCGGTGTGGATCACCACCAGCTCATGGTGGCAGAGGCCTTCGAATATTAGTTAAAATTGGAGACAGTGTGGCGTAGTGGTTAAGAGCGCAGGACTGGGACACAGGCGACCTGGGTTCTGGTCCCCACTTGGCCACGGAGCCAACTGGGTGACTTTGGGCCAGACTCTCACAGGGTTGTTGTTGTGGGGCTAAGATGGAGGAGATGGAAGCTGCCTTGAGCCCTTTGTAGAAAAAGGCAGGATATAACTCGAAAAATAAATAAATAAAATAAAAATCAAAAATAATTAATTAATCAATTAAAAAATCTCCTCAGGGGCCTATTGTTTCAATGTCTTACATGTATGCCTTGTTAGATCTTCTACAGTCCATTACCACAGAGAAATCAACCAGTCAGATGTGAAAATATGACAGGGACTATTTGTCAAGGCTATAAACGGAACATTTTTGGTTTGCTTTTCCACAAAGGCCCAAGTCAGCCCATGAGCAAGCTTTTTCGATAAAGGCTTGAAAAACTTTTATGAAAGTTGCTGCAATGGACTCCCCCTGCTGGTCAAAAAAGGAAGAAAGGAAGGGGAAACTTTCCGCCAAATTTGAATTTCCCCTCGTATCTGAAGGCAACCAGGCGGTGAGGACCAATGCCGAGGGGCATTCTTGGCCTGTAAAAATGGCAGCCGTCCCCTGGGAGGGACCACTGGAAGGCCCCTCCTGCGCCACTTCTGTAATGCCCCAAAGCCACCACAAACTCCAGGTGTTGCCAGGAAGGTTTCGTGTGTGATCAGCCACTCTGCACACTTACGTGTCGTAGGTGTAGTATTCATGTTCGAAGCGATGGCAGGAACGGGGAGTTACCTCATACACACCTGGAAGGGCAAAGCCAAAACAGTGCTGCAGCTCAGCTCTCGTACTATGGGGTTTAGGACACTTCAGCAATGCATGCACAGACACCAACAGCCGGCAAACCTTCCTGCCACTCTCCAAACTACCTTGCCTGAATTATTTTTGCCTGGTTAAGCGCCCTGGCCTGACCCCAACTTGCCAATCCTCCAGCTCAGTCTCAATGACCCCAAACCATGGTTTGCTCTAAGCCTAGCTTAGAAACAAACCATGGTTTGTGCTTTGAAACGTAAAGGCAAACCACACTCGGCAGTGCCCTTTTCTATCTAACACAGGGATTTCTGAAGGTGGAGCACGACTGAAAATATTTGATCTACCCAGACATCAAAGCAAGGCAAGTCAGCACAAGGCATAGGTTGAAAGCTGCAAACCATGTTTTCCTATCCCGATGGCCCAGCTGATCACAAACCAGGGTTTGTCAACTTGGGTCCCGGACAAAAAAACACTTCAGCTTCCTTAAATGAGGGGTAGCAAAACGCCTTGCTTGCCTATAACATGGCTTCTTGCCTTACGGAGCATTTGTCTGGCAAATAATAGAACCAACCAGTTTGTTTTCTCAGACTTCGGGTTGCTTCTTCCCCACTCCCTGTGGGTATTTCAATGGCCTGCATGGCACTGCAGGACAGACTTAAAAAAGGAGATGCTTCTCTTGCCTACCACCACAGAAGCCTGGCAAAACAACCCCTAAACAACCCACAATTCTGTATGTGCATGTACTTGATTGCTTTGATATCCTGTTGTGAGTTGCCCAGAAAGCTTCTGCTGTTGGTGTACAGAAAAGCTATTACGAAGGATGAGGATGGCAGCTCACCAGGCTTTGACAGACAAAATCTGTTCACTCCTTTGGATAGGTTATAAATTCCCACATTCTCAGGCCCGTTTCCATCCTGGTAGAACTCCTGGGGGTGTAAAAACACAGAAGAAAAAGGCATCAACACACAGCACTGGTGTGGGGAAATGTAAGTCAATGGTCTACCATTTACCGCCGCCTCGAGGGCCCAGACCCGCTCAAATGCTTGGATCAAGGTACATGGGGAACAGGGATCCAACCTGTCCCACAATCTGTCGGGGGGGGGGGGTCACCTGCCCCTGAAGACTCAAGCTCATGGGGAGGGGGGTAAGCATTAGTAGTCCTGGATCCCCAATCTGGTGGTGGCCAGGAGGGCGTCTGCCCAGGTGAGGCTGGAGTGCCAGCTACCCCTGCTCCTAGAGATGTCTGACCTGGCCACTGCCACACAGGCCTTATTTATTCATTTAATTAATTTATAAGCCATCACAGTAGCCCAAATCCGGGCTCTCTACGTGGCTCACAATATAAAACATAACATTTTAAAATCAATCGCATTAAATCAACTTATTCAAAACATATTAACAGTGCAATCCAAATAGGAAGATAATTGATCAAAACAGAATATAAAACATTCAACAAAACAATTTAACCTAAAATCAACTAAAAGCAACTTGGGGTCACTTTTAAAGCCAGGTCGCTGTTAAAACCCATGGTTAAAATAGCCGGAGAGAAGGTGGCCCTTTAGCTGGTACCGAATTGCTGAGTCAGCGCCAAGCGCACCTCTCTGGAAAACCTATTCCAACGGTGGTGTGCAAGCGGCAAGAGGGCCGTTCTTTGTGCCAGCATCCCACCCGCCCCCCCACCTCCCCAGGGGAAGCCTCCCTACAAAGGGCCTTAGCTTAGCACCTCCAGCATCTCAGCTTCAACACCTCACGCATCCCTTCCACTTTTATAATTCTGTTAACTAGGATGCCATTGGAACTGAAGCAAGGAGGCGACACCTGTGCCAGGTGCCAGTTCCTACCAGGGTAATGGCATGGGAAAGGGAGCAGCGCAGCATGTATCCCGTCTGACGGAACTCTATCCCAGATACATCTTCTTCGGAAACCTCAAGCTCCATGGATTTATTCTTCCAGCACCAGTCTTCACGGATAATGCTCACTAAAACAACCAACACACGGCGGGTCAGTGCAAAAGAACTGGCGGCTCGGGGCAAATCAGCACATCAAGGACTCAGAAGAGCTTGACCGAAACTTGTGTGCTGGCTGAGAACTCCCACCATCCCCATCCAGCATAAGCCTCAGCCTGGGGTAGATGGAAGTTGTTGTTGTTGTTGTTGTTATTATTATTATTATTATAACATTTCTATGCCACCCCTTGCCGAAGCCTCGGGGCGGCTTACAACACAATAAAATACATTGAAATACAATAGAACATAATAAATTACAGGCTGAGATACCTGGACAGCTCCAAGATGGGGAAGAAATTGCCTCTTTTTGAAATGGTGCTTACCTATCTGCATAGTATCTTCGCACAAGTGCTTGTATCAGCTGACTAAAAGTGTTTTTAAATGGTTGTGAGCTGCCCAGAAAGCTTCAACTATTAAGTGACACAGAAATGAACTTAATAATGATGACGATAACACTAATCCATCAACCAACCAACCAAAGGTCACATTTTACTAAGAAGTAAAATTAGACATTCGGGGCTTCAAAGAGCTGGCCGTGCCAAAACAAAAAACCAAAAAGCTCCGCTTTATCCTCACTTTTGTATTTGCCCGGCAACACGTTCTCAAACATGAAAGTCAGAGAGTTCGACTTCGACGCAAGTTGGAGACTGCGCTTTTCTCCCTGCCGGTTCAAGGACTGAAGAGTCACTGTCAGTTCGCCACACGCATCTGGGGAAGACACACAAAGCGGGGAAAGGGGGGGTGGGGGGGACACAAGGCTGAAAAGCTGGACGTGGCAACCTCCGTGAGGTATTTGGGGTCAGAGATCCTCCAAACCCTGGCATATCAAACCTCTTTGGGCCCAAGGGAGACTCATTCCAGAGCAGTTCAGAGACCGCTCTCCACTGGCAGGCCAGGCTAAGGCTCTGCGGATCACACCAAACTATCTTTGTGGTTTAGCTTAAAGAAATACGATTCCCCCTTTTAGGAAAAAAGACTTGCGAATCCCGGGAAATCACCGATCACAGGGCAAGGAAAAAGGGAGCCCCATCCAGGGAAGACCAGAGGGCCGGTTTTGGCCTGTGCACGTTCAGCCCCCCGCTCACTCCAGCCTCCTAAGGAAAAACACACTTGCATGAATGCACATCCAGAAGCCATAAAGCAGCTGGGTTCGAGTTCCGCTAGCCTTGTTTTGTACTATTCCTTGCTTCGGAGTGGCAACACAGGGCTCGCTCGGTCTGGCTTCGGGACACGTCCACACCACGGCCCAAGTGCCATGCAATCCTGCCACCCTGAGGAGGCACCCAAGAAAAACGGAGCCACCTGCAGCTCCGTGAGCAGCATACCTGTCCACATACCTTGCTGGTGGCACTCCCATGGGACAGCCTGGAGGCTGGGGGTCTCCCACCCGATGCTCCAACTGGAGCCAACATACAGCCTTGCAGCCCATCAGGCGCCTCCCGATTCTTATTCCTTCAGGTGTTTTAAACAGATTGCGCTTAAAAAATAGGATGCTGGCAGGCTGCCCTTAAGCACCATTTTCACTGGGCCTCAGAAGACCAGCTTCGCGGTCAGATCCCACCTTTGCCTCGTTCTCAGGCTCTAAGGCAAGTTACTTGGCTTCGCTTCCCAGGGAAACAGTCATTCTGTGACCTGCTGTACCCACTACGGCAGCCTTGTTACGAATGGGCAAGCCCCGCTGTGGCAGCCATTTTGTGACAGTGCCAACAGTACCTGCTCCAATTTCCAGCTGTGCCTGGACTGGACACTCCTTATTCCGGCCACAGTCACACCTGGCCGTGGTCCTACGCAAAACAGCGGCGTCTCAGCTGGGACATGCTTGATGTGGGGCCTCCTCCGAAAACCGCTCCTGGGTTTCAATGCATGCAGAATGCCCCTGCTCAAGGCTTGCCTGGGCCCATTGCTCGGAACAGGATAATATAAGGAATGCTATGCCAGCTGGCCTGGTTCCCAGTCCACTTCTGGATCCAGTTCAGAGCACTGCTTTTGACCCTCTGAGCTCCTCAGAGCTTAGAGCCAGTCACTCAAAGGCTTACCGGTCTCTGTGTGCAGTTACCCATACATCAAAATCTTCAGCGGAGCACTAGAAGATGCTGCTCTGCAAGGTCCTGGGACTTATTTTTTCAAATTAGTCACAGGTACATCCAACAGAACCCAACCAACAGGACAACTCACCCAGGCAAGTAATTTTCCCCGAAACTGAGGCCAGGAATTGGGAGAAGATCACATCCAGCACCGGCTTGGAAGCTACAGTCACAGGAAACGTTTTGGGCTTCAAAGCAAGCCCTGCTCTGGCTTCTACCTCTGGAACGATTCCCTACCAACAAGCAGAATGGCATCAAGAACTAGCTCTAGACAAAACGGATGCCACGGAGAGGGCTGACCATGGTGTCCCCGTTCACCAACCACCAGCAGGAGAGCAGCTGGAAACATAACACAAGGTGCATCAAAGAAAAATTGCAATACCGTACATTCAATTTTGCTCACATTTTCTTTGGTGGTTCAGGATCTCCCCAGATGAAAACTGTGCCCTCCTTTGCAGAAAGGGCAAACCCATCTGCCTCAAGTTTCTCTCACACTCTTACATTCAATTCATCCTGAACTTTGAAATGTTTGAAGTTTGCAGCAATCTTCATACACATTTTACGGCACGCCTCTTCCCATAATTTCTGTACAATGTTTAACCTAATACGCACTTTCTTGGTGAGCAAGCCAATGGGATTCCCACTGTTTATGTGTGCGCTTATCCACTGGAGCAGGCCAGTGCTTTCCAGCTGTTCCATACGAGCACAAAACTCATGAGAAACAAGCTCTGTAAATCAACGAGCAGGATATGGGCCTCCAAGTTCTCTGTACCTGAACGACGTAAGCACCAGATTTCGCCCTGAAGCAGAAGGTCCCGCGAGCATCAGTCTCAGTCGTAAGCAGCTGCGCCCTGTCCTTGTCCTGCGGCCACATGGTCACTTTATACTTGCCGAACTGCTTCACAGAGTCGGGGAAGCGAGTTATTGCGATCTGGCCACAGACGCTGAACCTATTAAAAAAAATATTGAAGGGTGGAGCATTCACGCGGAGAAGCACATGCAACCACAAGTCATTGTGAAATTCATCCGATCCACATTTCAATACAAACCAACTTAATTTGCACTTTCTAAAAGAATACACAACCTGGAGCGCAACTTCCCAACTGAAAAGTGATACATCTGTCGTTTGTTAAGTCGCAAAGTCATGCCCGACCCATCACGACCCCATGGACAACATTCCTCCAGGCTCCCCTGTCTTCTGCCATCCCTCGGGGTCCACCCAAGCCCACACCGACTGCCCCAGTGACTCCATCTAGCCACCTCTGCCCTCCCCTTCTCCTTTTGCCATCAATCATTCTCAGCATCAGGGTCTTCTCCAGGGAGCTGTTCCTTCTCAAAAGTGTTAGTGCCAGTCTTTAAAGTGCTCAGTGCTGTGAGTCACAGAGAGTTGAGGAAATTCCTGTTAAGGTCTGCTGGTGGAGTCTTTATAGTGGGTGGCCTGGCATATTGGAATCAACCTCTGCCCTCCCCTCCTTTTGCCGTCGATCGTTCCCAGCATCAGGGTCTTCCCCAGTGAGTTGTTCCTTCTCATTAGGTGGCCAAAGTATTTGAGTTTCTGAGTTTCATCTGTACAACTGTTCAAATGCATGGAAATGCATACATGCCGCCATGTGGTTTTTTGTTTATGTACTCATTTAGAAATAACCGTGTGCAGACTGTTATTCAGACGGATGAACAAGTAGGACTTGTACTTGAGAAGATGGGAGCAGACAGGTCTGCCTGTCCCTTCCCACCTCTGTACTTAGGGGGCTGCATCTTCTATCCCCAGAGCTTATGGCTGGGTTTCACCACACTGGACCACAACCAGGGGTTCACATGACCAAATGCTCCTCCATGTATCGGGACAAAAACACCTGCACGGGAAATTTCTTTCTGCGTGCTCCTTAATGCACTCATTCCTATTTGTTTCAAGGATGCCGAGTATCTTCTGGCCCAGAGGACAAGCTCAACATTCCAGTGGGAGCTATGGCTGGAGGCAAAACGCTAAAATACTAGAAATGCAAAACATTCCAAAATGCGGAAGAAACAGCTTTTTTTATCTGGCCAGGGCGACTTATTTTATATTGTTATTTTTTGCATTTTAACTTAATGTTTGTATTTTACAAACATTTGAATTTAATGTTATAATTTAATGTTTGTATTTTTTTAACTTAATGTTGTAAGCCGCCCCGAGGCTTCGGCGAATGGGGCGGCATAAAAATGCTTTAATAAAATAAATAAAATAAAACAAATAAGATAGCATAAAGTCCTTATGCTGTGCGTTGCAGGCCCAGATTCAGCCTCTGGCATCCTCACTGACAAGCGCCAAGTTGCAGCTGAAGGCAACGGTCTGCCAGGCAGTTCTAGGTTAGATCAACCCTCTGCCTGCGCTGGTGTAAGTTGGCTTCCAACCCAAAGACCACACAGCTCCGCTCCAGGCGCCCTGCCTGTTACCGCCGGCTCTTGGTGCATTCTGGCAGTGCCCCCTGCCCCCACTTCCCATGGGACACTCACTCCACTGCGATGAGGTCGGCCAGCTGGGGTGTGTTTGGGGCGATCTTCACCGTGATGGTCTCAAAGAAGAGATGCTCCTTCTGGGCGTGAATGGTGTAGGTGCCAGTGGTTATATTTTCCAGGCGGAAGGAGCCATCGGATTTTGTGGTAACTGCAGCATAAAGCAGGGGCAAGGATCTAGTTTAGCCAATAAGACAGATCACATTCTCCTTTTTAAACTCACACTCCAACACCATCCGGGCTAAAGCAAGCACCGCATACCTTTAATTTGGTTATTCAGCAGGACGGTGGCGTCTGCAACACCCTCACCTTCAGGACTGCTCAGAACCCGGCCAGTGACCGAGAAGCCCATGACATGGAAGACCGGCTAGAATGAGGTGAGAGAGCAGAATTAGAATCTGGGGCACTGCAGAATCTGTTTGCTTTTCCTTTCTCCTTTTCTGCAATCAGTTTCTTGAAGTATGCCAACATGAAAGAAAACCAAAGGACTAAGCCAAAAGGAAAACCACCTTTCCCTTTTCAAAAGACATGAACTGAGTATTTATTTAGAAGATTTGAAGCCCACAAAGTAGCTTTTGATTTATTTACTTATTTAAAGCTTTTATATCCCGCCCTTCACAATGTCTCAGGGTGGTGATGCAATGAAAGAAATGAGACAGAGCATCAAAAATTACAACGAGTAACATGCAAACTTAAAACACCATTAAACTTAAAACACTATTTAGAATAATGGGAAAATAAAAAGTTTCCATTACCAGGTCATGAGTCTCTGTGAGGTTACCGCTCCTACTGTCGGTGCAGCTGGGCAGAGCACTCGGACAGGCCTTCTCTGCGGTGGCCCCACCCTCTGGAACGATCTCCCCTCGGAACACTAGCACGGGTTACCCATTTATTGAAAATGCACTCATTGTTCTGGCTTTCGCTCAGCCCTGAGCTCTCTTTCCACCAGCCTCACGATATGATTGTGTGCCGTAGTTTGCACCTCTTTTGTTTTTATTCTTCTGTACACTGCTTCGGGCTCAATTCCAAATGAGAAGCAGTAGATAAATAGTATTGAGAATAAAAATATACAACCAAATACGTTCTTTCTAGCACTAGCAGAAAAAAATTATTTTCAAGCACCAAGTGAATACTGAGCTAAATGGCTGGGAGTTGGGTTGTTTCTTTTTAAAGGAGAAGGAAGCTCCAAATGTAGGGAGACACCGCCGAGAAGGCCCTGCTGCCAGTACCCACCAGCCTCACAGCTCTGAGCCCCAGCAGCAGAGACCAGGCCCTCTGACGCTAATGCCTCCCAAGTTTACCCAACACACACAAATACTTCTGAAGGTAGATCAGAACTCACCTCAATCTTCAAGCTGTCATGCTCCACGATAAAATCCAAGCGAGACGGAGCGACATCAAATGTAATTCGCTCTCCCCTGTAAAAGGGGACCTGAAAGGAGACCACAGAACCCCAAATACATTCCTCCAAAGAAGAAGACAATACTGGGGCCTGAACTGCCCCACCATGGGCCAGGCTGCACAGTTAACAGATCCCACGCCCAAATATATCAGAGGATACTCTGCATTAGGCTGTACTCCAGCAGGCACTGTGGGTTTAACCATCCCCTCTGCAATGCAGCTGGGGGCCCCCATCCACGAGGCTCCTATGCAGGATCCAACCCTGCAGACAAAGTCCTGCAGCAGGCGAGGCACCTCTGCAGGGGTGGATCTCCACTGGAGATGCCACGTTGGACACAGGGGCAGCAACGGGGGAGCGGAGCATGAGAGCTCGCAAACTGGAGGAGCAGCTTGGTCTTGGATGCAAGACCCTCTCCCTCATCCCCAGGGAGAATCCACCATGGGACCCTGAAGATGGCCCCTCTTGTGGCTTCCGCTGGGAGGAGACCCTCTTTTCCCAGAGCAAAGGGCTTCTCCGCCTTGACTCACCACAGTGTACTTCCCGCTGGGTAAGGACAGAAACGTGAACGAGCCGTCCTCCTTGGAAATCACGCTGCAGAGGTAGGTGAGCGAGTTGTCCTTTGCTGCAAAGCCGTCCACTGGAGATGCGTTGCAACCCATGACGTCCTGTTCAAAGAGCAACGGACAATCCTCGTTACGGACAGGGATCCCCTCGGGCCCGGCGACCCCAGAGCTGCTCCATTCATCCACACGGAGGAAGCAGCTCGCGTGCACGCGAAGGAAAGGAAGCGGGGAGCTTCCCTCCTCGAGTCCGAGAGGAAAGCCGTTTTTCCAATCAAGGTCCGCATCACCCAAGTCGAAACCGGTTAGGGGAACGGGGGGCTTCTGTGCTCCAGCCGCAGGCGTGGCTAGAACTGGAGCGGTCCAAAATCAGAGGAGACGGCAAAGTGCTCCAAGGACCTTCCACGCCGCAACGTTTCGTTGCAGATCTCACTTGTGTCACGCGACGTGCAAGGTAAGAGGTTTGCTGAGTCGCTACCACGGTGTGGAGCTCGTGCAAAAAGCAAACTGCCCCGAAGCGAGAACAGAGGTTCCACCGCAGCATCGGCCCCGACACCCGATTCCAACACCAACGTGAGCAGTCGTTTCCCCCTTGCTTTGGTCTGACATTCGCCCCTGCAGCCCCTTTTCGTCTCCTGCATGGAGCACAGGAGGAGGCAGAAAAGACGGTACCCCTTCAAAGTCACCGTGCTCTGGTAGCTTCAGAATAGATTACTGCAATGCACCCTATATGGGGCTGCCCTTGAAGACGGTCCGACGATTGCAACTCGTGCAGAATCGGGCTGCTCGGCTGGTAACTGGTCCTGCCAGAGTGGCCCACAGAACACCAGTGCTGGAAGAACATCACTGGTTACTGGCCGTGGCCCGGGCCCACTTCAAGGGGCTGGTATTCACATATGAAGCCCTCAGCGGCTTGGGGCCCAGCTATCTAAAGGGCTGTGCACCCATATATGCCTACCCACCCCCTCCTACCCAGACCCTCCTACAAGAGCCACCCCTCAGGAGATCGGGGGGAGGGGGGAGCAACCAGGCAAAGGGCCTTTTCTGCTGCTGCTCCCCATCTCCGGAACTCCCTCCCTAGGGAAATTTGCCTGGCACCATCTTTACTTTCTTTCCGGTGCGAGGTAAAGACATACCATTTCAGAAAAATTGTTAACAGCCCCTGAAAGCTGTGGCCCTTTTTTTATACTGTTATTATAGGTGTTTTAATAGGTTTCTAAGGTGCTTTATTATGTTTCGATATGCTTAATATATTGTCAGCTACCTAGAAAGGCCTTATCAGTTATAGGCAGTCTATAAATATGTGTATAAGTTAAATAAATAAGCAAACTGCCGAACAGGATGGGGTGCCATTTTTGAATGCTGCCGAGCATGTCACTCCCTCTCCATTCCAAACTGTCTCTCTCTCATTCTGGGGTGCTAACTTGATACATGCAGGGGCAGAGAGAGAGAGAGAGATGAGCATCCAGAACTCTGACTTCCACCATCAGTACTTTGAAACGATGCAGTCCGTTCTCCTGTTTCCTCAGGCCAAACCTTTGTGCCCCCCAATTTCTGTCAGTTGTGTTCATGCCCAAGAGAAAACAGGCATGGGGACATTCTCACTTTTCTGCAAATGTCAAAAGGCACTTTTGTGTAACCAACCGCTGACCTCTTTGTTCACCGAAGAGGAAAAAAGGAGGAACAGGACGCCTTTCATGGGCTCCCCGTCGCTTCGGACAGATCCAGAGACGTTGTACCCGGCCACCACCAGAGGGCTGGAGGCGAGAGCGTTGGAGTTGGTCACTCGAACCGTCGTGCTGACCTGGCAGACAGAAGATGGCAGAGATCGAAGGGATATGCGGGTTCCAGATGACTCCCTCTTGCATGTCAGGAGGACACATAAAAGGGGTCCGCGGTCCGTGCAGGCAAGTCCCCCAGTGCATTCTGACAAAGGCCGTATATACACCAGCTCCCTCCCTGGCAGAAACTCTGTGCCCTGTAGAATCTTTTAATCAGGGACCGAACTCCAACCCAGAGAGGATATTGTGGGTCACAGGTCAGCAGTGCAGAGAACCAAACTGCTACGATTACCAACCACTGAAGCTTACGGTTCTTCTTGCAGGTAGCTAAGCCTCCCTGAAGACCAAGCAGGTTTTCGACTGTGCTGGGGAGACTGCACAGCCGTCGTGAAACTTCAAAATGGCTGGTGATTGGAAGGAAAAAGGATGGGACCGGGGAAAGAGGTGTGGCCTTCTGTGGAATACCAGAGGGACCGACTGCGGTCCTCGGAGGGCCCATTTTGGCCCTGGGCCTGAGGTTCTGCACTCCTGCTCCATACAAATATGTCAACTCATACACAGAGTCCTTCTGACACCCTCAGAATGGACACAGCCCCTTAGCCTCACAACCCAAGCACAGCAGAGAGGAGGACCGGGCAGTGAACACAGATTTGTGAATGTGTAGGCAGCTCATTTAACTTTGTTCAGAATTATAATCTATCACATTTTTAATGGTCCTTTCATTCCTTCATAGTAACAGTTAACTATATTTTGGTTATCATCTCGTAATTGCACATATAAAACTGTGCTAGCGATTAAACCATCCTCTCTTCTGTTCTTTGAAAAGATTTGGGACGCTTTCGTTATATAGGTGTGCATCTACTGGGTGGGAGGAGAGAAGCAAGCTGTCTTCCTAACACTAAAAAATTATAGCAGCACTTACTTGTTTTAGCACCCAGGTGGGATGAGAAGCAAAGATCTCGTATTCTCCAGGGAGCACTTTAGAAAAGGCATACCTGTGGAAAAGGGAACGTTTCAGAAACCAGAGGAGCCTTAGAGATTTCTACCAGCTCTCCTAATCAGACTTCTCCCAACCTGGTGCCCCTGCCATGAGTCAAACTACAACTTCCATCATTCCCAGCCAGCACTATTTTGGAGAAGTCTGCGTCGAACAACAGAAAAATCAACAAGAGGCAAAAGTTACCCATGGGTATTTAAGCAAGGACACCCATGGAAGATTTAAAAGCAACGCTCAAGTTTGTAGTCCACAGGGACACAGTTGCAACTCACTTTCCTCCAGGCTGGGTGGATGCGGTCTGTATGTTCACCTCTGACCCAGGACTCCGCAGGGCCACGAGTACTCCAGCCGGGCCCAGGGTCTGGCCTTTGCTGAGAACCTGCATGAAGATCATATCACGACATCTCAGCTTGCAGGGGAAAAACAACACCCCTGGCAATCCATCGCCTTGTCCATTCATTTATTAGAAGCATTTCTGTACCGCTGGTCAGGGCTCAAGTCCTGCCGAGGCAGCTCACAGACAAAGGAGAACCACGTAAGATATTCAAAGAGGGAATTCACAGTTTAAGCCTCTCTGGGAGCAGGAGAGCCGCCAGGTTGACACATGTCAAGGATAAATCCAGGTTAGGTTATTTTAACACCCTCCTCTTCCTCCCTTTGTCATCCCACCTAAGAACCTGAAGATGTACGTCTCTGAGAAGCTTATTCTGGGGGAAAATAGAAGACAGGGAGACCTCTCCCCACCCGGGGGGGGGAAATAAAAACCAAAACCCCTCACCCCTTTTTTATATTAAGAAAGGAAGAAGGAAATGAAGCCCTTGCAGCAATCCTCTGTATCCAGTCTGATCCTGTTTCTTGGAATGACTTCACTACGCTGAAGACAGAAAGGGAACTTGATTTTGCAACAGAAACGGGCGCTGGCTGAAACGGCGGCGACTGTTCAAGCTACAAGGCGGAGCAGTTAACTCCATCACTACAGGGAAGCAACTGCAAGATCTTGGGAGTCCGCCCCAAAGCCTCCCACATTTCAGATGTGGAAGCATGCCCCACAGGGAAGGTTGGGGCCTAGGGCTGGAGTCCCTGCAGACAAATCCCCACATGTCTGTGACCCTCCAGAAGTGAGCCAAGCCCCTCACCTTCCCACTGACAGAAAAGCCGGTAAAAACAAAGTTGATGTCGCCTCCTTTCGTGCAAATGTCGTTAATACCGTCCACGTGGAGATCCACACTTGTTGGCTCTAGGAAGGAAAATGAGAGGGTAAATGTTGGGAACAACGGAGGGAAAGAAATGCATTTTCTTGCTCAGGAAGATGGGCAACACTTGCAAAGCCCCTGGCCAAATTTCACCAGAGAATCCCATTTCATTTCTTGCAGAACCATTTCTGTACTGGGTCACTTAAGAGGCCAATCCTGTACGTCTCTCCTTGGAAGTAAGTCACACTGAACTAAGGTTAAAGCGAAGAGGATTGAGGCCTTGGGCAATGAGAAAACAGAAGCTGCCACCTGGTTTACAATATCATCCACGTACGTTTGCTCAAATACCTGGGAGTACCTCTCAAGTACTTGCATTGAGATTGCAGCCTTAGTTACTCCACTAAATCTTTACTCTGCTGATCTATTGTTGACAATATTAGTTCAACTCAGAGTAGACCTACTGAAAAGAATGGGACCCAGGTTACACTAGCACTGGATTCAAAGCATCTGATACAATCCAATCAATGGGCACAGATTTTGCACATGTATAAAACGGGGACAGAAGGTTGTGTCGGGGGGAAACAAACTCTTTGATTTTATGTATGTACGAAAATGTATCCATGCTTTGGTCTTCAAAGGAGGCCTTACTCAGTCCTTAAACCTACTCAGTTCAATCAGTGCTAAATCACCAAGAAAGGGCCTTTTCAGTGGTGGCACCCAGACTGCAGAACTCAGAGTTCTAGCCAACTTTCCCCTTTTGAGCTTTCAAGAACCACATTTTTTAAAGGGACTGTTTGGGTGAGCACTTCTCCAGGGCCAGTCTCAGAGAACAGTCCCTGGCTATTGGCCATGCTGGCCGAAGATTTGGGAAGCTGCGGCCCAAAACATCTGGAGGGTGCCAGATGGCCTCTCAGACGCTGCTTGCCACCCACAGTTTTTTATGCTGCATTAAGAGTTACGATTCGCCAGTGATGGCCTGGACCTGGAGGCCAAGCTCAGCTGCAACCGCAGCTCCTCCTTTCAGGAATGCTACATGAAGGAAGAAGGAAAGGGACAAGCTAGGACCTTCTTACCATTAGGGAAGGGTGGCAGGTCCGTGAAGAGCCTATTTTATTCTAAGAATTTATTTATTACATTGGCATAAAAACATCCAGCTCTCCGTATGCAGCAGATATACAGCGGAGGCCCATATGCCACGGACACGGCCCGCAGGGTCAGTCCCTGGATTCAAGGAGGCACCAGCTGCGTGCCCTGGAGACCCACAGCAGCCACAGCAGCTCTGAGCTCCCCGACTCCGTGGATCAGCAAGCACATGCAGTGTTTGGCGAGCGCATCGTGGGCACTCCTGCGGCCGCTTTCAGGTGGGGGGGGGGACGTGCGTCCACGTTTATTTATTTATTTATTAAAACATTTCTATGCCGCCCCTTGCCGAAGCCTCGGGGCGGCTTACAACACAATAAAATACAATAAAATACAAAAATAACAATATAAAATTAACAATATAAAATAAATAACAATGTAAAAGAAGTCGCCCTGGCCAGATAAATAAGCAAATATTTTTAACAATTAAAATGACGTTTAAATAAAAAGGTCTTCTAAAGGGGCTTCCCTTGGCAGGTGTGGCTAGTCCTAAAATACTCCTTGTCTCAGAAAGCAAAGCAGGTCGCGTTGAAAAGCTGAAGCAGCAGAATTGTTTGGGGTGGGGAGGGCGGGGAGCCTGGCAAGGTGACGAGAGGGACACCCACAACCACCCGGGGCAGACAGTGCCCACGTAAGCAAAGCTGCATTCTAAGTCAGTACAACAGGCAGCCTTTCTTGCTCCTACCAATGGCTTAGCCAGTAGAGGCAGGGAACTGGTGCTCTCCAGGAATTCTGGACTGTCGCTTTGACCAGCTCCGACCACTGGGCCTGCTGACTGGGGGTTATGAGAGCTGCAGTCCAAAACATCCAGTAGGCAACAGGTTGTCCTGGCCTGATTTAGCATGGCACCCAAACCAGCACCTTCGCTTGGGGGAGAAGCCTCGGCTATGATGAAAAGCAAGTCCTTCTGATCTAAAAGCAGCTGGAACCATTTGTACACAGACAGGTACGTACCAAACGTCCACCCTTGCGGAGGTTCGATTTTGAGGACAAAATCCCCCTAAAAGAGAAAGCACAGGCATTTTTTGCAATGAGCATGAAAGCCAACTTGGGGGGAAAGTCACTTGCAGCTTTGCAATCTGTTACGGAGAGTGGAATATAAATTTAATTAATAAATTCGCATCCTTTTTTTAAGGCACAGATGTTATAGGATGCAAGTCGAAATGAATGGGCATGCAAAAGCCTAGGCATGGGCACAGAGACAACTATGCTCCCAGGTTCAGCGTGCAGCCACTCCTGTTGGATTGGAGCTCTAAGAGGCAGGCGGCTGGGAAAGGACCCCCCGAGAGATGCTGAAGAACATCTCAAGGCAGGCCGCAGCACGCTCAGCAGCCCAACCGTCCAGCTCAGAATCCAATCGTATATGTGAACATGCCAAGCCCTGTGTTTGCGCCCACCTGGTCACCACAGGCCACATGGAATTCTGTGCAGGAGATTGAAAAAGCTGGCTGGGAAGGACAGGTACAGACTACTCCATCCATCCTCCACCACCTGTTCACGTTTCTCTGGTGGTTGCGGAGGACACCATGTTGGTTGGGCACTGGGAGCTGCATCCCAACACAGCTGAGGGCACCAAGTTGGGAAGGCGGTATTCAAGATTAGCTGCCCAGGGAAAGGAACTGGGAACGAGCGTGAAGGCCTGTGCCTCAACTTCCACTGAGGACAGGCAGGACATGCACAGGGTAGGCATGTCATGAGTGGAGCCAGCGGTCAGCCTAGTTGGCCCAGGAGGCCCCTTCTGACTCACTCTGTCTCCATGTGTCAATGTTGCAACTTCCTACCAGTTTGGGCCTAGAAAGGACTTGTTAACCTGCTAAGGCAGCTTCGGTCAGGAGGGCTTTATTTATTTTTAATTCAGTTACGGAAACACAGAGTCCTCCTTCTCCAGCCACCCACCCCTCTAGCCCAATCCTTGTCTACTGGTCGCAGCTGCCCAGCATTTCGGGCAGGAGAATTTTCCCAGGCTGACCCGGAGATGGAGAGGAATGACCTGGGACCTTCCATGAGTGCCACCCAATGCCCCAGCCGCTGGCCCAGCCTTTTCCATCCTTGGTGTGCTCCGGATGGTTCGTGCTCTCACTGCTGTCAGCCTCAGCCGGTGTGGCAAATGGTCAGAAATGATGGGCGGCCCAGGTCCAAACATCTGGAGGCATCAGCTTTCTCTAGTCCATGGGGGATGCTCAGGTGCTCAGGTGCTCAAGGTCTATCTAGTGCAGTCTCCCCCAAGCAGGTGCCTTCCAGATATGTTGGACTGCAAGGCCCATCATTCCCTCCAGGCTGCATTACTGGGGTGGGTTTAACACTGCAAGCCAACATGGCCGCCCTTCTAAAAGTTTTCCTCTCTGTTGGCTCTTTCTTTTCGCCCACAAATGCTTGCTCCACCGAGCAGGCAGGCCAGGAAAGGCATCCGTGGGCTTCCTTACAAGGACAAGGCGCGATCCGGGCATGCTGTTTTCCCTGCTGGTTACGTGGTGCGTTCTGAGCTCTGGTCTCACCAGAGCTTGTTCCTGATAGCAGAAGGAAACGTAATAGGAGCAGAGCAGGAGAGGCTGTATGCCTTCTCTCATTACAGATACCGAGCGGCTGCTTACCTTATCATACAGAGGGATCATGAAGTAACCGTTATTTGGCGCACAGTCCGTCTGGTACTTCAGGGTCCCGTGCTTCGTGTACAGCTTGATCTATCGGGAAGGAAAACGGGGACATGATCATTCTGCTATACAGTTGGACAACACGAAGTCAAACAGGCCACCAGCGGTCCTCCTGAGCCAGTGCCCTCCAGCGGTTTTGGCCTGCAACTCACATCAGGCCCGGGCAGCATGGCCAGCCATCAGGAATCCAGAAACTGCAGCCCAAAACATCTGAAGGGGATAACGGTAGAGTGGGATGGCATTAAAAAAACCCAGAAGTGCCAGGAGTGGAGCAATCTAACCAGTCCAGAAGCACACACCTCACTCTCCAAATGGTCTGCACCATACCCAGCATCCCTGACCACTGCTCCAGCTGGCTGGGGCCGATGGGGATTCTAGCCTGAAGCATCTGGAGGGCAACAGGCTGCCATCCAGATGTTAAAACCCGCTGCTGGCTTGAAGCAAGGGCAGGGGCAATTTGGCTTCCTAGGTGCGAACTGGCAATTGATCGATGGTGTATTTTTCTCTCTGGCTTATTTTTAAGCGAGCAAAAAAGCAGGAGCTCCTGCATAGCGCAAGTGCCGGCCAGCCATGACTTCTTGGAGACTCCATGCCATTTTTCTTTTCCTTCATTTTCTTGGGTGGCGCTGCCTCCGATTCCAAAAGACACCAAGCATTCCACAGACACTTAGCAAGCTCAATTCTCAGCGGGTGTTTTTGCATTCCCCTTAAAATGGGGGGGGGGGCACATCAGCAAACCTTAGCAGTCCCCTATGTTGCTTCCACCCTCTTGGTGGGGCGGGAGAGGAGAAGGAAGAAGCGCCATTTGGGCAGTGGAAGGAGGAGCCCCGGGGAACTGAACATGCAACTGAGGGCTGGCAATGTAACAAGAGTGCCAGCTTGAAAGAAGCAAACATGTGAAAAGAACTGGATGAACCTGCTTTATCTCACCACTCTTGCCTGGGAGCAGGCGAAAGACAGAGATTTGCAACAGATTGGCCAGAGGATCCAGCTGCTAACCATTTAACTGTTCACTCCTCAGTTAGGCAAGACACTTGGGGAGAAAACAGGAAGTTCTGAAAGAATGTGTGTCAGAGTGAGAGCGCAGTCCAGCCTTGTTCCCAAGAACCAGCTCCTGGGCTAAGCAGGCACTGAGGCAGTCTCTTCTTTAAATCAACCCCCACCCTCCTCAGCTCCAAGAGTCCACGTCCTCCAGCTGATAAGACTCCAGGATTTCCCTGTGCAAGCACAGCAGGTCCCATAAGCACTCCCCAACCTGGCACCAACCAAGGGTTCTTGGACTCCAGTTCCCATCAGCACCAGCCTGTATGACCAGTGCTCAGGAATGCCACTGAAAACTTCTGGAGGACACCAGTTTGGGGAAGGCTGCTCTAACTTATGACTTCGGTTCTTTTTTTCCTGAAACCTAGCAACCAGAGTCAGGCGCAACATACCGGCCCAGGGACTGCGCACCAGGATGCTTCTGACCACATGCCCAGCCCAGGAAAGGGTGTTCAGCCCGAGAGCCGGGGTCACACGTCCTCTGTGCCTGACTCCACTCCCACGTGTCTCTTTGCATGCCCTCCCAGCGACCCAATTCAGAGATGAAGCGCTGCCTGGCTATCGAGTCCACGGGCGCGTCCTGCTGTCGCCGATCGCCAGCCTGCGCGCACCACGCCAGACGGGCACCGCGCGGCAGCGGGCGATCCCGCCCCGCGGGTGCCTACCTAGCAGGGCGCGGCGCTCACCTCGATCAGCGAGTAGTTGATCTCCACGTCGGACTTGACGAAGCCCCCGCAGCCCACCACGATGTCCTCGGAGCCGCGCGCCGCGGCCCACAGCGCCCCCCAGCAGCAGAGCGCCAGCGGCGCCCACCCCCGCGGCATCGCGGCTCCCCCCTGGCCGCCCCACGCGGAGCCGCCGCGGAAAGGGAAGGCCAGCGCTGAGTCAGGCAGGCGGGCGGCGCATGCGCGAGCGCGAGCGCCGCAGCCGTCCCCGAGGGCGAGGCGCGCGCGGGCGGGCGGCTGCCCCCTGCTGGCGCGGAGGCCCCTGGCTCCCCGCGGGTCGCGCTGGCCCTCGAGCGGGGTCGCCTGCACGTGAGAACGCGGGGCGAATCAGCCGCTCGCTTTGCGCGTGCGTTCTTCGCTCTCCCTTGCTCCCTGGAGTGCTGGCTTCCTGCATGCAGGGAAGGGACGCATGCAAGGGAAGGGACGCATAAGCATGCTGGCTTTTGTCTCCGGTCTCGATTTAAGAAGAGCAGCCCCAGTTGGGTAATACTGAATTTTGGGTTTGCGTGATAGTGAATTTCGCAGACACTCTCCTTGCCAGCCTGCCTAGCCACTCTGTCAAGAATCTGAAAGTGCAGGCAGCTGTGCGGATCCATCTTCGCAAACCATTTTTTGATGGCTGCAGCTACAGAAAGCAATTTGTCGTGCTCATGGGTCTTAACGGAACTCATCGCCACCCCCAAATTACACCACAGCACTGAAGGATGTATCGCTGGTGGAAAATTCATCACCTTGTCCTAGCAGCTGTGAGGATTTCAACTAAGTTCGGAGGGAACGTGCCATTCTGAAGGCTGTGGCAAAAGGTTCCTGTAGCTTCGCAAAAGGCCTGTTCCTGGGAAAGACTAAAAATCTTGCAGCTGAGGGGGGTTTTGGTAGGAATCCACACAGCTCGCTGCAGTTTTGGCCCCTCCTTGAGCATGTGGCTACTGAGAAAGTCATGAGCACCTGTACCCCATTTATATTTGCATCCACTGCTTACTCCTGAGGAACCCAATTGGGATGGTGCTTAAAAGCGGGCTGGCTGTTTCGACTCGGCTGAGTGAAGCAGCAGTCTGGGTGTGGAGATGAACTACACGGTGTGAAAGACCAAAGAGCTGATTGTGTATGCTCTGTTCTGTGTATGTTGCTGGTCCCGTTGCAGATACCAGATTTAGCTATCAGTCCACTTGCATGTCCAATCCTCTGGAATAGGACTTCACCTCAAAACTTCAGTCCGGGAAGCAAAACTTGCTTGCCTTAGCCCAAGCTACAAAGCTCCACTAGTCTTCTGTATCCTTAATTGGGCTGAACTGAATATTGCAGGACTTAACTGCTGAGCAAACTGGCTAAAGATTTAGGGTGGCCATATATCTTCGCTTATGGAGGATTGTCTTCTATTGGAAAGGCTGACCAGTCCAGGACTGATTTAAAAACAAATATTGGAGATCTGAACAGCAGACGGATGAAGGAAGAAATGTGGGCATTTGGTTAGTGTCCTCCATCCTTGGTAAGATGCACTGTTTCTTTTGAATGGATATTATTTCTAAGTTGTTATCTGTGCATTAATTCATGCCCTAATGAAAATTATTTATTTAAATAACTTGACCTTATCCACGAGTGGCATCCCTAGAGGGCATGTAAATTTAAAGTCATAAGTTTCATATTTTGGAGTATAGAGCGCTCTGCCTGTTCCCCTTCACCCCCTTCCAATCTGCAGAGTTTTTTCTGTTCAGGTTCCTTCCATGGGAAAAGGAGACCAGCCCCCAAATTGCTCTCAAATGGAGAGCACAGGCAGGGAGATGATACTATGGAACTAGTTTGAATATCCAAATTCTTACTGGGCCAGCTCTCTCACCACTCAAAGGAATTTTCTACCTCTGACTGCAAAAAGCAAACACCGAAACATGTTAAATTCTGTAATTTCTGATGGGTTTTTAATCTGCTACTCAATTTCTAGATGTGTCATGCTTTCCTGATGTCTTTGATTCCTCGATGTTTATATTCTTGCATATGGCCCATTCAAGGTCTCAAGCCAATCTTAAACTGTTACCCTTAAGCACTGTTCTTTTTTCTTCTTCTTTCTGGTGGTGTATTTCCTGTCCTTTGGTGTTTCAAAAGGGGCCAGAGATGGTGGTGACTTTTCCAAGACGGAGCACTTAAATTGATAAACCCGCAACAGCTGCGTTGCTCCTTCCCTACCTTTCCAGGTGCTGCTCAGCCTGGAGAATCATTAACTAGCACAGCTTGTTCAGTCATTTGATAACGAACCTGAGGCCCATTGGACTTTATAATCACAATAACCTTACGAATCCTATCCCTGCAGCTTGCCGAAGTTCATGATTGCTGCTTCATGCACGTTTCCTGTTTACCATGGAAAGTATAAACTTGTAGAACTTGTAATTTAAGGAAAACGTGGTCTATTGGAATATATCTAACACTTTTGTGAAGTGACTGTGGATGTCAGTGACAGTTGTTTGTTTGACGTATAGCCAGCCCGTTATTCGAGTTCGGCGGGGTTTGGAAAGAAGATTTGAATGCCACTGGTTTAGGACTTCAACTCCCAGAAGCCTTTGCCAGTATAGCAGAAGACCAGAAATGCTGGGAGTTAAAGCCCAAATCATCTGGTGCTCTTCTCTCCATGCCTATCCGAAGACAGCTTTTCCTTGCCTGGTACCCTCTGGGTGCGTTGAACTACTGTTCCCATCATCCCCATATTGAGGCTGTAGTTGCATCAGAAGGCACTACAATTAGGGAGAACAGCCTGCGGAGGGCTTATTGAAGCAATGATTATGAGAGCAGTTGACAGGTGCTGGGAATTAATTGTGGGATTTGTGGATCTCCAAATCACTGGTGTCAGAGCTGGCTGGCTCAGTATGTGTTTAGGGAGAGAGAGCAAGTGTGCCATTACACTTTCTCACCAATAGCTGTTCTTTTTTTAGTGCAAAATGTCTAAGGAATGTTGTCTAAACTTTGCATGCCATTGCCCGAAAGCCAGCCAGCCGTAAGCCGTGATTAATGTGTGTGTTGGGAGGAATTGTAGCGGGCCGTTCTGGACTTGGATCTGGCCCCACCAGGCAGACCCAGCTGATCTGGGGCGCCTCGAAAGGGCAGCAACTAGTTCACAGGCCTTTGCAGTGCAATCCTAGCCATGTCTACTCAAAAGTAAATCCCACTGAATCCAGTGGTCTTACTCCCAGCGGCCCCAGAAATGCACCCTGACTGTGTCCTCCTTTCATTTTGTCAAATGAGCGCATCGCACACAACATTTGCCGCAGGTGGGAGGAGCTGCCCTTGCGGTTTTTTAGTTTTTATTTTTTTGCCTCCGGGGCAAAAGTCGACTTGGCTCTCTTGGGCTACTTTGGACCTTGTCTTGGGGTGGAGCCCGGGGCACCCTTTCCTCCGGGCAGCAAAGCAAAAAGCAAAACATCTCAAGCAGCCCTCCGTCCTCAGAGCAAGTGCCCCTTTCTTCAGTAGCTCACACAGAAACTCCCCCCCCCCTTTTAAAATCCTGTATCTGCAAAATCAAGCTTGGTCCTGTTCTCGGCGCTGCTCGGCGCTTGGAGGGAGGGAGGGCGGGCGGCGCAGGGGCCAGTGCCAGTCCCCGCCCCGCGCAAGCGACGGCCCGAGCGGGGCGCGCGGCGGCGCGGGACCGCAGCCCCGGAGGCGAGGAGCCGGCCATGAGCGGGGCGAGCTGGCTGTGCGGCTCCCGCCGCGGCCCGTCCGCGGCGCTGTGGGTGAGTGGCCGCCGGGCGCCTTCCTCGCGAGGAGGCGGCGGCTGCGAGCCGGGCGGCGGACCCGCGGCCCCCGGTCGTGGCGAAGGGCGCTCGCCTGTGCTCGGGAGGGCAGGGGAGGAGAGGAGTGCCCGCTCCGCCGCAGGAGGCTTCGTGCGCGTGCGGCGCGCCCCTGCAGGCGGCGCTAGCGCGGGCCCCCCGGGCTGGGCCCCCGAACCCTTCACGTGGCGCCCCGAATTTCTGGCAGGCCGTGCGCCCCCAGCCGCCAGTGGGCACGGGCTGAAGGCAGGCCTGGGCGAGCGCGCTCGCTTCCGAGCCCCGGACCAGCTGGCCTTCGCCCCACGTGGGCTGCCCCCCTGCTGCCCGCGCCTTGAGTCTTTTAGGCTGAGTTACCCCCCCCCCCCCCGCCGCCGGAAATCAAAAGCCACCCTCTTGCCCTGCGCCCAGATCCCTTTTTGCAGATCGGGTTTCCTTAGCAGGGGTGCTTCAAAGTCGCTCGTGCATTTCTGTGCCGCAAGCCAGGGTCTTTTCCGTAGCTGGCGCCGCCTTCCTCCTGTGCATTTGGAGACGAAAAAAGTCGTACAAAGTCCCTGCAGCTACTAGTATCTTTTGAACTGCTCACACGTGCGTAAGTGCAATGTTTAGACAGGAAAAAGGAGCTGGCTGGGGATGCTGGGAGTTGTAGGGCTTTTTCCCCTGTGTGGGAGCATGTTCCTCTTGTAGTCACTGTTCTTGCACGGCTAAATAATCCACACCCGAGCAAACCCAGCCAAATACAGGCACAGCATTTTTTGGTCTTCCTCTTCAAAACTAAACAAAACCCCTGAATGCCAACCCCCTAGTTCCTTTGCTCTGGAGAACTGCCCTCCTAAACCTTCCACTGTTGACCTATGAGTATGAGGGAGCCAAGAAACTTTGGACTTTAAAAATAAATAACTTTGGATCTGCTCTTGGCTGTAACGAAATGCTTCTACATCAGGATTGTATGGGGCGTCATGTTTGCAAATAGCGACTGCAGCTAGAGGGGTTGCAGTGGTGGCGCTCTGGAGATGTGGGTTCTTGTCCATACTCAGCTGGGTGACTTTGGGCCATTCATGGGCTTTCAGCCTCTCCTACTTCAACAGGTTGTTGCTGCAAGCAGAACTATGTAATCTAGCTTAAGTTCCGTGCAAAATAAAAAGGTGGGATATAAATGCAATTGGCAAAGAAAAACGTGGTGCTTAAGTTTTACCCTGAAAGATATTCAAAATATGTACAAATACCCATACAAGAAATTCCAACATTTTCTCGGAGTAGTTGTATAAGATCTTTCACTTCATAGGCTGTATGCAGCATTAATCCTATTTAGAGTTTCAGAGTAGAACCATTTAAATGAATAGGATTTATGTTTTATCAATAAAATAACACTAATCCAATATGTAATAAAATGGTTAAAAGCAGATGGCTTAAATATCTCCCATCGCTATACAGGTTCTTCCATCATAACGACCTGAGTTCTTGTCATTGCAGAACTGGAACCAGACATGGTATGCCGACACCCCAAGTTTTACACCATGTTTCCAGAACACCGTGTTGATTTGGATTCCTTGCATTTACCTTTGGGCCTCTCTTCCTTGGTATTACCTGTACCTGCGGAAAAGCTCCAGAGGATACATCAGGATGTCAGCTGTCTTCAAAGCAAAAATGGTGAGGCTGGAGCCCAGCTGCCTGAATACAACCAAAGTGAAGAATGACCCCCCGTTTTCTCTGCAGCATGCTCCAAAAACCAACCCAAAGAGCCCATGCCTTCTTTGGCGTTTTTCCAGTCTTTCTGTTGACATGCTCCTCTGACCATGACATTCATCTTTTCCCCAGGTTCTTGCCTTTACCTTGATACTGCTGTGCTTCATAAAGACATGCTACCTCCTTTGGGAAGTAAGCCGAGGGATTCCACGGACGCCGGGGCACATCCTAACTGCTGCCGTGCTGGTCATTACAATGGTAATTCTGATTCTTTTGTCCACCTCTTTCAGGTTATGCCCTGATTTTTTGCTTCTGGGCCCTCTTTAGATGCAGCGAGCATATGAAAGAATGGGGAATTTTTAGTATAGAGGAGAGAAGGCCTGGGCAGCCAGGTGTGCCTGTGAGATAACACCTGATGGGTTGACACATGGAAGAGGAGGACGAGTTATTCCTTCCCGCTCCGGAGTGTTAGACCATATCTAATGGGTGTAAGAGATAGAGGAAGAGATTTCAGCTGAACATTAAGAGTAATTTCCTGGCACTGAGAGCAGTTCAATAAAGAAGTCAAGTACTTGGAGGGGTGGCATGCTCATTGGAAGTCTCTAAGCAGCAATCTGTTGCCAGCATTTTTCAAGGTTTGATTTCTTGTTTTTCCTACTCATTAGCAGTGGCTGCTTTGGGGATTTGGGGAAGTTTGGGGGTTAACCTTTGTTTCCCTGTCCCAACTCCCTGACCAAGATTTCTCCCAGCATTGAAGCTAGTGTGCTTTCTGCAGGAGAAACCGTGCAAGTTTTCCCGGCTTTGGAGGGGGCAGAATTTGGATAAGGAAAAAGACTTGGGAGGGATGGGTATGTGCCCACCTTCGCACCGCTGCAGCAACAGCTCCCCATCATTAACTGACACACATGGGGCAGCTAATTCCATTTTTCAAAATCTGGGTATTTTAATTACAGATGTCCTGCATTACAGATCACTTGGTCCCAAAGGAGGACAGGAACAAAGGAAGAGGAATTGGAATATTGATCAAATGCAGAATTGTTGCTCTGTGTTTTTGATGAAGAACCTAATTTTCTTTCTTGCTGTTTCACTGAGTCAAAATGGAGTGGCTATGGAGAAACTACCTGACTACCGGAACAGCTGTTATCTTGATCTTGAGCGATAGCATGATCAAAGCCGGACTAAGACGCAGTTAGTTGGGCTGAATGATCCCACTGGTGTCCCTGTAGGAACCCTGCCCTTCCCTGCAAAGTTTGGGAATTCTGTGTGAGTTGGCCTGCCACTGAACGTACCCTGAATTCCCAGGAGCCTGAGTAACACCCCAGCCAAGAGGCCTTTGAGGCGCTCTCCGTGGTCCTGACCATTCAGCACCATGGACAGCAGCCAGGCATGGCGTGGCTGCGCCACCTCGACAGCCTTGGAGAATCAGGCTCCACTGGGACCAAGCAAGGGCGTATGGCGGCCTTCTTCACTTTCCTCTGCCTGGGTCAACTTGCCTCTGGGCCGCTGGATCTGGAATGGGCCCCATGCTTTGCCGTATGCATCCTTAGTTCATGCCTGGGACAGAGTCAGGCAGGGCTTTGGGGTTACTGCCTGGAGCTTTGTTCCAAGAGGAGGGGATTTTGGACTGCATTCATTCATGGGGTCAGTGCAGTCTGGAGACAACTTGATGGCACATCAAGACACCCACATTGCTCCGACAGGTTCTCTGATCTTTGTATACTTCCCCTTCCCTTTCCCTTGTAGAAATGAACTTCATTTCTGTCTCTAGAGCTTTCAAAGAAACCTTCATACTGAGTTCAGAACCTTCTGTGTGGAATAATTCAGGCTTGGGAGACTGGAAATGGAGGGAGCTCATTTCTGAGTACTAAGAGTGTCCTGGAGGGAATAAGGACCCCTCGGGGGACTTGAGGGGTGGGGAGGACAGGAGGGGATAGAAGAGACCAGTTGCCACTTGGCGGGGTCTGGTTCGCTCCCCTTCTTTCCCTTCACAGATGCCCACGGCTGTTACACTGCAGCACAGCTGTGCGTGACTCCGCAGGCTGCTAGTTTTTCTTTTTGGAGGCATGGGAGGGGTGGTCTGTGCCAAGACCCCCCTCCCAGCAGCTGTCTGAGGGCCTGCCTCTCTGTGTGCAGTTTTGTTGCTGCAATGGGAATGCAACACAGGTCCCCCATCTTCATAACTTGATTATGATCCTTTTTCCCTCTGTCTGAGAGTGGCCTCATTTTACAGATATGAACCTATATTGTGCCAACTGGTTTTAGACTTATATTATGGGATGAGCATTGTTCTCTTTGCCCTCTCTTTTTCTTAGATCCTGGTGGTGTTTCTAATCCAGGTGGAACGACGGAAGGGCATCCGGTCTTCTGGCATTTTGCTGGTGTTTTGGTTACTCACTTTCTTCTCTGCTATGGTCTCCTTTAGCTCTAAAATCCAACATGCCCTGAAAGGTGTAAGTCCATGGGATTAATTACGTCCTAAATCGGGCTATTAGAATAATACAGCATGTGTTTGATTTTGTGTGAACCCAACCTGCCGATTTTGCAGTGGGTCAGCTTTGTCTGAGTTGTGCGGATTCTGCAGACTGTTTTCTTTGGCAGGGACAAGAGGGGCAAATTGTGTGTGAATTTGCACTTGTACTAACGCATGGTAGCAGGAATGCACAACTGCAAAATGGACCAAAAGTCCTTTGCTTCCCTAGAAAGAAAATCTAGTAAAAGATGCCAGAAGGAACGATCCCTGGCACTCCATGAAATGAAAATTTATTTTATTTATTCATTCAATTTATATCCTGCCTTTTTCCTACAAAGGACTCAAGGCAGCTTACATCATTCTCCTCCTGCATCTTATCCCCACAACAACAACCCTGTGAGGTAGGTTGGGCTGAGAGTCTGTGACTGGCCCAGAGTCACCCAGTTGGCTCCATGGCTGAGCGAGGACTCGAACCCAGATCGCCTGAGTCCCAGTCCCATGCTTTTAACCACTACACCACACATCCTTAGTTGTAGGTAGCAGGTCAGCAAACAGAAGGATAGAGGCAGATTTGGATAACCCTTTGCTATCCACATCAGCTGGTTCAGCTGTCATGCGTTCTTGCCAGGGAACTCGGTTCTCGGGAGAGCCAGTCCAGTGTTGGACTGAGATCTGGGAGAACCAGTTTCTAGTCCTCATTCAGCCACAAAGCTCACTGGGTAACTTTGGGCCAGTCACTGACTCATACCCTAACCTACCTCACAGGGTTGTTGTACAGATAATACTAAGAGGAGACGGGGGACTGTGTAAGCTGCCTCGAGTTCCTTGAAGGGAAGCAAGAGGCAGGATATAGATATGGTCATAAATTCTGGAAAAGTAGTCTCCAAGGACAGATTAATGCATTTTTAAGTCATTCAACTGATGCTAAATAGCCATTATATGTGGTTGTATTTGTAACATTTCTAACCCTGCATTTCACTCCACTTAGATTTTTCAAATGTTAAAATTACTAACTTCTGCATTTTCTTAAATGTTCAATAATGTAAACATGTCTCTCCAAACTGGCCCTAAAGAGACTTTGTGATCAATTCGTTTCAGATTGGATCTGCAACACCAGTTTCTAATCTGAAGGGAATATTTTTCTGGAGAGATCTCTAATAATCTGCAATTCTTTGCAGGGCTTCAGAGAAGATCCTTCCCAACATATTATCACATATGTTTATTTCGCTTTGGTCTTGCTGGAACTGGTACTGTGCTGCTTTGTAGACCAACCTCCCTTCTTCTCCAAAGTGCTCAATGACCCTGTAAGCATTTGGTCTTCTGTTTTTCACTGAGGGAGTGTACCATTCTCTTCATGAGTCTAACTTCCATTTCTCTTTTTCAAGTTTCTAGTCCTTGTTGTTTTGAGGGGAAAAAACTTGCTGTCTTTCCCTGGGGGGAGAGATAAAGATGAATGGGGAGCCTTTTTGTTGCTTTTGTGCAACAATTCAGAATCAGAATTCCTTGCTGATCAACTGCATGTCGATAATCTACCAATGAAGTCTTATGTGCATACATTTCCCTAATATAGGTGAACCTGAGAGCTGTCCTATTCTTTAAACTTGCAGAACCCGTGTCCTGAATCCAGGGCCTCTTTTGTTTCCAAAATCACATTCTGGTGGTTTGTTGGGTAAGAAGAGAAATAGTCTTGCATCTTGTTCTTACGGAGCCCATAAATTTCAGTTGGCTTGATCAATTCAGATTTGTTTAGGGACTTCTTTTAAATATAGCTACCAGAAAATGTGGCTGATGCAGGACAGTATGCCAAGAAGGAATTGGAGGGGGCTTTGCATGACATTATTCCAAGAAGGAATTAAATGGGGCTAAATTCCGCAGTCAGTCGGGGCCACTTCGCGTAGCTACCTTAAGCTTTTGGGGTGTTGATTTTGGCTGAGGGCGCTTTCTTGTGTGATTATACCAACTTATTTAGCTTTGGTTTTAAAATCTAGTTAACTCACCTCTCCTCTCAGTTGATGCCCTCTATTTCGCAGGCTGGTCTGGAAAGGCTATTGGAAACCTCTGCAGACAGAAGACCTGTGGTCCCTAGCAAAAGAGAACTCCTCCAACGAGATCATTACCAAGATTGAGGAAGCCTGGAGAAAGAATCGTGAAAGAACGGCACAGTGGGTGTATTTGCACATGAGAGCAACTGTATGGAAGTCAGCAAGCTGCTAGTCCTTATTGTTTGCAGATGTCTTTTGTGGGCCCTTGGTTGCAAAGAGGACACTGAGCTTGAACTGTGGGTCTGATCCAGCAAGGTGGTTCTTTGCTGCAGTAGCAATGGCACACAAAAAATGAAAGCAACGGGCGGGGGGGGGGGCGGGGGGAGGAAATCAATAGGATGCACTGGGTCATCTTCCCATCTTCTGAAGCAGAGTTCTGGGATGCGCTTTCTGACATGACAGAATTCTCTGGTGTGTGAAACAGTCTGTTAAGAAGGAAGGCAGAATAATTACACTGTGCCTCTGGACAGCACTCCACCTGGATGCATCCTAAAAGACGCTCGTCCATGCGCTGGTTTGTAGCCTAGTGGATGCTCAAGCCCATTCCGGAAGCGTTTCCTCACGCATTCAGGAAGCAGGGCCATGCTGCTCACCCACATCCAGAACGTCAACGCAGCTGTGCAGCCATGACCCCAATGGCTGTGCATTTGGCGCAGTGCCTGAAAAAGAGCCCCTTCCCACACCCAGGTGTGTCTGCACAGAGGATTGTCCCTCTCCCATTCTGCGGTTAACGGAGGCTTTCCCGGGAAGCTGCTTCCGTCGGAGAGGGCGAGATCTGTGCAAGGAGGCCCGGTCCCCACGGGGTGGGCAGGGCAGGGCAGGCGTGGCCGTGTTGGGCAGCCGGCTGGGCAGAGCAAGGCAGCAGTCCTTCCGCTGACCCTTTTATGTTCCTTGGACTATTCCGTGGCTTTTAGCTGCTGCTGCTGCTGCTTTTGTATTTTGCAGCCTAATTCTTTCCACCTTTTTTTTTGTGAAGCTCCTTGGGAGAAGGGAGGGAAGGGCAAATCTGAAAGTACCATCAAATCAAGGAAAAAACAAAGCAGTCTGTTCGTATTTTCACTGCTCAGAATGGTGGAATCAAGGAAACTACAGAGGGAGCGAGCCAGTGAGGAAGAGGCAGATGAGACCACCGTCCTGCTCCAGCCGGAGAAGGGCAGCACCAAGCCGCTGCTGAAAGCCTTCTGGAGTGTCTTTGGGACGTACTTTCTTCTGGGGACACTCAGTTTAGTCACCTGTGATGTCTTCTTGTTTCTGATCCCCAAGACACTGAGGTATGTGGACATCTGAAAATGGCTAGCCTCAGAGGAAACCTACCAACGCTCCGCTTGCTGTGTGTGCTTGGGATCCCACAAAGACCTGGAAACAGGGTGTCGGGGGTCCGCAGCCTCTGCAGCGCCCATTTCCAGTTTTGTAGAAGTCACCCCTGCGGGGCCTTGGTGGGAGGCCTCGTCGGGGGTGCTGTTCAGCACCATGCAGAGCTCATGCGGCTGGCAGTGATCTGGCGCACGCCACTCATCGCTGCAGGGCCTTCCGTGGGGGAACCTTCAGGGGTCACATCCCCAGAGGTTGCCGCCTTCGCTGCTTCAACACACCCGGTGAAAGGGAGTCCACCAGTCCTCAAAGGGGGCGATTCTACTGACAAAGAGCTGTTGCCGTTAGGGAGCATCTCCAGATGTTGAGCCGAAGCCAAGCATATCCTAAAAAAAATAACATTGAAATGGAGTAACGGTGTAATGGTTAGAGTCTGGGACATGGTCTGTCTGAGTTCTAGTTCCCACACAGGCCACGATGTTCCCTGTGTGACTTCGGGCCAGTCACAGCCCAACCTCCCTCACAGGGTTGGTGTGAGAATGAGGAGGAGGAGGACCAAGGCAGCCAGCCTGAGCTCCTTATAAAAGGGAGAAAAGTGGGAGATAAAAGTAATCCAAATAAATAAAAATAAGTGATAGACATAAAACTGCTTCCCCAGGCATGTATATTTAAAAAAGTGCATACAAAAATGCATGTATTAGGAGAAAGGAGCACAAAATGCTAGAGAAATTTCATGCACGTTTTATTTTTGCATTTTATTTTTTAACAAGTCCCACTGTTCAGAACGAACCAGCCTTGGGGCTGGAAAACGGAGTCACCCAGAGTGGCACACGAGCCCATCCCCCTAAAGGTGCGGCGCCCTCTGCCTTCCACCTGTGGCAGGGGATGGCCGAGCCAGCTGCTTCGCTCCGGATTGCGACCCGCTCTCCCCCCTCCTTTTGTAGCCTCTTCCTGGACTTCATCACTGATCCTGCCGCTCCCCCATGGCAAGGCTACCTCTGCGCCACCGTGATGTTCTGCTTGGCCTGCCTGCAGACCCTGTTCGAACAGCAGTACATGTATACGTGTGTCGTCTTGGGAATGAGACTGAGGACGGCCATCATGGGCCTTGTTTATCGAAAGGTACACCGTGCAGTTGGCTGATCTCTCTCTCTCTCTCTCTCTCTCTCTCTCTCTCTCTCTCTCTCTCTCTCGTATCTGCTACCATAAGCAGGTACGAGAAGGCTGCAGGCAGTCTACCTGTTCTAAGCAAAGCCATTGGAAGCCTTATGTATTCAGACTCTCCCTCTGTTCAGGCCGGCCCAAGTTCTGATGACTCTTTTTCTAGGCACAGAAAATGCAGGAACTGCTTGGTCCAATTGTATCTCCTGTAGGTCTTGGTACTGTCAGCTGCGGGCAAGAAAGCAACAACAGTGGGTGAAATTATCAACTTGGTGTCCGTCGACGTGCAAAAGCTGATGGATCTCATTATCTATTTTAACGGGACTTGGCTCGCCCCCATCCGTATCCTCATCTGCTTCATCTTCCTTTGGCAGGTAAATGAGAAGCAGGTAGGCTCCTCTTCAAAGGGGCCAGGTGTTAAAAGCAGGTCCTTCGGTGTGTTTAATTCCAAGAAACCTGTTCCTCCCGTCCACCCAATTCCCTTTGCGTGTTGACAGCTAGAATGCTGAGAAGGCTTTCAAGGATGGATACCAGCAGATATTAACACGATTTAGGATGTAGGATGCAGTCCTGGGGGATTTCTGCTTGTTGGACCGGAGGCTTCCAAAAGTCCAGGGCAGGTAGCAGGGCGAGGAGAATAGAGAAGCTTTATTTTTTTTATTTTTAATTTATTGCATTCATATACCACCCCAATAGCCCAGAGGGCTCTCTGAGTGGTTTACAAACATTAAAACCCCAAATACAATATCCAGTCCTAAACCCATCTGGGTAGCCTGTGAACCCATCTAGCTCCCATGTCGGTGGAGGTGGGAAGGGAGAGGCCCTGGAAGTCTGCGATGGTGCAGTTATTCCCATTACTGGGAATCAAGATTTAGAAATCTAAGTAATTAAAACAGTAATAGAAATCGACACAAGCTAAAAATATTAAATAGAGTAGTAAATCTATAGAAGCACCAAATTTAAAGCAGTCATAAAACAATATAAACAGAAAAAACAAAATAAACAGAATCATGTTGAAACCCCCCCCCCCACTTCCCCACCCAGCCGGACACACCAGTTTTGAGTTCTGTGTGGTCCCCCAAGTTCAGTGTTGTGACCTTGGAAAGCAGAAGCTTGCGGGTTCTTTCCCCAGTGCCTGCAGGGGGGGAAGGGGGGGGATGTGCTGGAGGAAGGGAGCCGAGGTCGATTTCCCTCCAAAGTCACAGGAATGTCTTCGGGTATCTGAACTACCCTATGGGCCCTGGGATCCCCTCTCAGCAACTGCTGTCCTTTTACACCATAGTGAATGGACTGAGCTTCCCTGAGGTAAATATACTAGAAGTGTAATATGTTCATTATTTACATTTATTTGCTGCACCTATAGCCAGAAAGGCTCTCTGGGCAGCTTACAGTAAGTGATAAAACACCAATTAAAAGATAACATTCAGTTAGTAAGACAATAAAAGATGGAAATAGGAACTATCAAAGAAAATCATAAACAGTCAGATCAAGATTTAATTAATAATAAAAGCAATATTAAGTTTTTAAATTTTAATTTTAATTTTAATTAAATTTGTATGCCATCCAATTACTTGCATCTCTGGGTGGCTTACAGCATAAATAAATTGACAACCCACTCTGGCCTCAAGTTCATAAAAATACAGCAGTAAAATTCAATATTAAAATATACGTATTAAAATATTGATTAAATAAAAAGGTCTTAACCTGGCGCCAAAAAGCATATAATGATGGCGCCAGGCGGACCTCTCTGGGGAGCACATTTATAGTTTTCTGTAAATATAGTCTGGCAGCTAAAATTCTCAAAAGTCAATAGACCTATTAAAGCCCAGCTAGTCACCAAAACAACTGCAGAACAGAAAAGTTTGCAATTGGCAATGAAAAGGGGAACGTGAAGACGCCTGGCAGGTCTCTCTAGGAAGCAAATCCCAAAGACAGGGTGCCACTGCAGAGAAAGCCCTTCTCAACTGCCAACTAGGAGACTCCGGGAGGAGACACAGCCAGGCAAGAGGGCATTGTGGGAGCCTGGGTTGTTTCATGTGCTCAGTCTGAGCTCAGCGTTAGTGCTCAGACCCCAGAGCTGGGAATCGGAGCTCCACTCCTCAATTGCAGGTGGCTCTCCGAGGCTGGAAAAGCGAACTTGGAGAAGAGGGGGCAGAGGGGTATTTCAGGAGGCGGGGGAGGCCTGAGAGGCCAGGGTGCAATTTAACCTTCCCTCCCTCTCAGAAATGATGTTGCTGGAAGGGTGAAAAAGCCCATTTAGCAAAATAGCGAAGCGGGAGAACAGGGTCCTTTAAATGCAGCTGTATTAACTTTGACCATTACTGTTTCGACTTTGATCTCACTTTCTGACGGTCGGGTCCATGGTGAACAGGTGCACGCCTGAAAATGTTCTTACCACGTCACTTTCACTCATGTATTGCTTTCCATTTTTATGTCTGAGCAGCTGCTGGGACCGTCCGCTTTATCTGCTGTTCTAGTGTTTGTATTTCTCTTGCCGCTGAACTTTGCAATCGCCAAGAAGAGAGGCCAGTTCCAGGTATGAATCGCAACCAAGGGGATACTTTTGATATATATGCCCGGCCTTTTTCCCTGCAAGGAGTCCAAGGAGACAGATCTCATCCTCACCTCTTTCTCTCCATTTTATTGTACCAACTGCCCCGTGGGAGTGGGCTAGCCTGAGAGCCTGCAACTGGTCCAAAGTGACCCTGTAAGCTTCATGGCAAAGAGACTGAGATCTCTAGAATCTCAGTCCAACACTCTAACCACTAGGCCACACTATGGATGTAGTACGTGTGGCCATCTAGAGGTGCTCCATGAGATGCATCCCTGATTCAGCTTCTGAGGGTCTGCATGAGCCTTCTTCTAACTCCTCTGGATGCTTGGGACTATCCTCAGCCAGCAGGGACAACCAGATACGTTGGAAGTTGTTGTTGAGTCCCATGGTTTTACAGATGAGACCAGAGACCAGTTGGAATTTTCGAGAGAAGAGGTTTATTACCTGCAGGGACCAGACACTCATTGGAGTGCGGTCTCGAGCAGAAGGAGGGCAGCAGTTTTTATACCCTTTTCCAACTATGCTTGAATAACAGCGAACAATAGGGGAGAGCCACCAAGCCCCATTTGCACATTTATCGTGCTAAAGCAAGCAAGCGAGGGTACAAGGGCGTAACGTCTGCGGTATGCCGGAGCGTAGCCTGCTTTGTTGTCAGCCTTGCGTAGCGTGCACATCCCTGTTCTCACGCGAACAGGACACCCTGACCATGCTTTCTACCCGTGACGAGCCATGCCCTGGCTGCGTGTTCGATTATGAGGGGGGTTACAACAGCTGTAAACCAAAACACTGGGGAGGCACCGGGGTTGGGGGTGGGGGGAATGGTTTGCCCCTGCTGCTGGACTGCACTCCTTCCCCAGCGCTTTCGCAATTGCAGAGCATGAGGATCGAATCTGGGCCCTTCCACATGCGAAGCATGGGATTCTATCAAAGTACAAAGCACGGGATGCAGAACGGGGCTACCACTCATGGCGGGGCCTTTTCAGTGGTGGCACTCCAGCCGTGATGTTCTCGCCGCTGCCTAGCATGTTGTCATGTGCGCACCAATGACGGCCTTCTCAGGAGGTCCCTCAGCCCACGGCCACCGTGCCCACCCCGGGCACTGGCCCAGCCAATGGCTGCTTCCGAGTTGCTTTGTTCGGGCAAGAGATTTTTCCTGCTCGTAACAGCAGTGATGTGAATTGGGGCCCTGCCTTTCAGGAAGCTCAAATGAAGCATAAAGATAGCCGTGCAAAACTCACCAGCACCATTCTTGGCAACATCAAGATGCTCAAACTCTACGGATGGGAGGAGAACTTTATGGGCAAAGTGCTGGCTGCCCGAAGCCAAGAACTCCGAGCCCTCCGGACGTCCCAGTTTCTCTTCTCTGCCTCCCTTGCGTCTTTCCAGTCGTCAACATTTCTGGTGAGTGCTTTCCTCCGGCCTCCCCAAGAGCCCCCCGTAGTGCCTGCCCTCTCCATCGTTTCCCCGCTTTCTTCTCGCCAGATCTCCTTCATCGTGTTCGCAGTCTACACGTTGGCAGATGCGCGGAATGTCTTGACTGCGCAGAAGGCCTTCGTCTCCCTGGCTCTGGTCCACATTCTCAACACGGCTCATTCCTTCCTCCCCTTTTCCATCAACGCGGTCGTGCAGGTGAGGGGCAGCTTGGCTTTGGCTCGGCTGCATGGCACCACGGCGACGGGGCATGCCGGTTGCGCCCAACAGCTGCTGCCCAGGGACCTGCTGCCTCTTGCGCCTGCCGTACGTCGTGCTGAGTCTTCATAGCCCAGCCCATCTTTACGCAGGAGGGTCAGCTCCCAGGCATGCAGGAGGCTCAAGCAGGATGCCTTTCCAAACTGGTGCCATGAGCTGGCTTTTCCCTCCCCAGCAAGATAGACTCTCTGGCACTTTTGTAAGTGTCTTTATCCTACAAAGAAATCTCTAAGCATACACAAGACTCTGCGCATACACAAAGTGAGATGTTGACCCCTCTCTGCCCCCCTTTGCCCAAAGCTTTGCTTATGAACCCTCCTGGGCCTGGCTTGGGAAGGAGGGGCGCTGAGCCCCTCTGTGGCCTCTTCCCAGCATGGCCTGCCCGGTTTGCTGCACTGCACTGCTCTGGGGCTGCAGCGGCTGCTCCCCTCGTCTCGTGCCTCCCGTCATTTGCCTGGGGAGCACAAAGACAGGAGGAGGTGGAGCGAGGCGGTTCTGGGCATCAGCAGTGGGCGAAGCCGAGCAACGACGCAAGCCCGCTTGTATTTTATTTAGTGGACTTAAGATATTTTGAGGTTCAAGTCTCTGGCAAAAGTCCATGTTCCTCTTCCTGGCAGCTTGCTGGGTGGAGAGAGGGGAGAGCGAGAGAGAGGGGGCGGCAGACTGAGTGAGAAAGAGAGAAAGAGAAAGGGGGTCATAAAGAGAGAAGGGGATATCAGAATGAGAAACAGGGTTATCAGAAAGAGAATTGAGAGAGAGAGAAGGGGGTATCAGGGAGTGAGAAAGAGGGTAAGTGTCAGAGGGAGAAAAAGAGAGAGGGAAGGGGTTTCAGAAAAAGAGCAAAGGAGTTTTCCACTCATTGCTTGCTTTAGTCTGACCCATTCACTGTGGCACACCACCCTGGCTGATTAACCCCGGGGGAACCTGGTTCTGCCTTCATTAATATGCTTTGCTATGCTATGCTATGCGATGCTAGTCGTAAAGTCGCGTCCGACCCCATGGACAACACTCCTCCAGGCCTTCCTGTCCTCCACCATCCCCAGAGTCCACCTAAGCTCATGCCGACTGCTTCTGTGACTCCATCCAGCCACCTCATCCTCTGCCGTCCCCTTCTTTTTTTGCTGTCAATTGTTCCCCGCATTAGGCTCTTCTCCAGGGAGTCCTTCCTTCTCATTAGGTGGCCAAAGTATTTGAGTTTCATCTTCAGGATCTGGCCTTCTAAAGAGCAGTCAGGGTTGATCTCCTCTAGGACTGACTGGATATATGAATGTTTATATTTAAAAATAAAATCACAACTTGGCGGCCAGTGACAAGCGGGGTCCCGCAGGGCTCTGTCCTGGGGCCGATCCTGTTTAATCTTTTCATTAACGACATGGAAGAAGGGGTGAACAGTCTGCTGATCAAATTCGCAGACGACACTAAAACTGGAGCAGTGGCCACAACTGAGGAGCAGGTACTCCAGATCCAAAAGGATCTGGACAGACTATGGAAGTGGGCAGGAGACAACAGGATGGCGTCCAGTGTGGATAAGTGCAAGGTCTTGCACTTGGGGCATAGGATGGGTGTCACAAGTACAGGTTAGGGGACAAATGGCTGGAGAGCAGCCCTTGTGAAAGGGACCTCGGGGTGCTGGTTGAATGCAGGCTAAACATGAGTCAGCAGTGTGATGCGGTGGTCAAGAGGGCGAACGCCAGCCTTGGTTGCATAGCCAGAAGTGTGGCTTCTAGATCGAGAGAGGTATTACTACCACTCTACACAACTCTGGTGTGCCCGCAATTGGAGTATTGTGTTCAGTTTTGGGCCCCTCATTACAGAAAGGATATAGCCAGGTTGGAGTCAGTGCAGCGTAGGGCCACAAGGTTGGTGGCCGGTTTGCAGGGGATGCCGTATGAGGCGAGACTGAGGGAACTGGGTCTCTTCAGCCTGGAGAAGAGGAGACTCAGGATATGTTGGCGACATACAGGTATGTGAGGGGATGTCACATGGAGATGGGTAGAGACCTGTTCTCCCCTGCAGAGGAAGGCAGGACGCGCTCCAACGGAGCAAAGCTCAGGGAACCCAGGTTCCATTTGGATGCCAGGAAGCACCTCCTGTCAGTCAGGACCCCAAGGGTGTGGAATGGGCTTCCACGGGAGGTGGTTGAGGCCCCATCGGTGCGGGTGTTCAAGGATAGGCTGGACGTGCACATGGTGGGCATGTCATGAGCAGAGCCGGCTGGTGCCGGAGGTCAGACTAGATGGCCCGGGAGACCCCTTCTGACTCGCTCTGTTTTCTATGTTTCTATGTTTCTATAATCAGCCCCAACACTTCATTACAAAAAGGGGCAGCAGGGACAGACCAGTCACAGTCAGATAGGAATGCAAAATGAAAATAGAAGCAATGAACGTTCAGCCCAGCATGGCATTCCCAGCAGATGCGCGCAGACCATTTAGTTCTCGATGCAGCAGCTGCCGGATGCTGGAGGGGCCCCATCCAAAGGTGCAGGAAGCAGACTGGGTTGCTGCGGATTTCTTCTGCCCCGTCCCTCAGTGGAGCTCAGTTGCCTGCCTTCGCGTTTTTCCAGGCAAAAGTTTCTATAAAGCGTTTGGCTGCCTTTCTCTGTCTCGAAGAGTTGGACCTAACCGAACCGGACATGGGTTCGTTGGGCAGCAGTAAGTATCAACTTGGGAGCAGTTTCCTCTTGTGTCTGGGATGCTTCTATTTTCCTCCTCAAAACCACCGAGTGAGCCTCAGCGTTTAAGCGGTATAAAACGAAATAAATGAATAAAGCTACTACATTTGCATCGAGGTCCTCAAAGGGCCATGATCCTCTATGTGGAGCTCGGACACAACTGGAGTCCACCTGGAGAAAAACGTTCCAAGTTACCCCTCTTATGGAATACACTCCCCAGAGAGGTCCGCCTGGCACCGTCGTTATTTGTTTTTCGGCGCCAGGCCAAGTCCTTTTTATTTAAACGTTATTTTAATTGTTGAATTTATTTATTGATTTTATATTTATGCCGGGATGTCTCCAGATTTTTATGTATTTGTATACCTATTTATTTGTATTGGAAGCTGCCCTGAGGCTTTTGCGAATGGGGCGGCATATAAGTGTTCCAAATAAATAATAATTAATACACCTGGCCTGTTTTACAGAGGGGTTGAGACAAGACAGCTGCTGTAAGCCTCTTGGAGAAAGGTGGGACTGGAGTATCTTAAGTAAATAAAAGAAAATCCAGCTGTTTGGCTTTTTACCAAAATGGTGTGGAAGGGCCATAATTCTTTTTAGTTTAACTCCAACCCCCTCCATTCTTTCTAAGGCAGTCTAAGGTGTTATTTTTAGAACAAGCTTGCTGGTTGTTGGTTTGGATGGTGTGGGAAGCCAACAATTATGCCAAACTGCATCCAACAATCCTCACTTCTTTATATGCCTTTTGTCTCTTAGCACAGGATTGCATTCTTGTTAGAAATGGAACTTTCAGCTGGTCCAAAGAGAGCCCCCCGTGCCTGAAAAGGTAACTGCTTGAGGATAGTTTGGGTCTTCTGTCATTTGTTTTAAGACATAATCATTCTCCCAATTGTCTAGGTTGGGAATGATGCTGATAAAGGTTGCCTGGAGTTTTCTTGTACTTCTAATATGCAGTGAAACAGCAGCAAGCAACCGAACTTACTTCTTCCTTCTCCCTTCCAATCCCCTTTCCTTTAGTGCTGTGTCTTCTACATGGTAAGATGGAAGGGAGGGTCTGTCTTACTGCTGAGTTTTTGTAGGCCAGCCTGAATACCTAGTTTGGCAACAGAGTGGGGTAAAATATCTAAGAAAATCAATTTCCAAATAAATAATAGGTGTCAAAAGCAAAAGGGCCAGAGCTCTTGAGCGAGGGTCATAGGCAGGCCAGAGGCCAGCACCACTGAGAATCCAACTGTTCACATCTTTGAAATCTCTGCATTATTTTTGCGCTGGGGACAGTGGAATTCTGTACATTTTCAGAGGTACAGGTTTTTTCATGCATGGGCTTCAGACAAATGGAAGCTATTGATCACAACTGCAAGCTCGGGGATCCACGGACTCCGGTCACTGATTGCATCCTCATTTGGGATCAGTCTGGTCACTGCAGACTTGGGTCCATCCTAGTCAAAACCCAACCAGTGGAAATTCTGATTGGTCCCATGTTGGAGATTGGTTATGGGGTGCCTAGGAGCCCCCCAGCCCCCCATTCCCCTGTGATTGCAATGACCCAATCCACAGTCTGTCTGCAGGCCACATGCTCCAGAAGGCCACTGATGTATTCGTTGCCATCTTCGCAGGATAAACCTCGCCATCCCCCGGGGCTGCCTGTGTGCCGTGGTCGGCCAGGTGGGTGCCGGGAAATCCTCTCTCTTCTCGGCATTACTTGGTGAGCTGCAAAGATCCGAAGGGTCTGTTGTGATGAAGGTAAACCCTTATTTATTTATTTAAAACATTTTTATGCCGTCCTTCCCAATCGCGTCTCAGGACGTCTTACATGATGAAAAGCAAAGCCATGAAACAATCGATAGAACGGAACGATACAATAAAATTAACAAAGCTTGAACAAATAAATCCATTCAGAACCAAATATAACAAAAGCAACTGTAAAACGGTAAAAATACTAATTTTAAAAAATAAAAATTAAATGGTTTTAACCGGGCGCCTTAGTGTTTGACAAGCTTTTTGCTTAGATTCAGTTCACTTGAAATTAATTTGTGTGTTTATTGTAACCTGCTCTCTGGCTGGTTTTTAATAAAATGCAATAAGATAAAAGGTACATTAATAGAACAAGTAATAAATTAGTTCCTATCGTTGTCTTCACCTGAACCCCCATTGAACCAGTGCCAGATGAGGGGTGGCCTTGGGCATCATCCAAGGGTGCCGTGCTGCATACCGCCCATCGAAGAAAATGGCTGTTGGGCCATGGGCGGGACTGCAATTCCAGTCTCTCCTTGGGGAAGATGGTAGCTGTAGTCCAAACCTTCCTGAAGGCTCCAGGTTGGAAAGGACAAATTTAGCTTATTCGTTTTCATTCGTCTTAATGTGTCCTTTAATGAAAAAGCAAGGGAAGCGTCCTGTCAGAATCCATATCCCTTCAGCACACGAGCATCGCTTGCGTTCAGTCGGCAGATCCTCCCTGCTTTCCGTTTTCCAGGGCACGGTAGCCTTTGTTCCCCAGGAATCCTGGACACAGAACGCCTCCGTGGAAGAGAACATCACGTTTGGAGACAAGCTGGATCTCAGGTGGTACGACCGGGTCGTTACCGCCTGTGCGTTGCAGCCAGACCTGGACGGCTTTCCTGATGGAAGTCAGACCAAAATAGGAGAGAAGGTGCTTGGGTCATTTCTGTCTGGCCGAGATATTTTGTGGGTAGGGGAATTTTGGGTGGGCCACAGGTTTTGGGGACACCCACTCTAAATGGTCCCAAATACAATTCTTTTTTCTTATTATTCCGTGAGCTGCTCTGGGTTACCTTTTTTTATATAAAGGGATGCGATCTGCTCCGATAAATAGGCGAATGATAAGATAAGAAATCATTGTAAGGCATGTAAATTGTAGCTACAAGCAACAACAGCAGATGACTGAGCGAGGGGAACCGATGCTCTGAGCTGAGCTCCATCCAGGAGCTCCCAAATTTGTGGCTAGAAAGTGTCTGAGCAGAAGGAATGTTCCAGCCCATCCCTCGGCTCTGCATCCTTCACCTTGAGGAAAGCAGGGGCCCCAGTTCAGGTTCGGCTGTCTCTGGGTGGGGTGGGGAAGGTCTCTTGCTGGAAGCTTCTGCCAGCGATGGTGGATCATTGCCCAGATGTGTTACAGAAGAATCCACAGGCCCTCTGACCAGAATGGGCAGCATCCTCGGCACCCAGCACATCCGGACGGTGCCGAGCTGGGGCAGGCCATGGCTGGCAGCTTCCGTGGGGATGGACTGTCCTGGTGCCCAGGAATGTCTGAGTGACTTGAGGGCTCCTGGACCCTCTGATTCTTTGCAATGGGCAGGCAACCACTGCAAAGCCTACTTACAAGAGTGTTTGACGGAAAGGTGTTTCTGCTCCTGTGTGAGACTGTGATTGTGTGTGAGAGCGAATGAGAGCGTGGAAGATGAAGAACCTCCCAATTTACGCCAAAACAGGGCATAAATATTTCTGGAGGAGAGAAGCAGCGGCTCAGCCTGGCTCGGGCTGTCTACAGGAACGCGTCCATTTACCTTCTCGATGACCCACTTTCTGCTGTGGATGCCCTGGTCGGCCAGCACATTTTTGAGCAGGTTCTAGGACCCAAAGGCTTACTGAAGGACAAGGTACTTAAATGCTCAACCTGCAGCCCTCTGCTGTCCCTCATCCATTCCAGGCTGGCTGGGGCTGATGGGTCCTGGAGTGGGTGCCTTGTCTTTGGTGACTTGGAAGGAGTCTGCTGTGCTAAAAAATTAGCTCTAAGCAGCACGGTTAACGGCAACAGTTAAAAGCAGTTGCCCTCCATGTTTGGGACTAGAGCAGGTTGGAGGAGGCCGGGCTTAGATTTCAGAAAGAGGAGCATGTGGTGTGGCCATTACATTGTCCTGCTCTTCCAAATCTGAATGCAGGCTTGGTGCTAAAGAGTCTCAGCAGCCTTGGTGTTTCGTTTTACATTTCTACCCCATTTTCCCCTTGGAGGAACCCGAGTTGGCTTTCCTGGTGTCCCCCTCTCACTTTCTCCTCAACACAGCCCTGTGCGGGAGCTCAGACCAAGGCTCAGTGACTACTCAAGTCACCCAAATGGAGACGGAAACACGGATCCCAGCCCGACACTCTAACCACTGCTTCACACTGCTATAGCAGGTGTTCTGATGGGCATCCTGCAGCTGCTGCGTTAACCACAGGCTGTTTCCTTCCTTTCCAGACTCGTGTTCTGGTGACCAGTGCAGTTCACATTTTGCCCAGAGTGGACCATATTATTGTAATGAGGGATGGGGAGATCTCCGAGGCTGGCTCGTGGCAGGAGCTCGTGCAGCGCCAGGGGGCCCTTGCAGATTTCCTGATGTCTCACGGCGGAGGAGCAAAAGAAGGTCAGGGTTTGCCAGGTGCAGCTAGGCCTTTCTGTGTCCAGCTCTCTTGAGACGCAGCCCGTGCCCAGTGAAATAGGCGCTGCACGGACCAGCCCTCTGCCGCGGTCCACATTGGAGCCATTTCCCAGGCTACTTCTGGGCTGCAGAAAAGTCCCGATGTGCAAACTCCCGAGTAGCCCTAATCAGCCACCATTTCCCCCCAGAATGGAGCGTGCCCATCGGGGCTTCGCCTCGATCTAGCTGGGCAAGCTTGGTGAGGCTGCTTATCCAAGCCCATATTTCACCCTGAGTTTCGGAAGACCTGTCCATGGTGCTCAGCCAAACCCAGGCTGGTGTCAGGACTTTGGACAACTCCTTAGAAGTTCCGGGTGCAGCTGGGAGATGCATGCAGGCTGCAGTCCCCGGCCTCCCCTGCATCCCAGGGATTGTCGCCAGGGCGGGAAAAATTTCTGGCTTAGCAGCTCTCATTGCAGCAACGCTAAATAATAGTTCTAGTGGGTGCTTATTGCTAAAAGGGAAGGAGCAGTCTGCTTTGGAGCAGATGTTCCGCTCAGGAAGCTTTGATCCTTCCCAGAGCCAGCTCGCAGGTTCTTCTCGCACAAATCCATTCCTGGCTCTCTCCATACCCCAGCACCGTTCCTGAAACAAACACACATCACCTGAAAACAAGCAAGTTTCCTCTCTTGCACACCCACCCTCACACACAAACTCTTCATTTTTCCCTACACTACCTTAACACCCTGTCCAGGTTTGCAGATTTTAGTATGTTAAGCAGTATAGAACTATCAGAAGTAGAGTAGGGAAGGTGAGAAAAAATAGTCCGCTATCTAAATACTCGGATTTTGTCAATTGAATGTAATTAATTAATCTAAGGGTACAATGCTGTACACAACTAGGCAGAACACTCATAGAATTCAGTTTAGAAACAGAGCGAGTCAGAAGGGGTCTCCCGGGCCATCTAGTCTGACCCCTGGCTCCAGCCGGCTCCGCTCATGCAATCCCCAGCATGTGGCTGCCCAATCTTTCCTTGAACACCCTCACTGATGGGGCCTCCACCACCTCCCTTTGAAGCCCACTCCATATCCCAGGGGTCCTAACCATCAGGAAGTCCTTCCTGACGTCCAGCCTGAAGCCTGGCTCCTTGGGCTTTGTCCCACTGGAACACGTCCTGCCCTCCTCTGCAGGGAAGAACAGGTCACGACCCTCCTCCACACTTTAGTGGAGGGATGGGAATAGCATCGGTGAGCAACCTTTTCCCTTGGATCTATGGAAAATCCACCTTCGGGAAACGTCCTCTGGGGCTGCAGTCGGTGGTGAGCGGGTTCAGAGGTGCTGGAGGGTGGCGTCTGCAGCATTACTTTAATTCCTCCTTTGTGTGTGTGAGCATGTGTGAATGAGAGGGGGAAATGTAAAGACGAAAACTTGCCAGGGCAGCATGAGGTGCCCTGCGGCATCCAGGGAGCTGCTGAATGCTGAGAATTGCATGAAATTAGACCCACAGATCTTTTTAAATCGCAGAATCAGACTTCAGGTGATGGGACCTATGGGAAAGTCAATACCGGGAAGTTTAGTCAGCTCTGTGATTTGGGAGAGGAGATGCAAACATCTGGAGCTTGTGCATCTTCTCTGAAGCAGAGTTGCATATTACCTTTCCGATAATGACACTTGTCATGTATCAGATTTGGAACTTTTCAACTCCACAGGTGCAGGAACTGTTGGGGTTGTCCCTGCAGGATGTATGACCCACGAGGGAAAACTTGGAGAGTAAGTAGTAGGAACTGCGTTTGATCTCCAAAGTAAGGTTGTGCCTGCATGCTCCTTAAACTCAACAAGAGGCATTCCCACTTATGATATTTTAATTTAGAAGGAATAGAAGAAAATTCATTTCTGCTGGTTCTAAGGAGGGCTTCCTCTATAGCATGCATGAAACAGGGCCTGAGCTGCGTTCTTTCTGTGGAGGGCAAGAGGAGATGCAGAGAGTGTAACCAGCCCTAATCCATACTGAGAGCACACATTGCATGGAACAGAGCACTTGCTTTTTTCCTCTGCCCTCCTCATCTGTTTTCCTTTCCTGTCATACCCTTTTAGATGCTGGAGGCTGATGGTTCCAATGTCAGTGGGGCAGTGTATCTATTGCATGTTATACTCTGAATTTTTAAGATGCTCTTCACGTTTCTGGAACTAGTTTGGGGTTAAGCACCATGGATAGCTCCTTAAATAGTTCAGGCTAAAGCCCAGCATGGATTGGCTTTAGTTTGAAGTATTCAGCCTCGCTGACATTGAAGCTACCATCTAGGGATTGAGTTACCCAGCACAGGTGCATGGAGAAAAGTTTCTTTTTTTCCAGCACCAGGTTAAGACAGCTCTTTATGCTGAGACATCTACAGAAATACTAGGTTATCTAGGGGCTTTGGGATATTAACCATCCAAGTATTTTTCTTTTAGAGGGCTATTCTTCACTGTATGTTTCTAGCTGTTTTGATTTTATGCTGCTTTTTTAAAGATTTTCTGGCATTTTTATTGTATTGTTTTTATGTACTGTTGTGAACGGCCCAGACTCCTTTAGCTACTGGCGAGTATTAGAGATGGAGTCGTAGTCGTAATAACAAATCTTCTTTCCGTAACAGGTCATCTAAATCCCCAGCAGGGCATGCTGGCTACAGGCCCGTGGATACAGAACTGGGAGAATGTATTACAAGTGGAGAGAAACGACTCACTGGCAGGGTAACGTCAAAGCCCTGAACAAATAAGGCAACGGCCGGAAGCAGTGCCAAGATGGTGTCACATGCAAGCCATCACAAGCCCATTGCATTCCCCAACTTGGCACCCTTCAGATGTATCCATTACAACTCCGCTCAGCCTCACCCCAGGGTGCCTATTTCCTTGATGACTGGGGACGGTGGGAGTGCATATTTATATTTATTTGTTAGATTTATACCCCCCTTTTTTCTTACAAAGCACTCAGAGCAACTTACCTCGTTCTCCCGCTGCTCTCAATCTTAACCACACAACAACCCTGTGAGGTAGGTTGGGCCGAGGGTGTGTGACTGCTCCTAAGCCACAACCCAGGTTGCCTGAGTCCCAGTCCTGTGCTCTTAACCACTGCACCACACTGGCTCTCAAAAAAAACCCTGTTTTTCCTTGGTAAAGCATTAAGCAAAGCACATGCACCCCAAAACCTATTTGGGGAAGGCCTGGTATGCCGTCTTGGCTGGAGCTGATCCGTGCCGTTCTGCAGCTGTGGAGACACTCTGCCCATAGAGAGAAATGGCTGAATAAGTTTGTTCTGGGTTGTGAGAACAAGGTAAATGCATGTCACGGGATGCTCACCAGGGTAGCCGGCAGCAGCTGTCCTTAACCCCCATTCAGAACAACTCCACTTGTTGATTTTCAAAGGCCACCAGTGTTTGGGTTCGGAAGGGGCTGGGGTGGACGTCGGATAAAGCAGCATCGGACAGGTGACCCCCTTCCGCTCGCAGCTCCTCTCGGCTTCCGCAGACATCTGCGTACTGATGGGAAGTCTGTTTCCTTCGTCTAGGCTAAGATGTCGGTCTATTGGAGCTACCTGGGAGTGGCTGGGCCCCTCATCTGGGCCTATACTCTGCTTTTGCTCACCTGCCAGCAGATGGCCTCGTTCTGCCGGGGCTACTGGCTTAGCCTGTGGGCCAACGACCCCCTGCACAACGGAGTGCAGCCCCACACGGCGCTCCGTGTTGGCATCTTCTTTTTCCTGGGATGCGCTCAAGGTTTGCCCCACCTGCCAGTCCACCTCGGCCTCGCCCTGCTTCTCTCTCTCTCCTCCTCTTCGTCTGGGGGACTGTTCCTGCCTTCTCTACGTAGAGGGTTTCTTGGAGCTTAAGATCAAGACCCCGTGCGTCGCTCAGGAGCTAATCAGCAGCCTGTGCCCTTGCTTGCTTGCTTGCTTGCTTGCTTGCTTGATTGATTGATTGATTGATTGATTGATTGATGTAAAACTTTTCTAGACTGTCCCACTACCGAAGTCTCAGGACGGTTTAACAATACAGAATGTAAAATAAAACACAGTGTCCTGAAAATTCAACTAACAATAAAACCCCAGTTAAAACAAGCAGATCTTAAAACATTGAGAAAATAAAAAGGGGTTAGCCTGGTGCTGAAAAGAATAAAGCGACGGCACCAGGCAAATCTCTCTGGGGAGCGCATTCCACAATTGGGGTGCCACCACAGAGAAGGCCCTTCTCCGGGCAGTCGCCCTCCTAATCTCCTTCATGGGGGGCTCCTGGAGGAGGGCCTCTGCCCCAGACCATAAGGGGTGGGCAGGCACATATGGAAGGAGATGCTTCTTCAGGTAACCAGGTCCTGAGCCATTTAGGGCTTTCTAGGTCATCACCAGCACCTTAATTTGGGCCCAGGCTTCAACTGGTGGCCCGTGGAGGTGGAAAGGGACCTGCGTTATATGTTCATACCTGCTGGTCCCTGTGAACAACCTGGCGACTCTATTCTGGCCCAACACTGCTGCGATCTGCGCATGCCCAGGCACCCCTCTCCACAGCCTGACATTCTGCACCTGCTGCCACTTCTAGGCCAAGAGCGAGGGGACCCCAACCAGAAGAGCATTAGAATCATCGGCACATACAAGGGCCACGGAGGTTGGGTTGAGAGATGTGGAGACCCAGGAAAAAACAGAGGGAAAAGTGGGAATCTTTTTTCTGAAAAAGCTTAAAAGTTATTTTTCAGAAAAACTTTTGGAAAATGGCTTGTTTGCTTTCCCTGGTTTTGTTTGGTTTTGTTCTTTCCAGGTTTTGACATCTTGAGTTAGGCTCGCTCTGCCCAGGAAAAGCTTGTGGGTGGTCTTACCCTTCCCTTTAAATTATAATATTTCAAAATGTGCACCTGTACAGATAAATTAGCACATCTATTTTCTTTGCTATTCGATGACATCTTTCAGTGCACTTTTAGTGAGTCGTACAGGGGTTTCTGCAAGGAGAATGAAAGGAATGGGATCCTCCGGGTCAAAGGGAATCTCTCTCTCTCCTGGTGTTGCAGCTATTGGAAAGTTCGGGTCAGTCGCCGCCGTGTTCTTGGCCGGGACGCTGGCCTCGCGCAAGCTCTTCCTGCAGCTGCTCCGGGATGTCATCCGATCTCCAATGGCCTTCTTTGAGCAGACGCCCAGCGGCAACCTGCTGAACCGCTTCTCCAAAGAAATGGACGCCATTGATTCCATCATCCCCGACAAGCTGAAGTCCCTGCTGGGCTTTTTGTTTCAACTGCTGGAGATCTACATCGCCATCATGGTGGCCACCCCTATCGCTGTGGTAGCCATTGTCCCTCTGACCGTCTTGTACGCCACGTTCCAGGTAGGGAGGACAAATCTCAGTTTCCCTGCCTTTCCAACATGGAGTTCATTTTGTCCCATTTCTGAAACAGTTCGCAATCATTTAAAGTCTGCATGAAAAGGCAGACTTGTTTTTTGAACCCTTTCGATGTGATCCATGCCTTCTTGGATACAGCTTTGCAGAGTGTGTCTTTCTGTGAGATTTGCGCCATCTCAGTATGTTGTTTTCAAAAAAGTATGCATTTTTATTGTTCCATGTATATCCCACATTTTTTCTCTGCTAGGAACCCAAGACAGTTTACCTAATCCTCTTCCTCCTCCACTGCACTTATCGTCACAACAGCCCTGCCAGGTAGCCTAGGCCGAGAGTCAAGTGTGAGCATTGGCTATAAAGCCATGGGTTGGGTAACTCAAAATGAAGTTTAAAATAGCAAAATTTACATTACTGAAGCATCCTGTCAATAGGAAAAACTTGTAGAATCTGAATGAAAATAGATGCACAAAGACACACATCCCCCAACCATGAAAAGTATGAGCAATGAAATAATAAAACTTCAAAGAAGGAATCATGTACATCCACCCATCCAATGCCACCGGAGCTACTCATCCATTGCAGCTTTTATTTTGAGCTCTGAGAGCCATCCGTGGCCTTTCATGCCAGTGAACCTGTTCCATCGATGTAGTTCAAAACCTGCTGCACTGGATGAGGCCACCACCAACGGCAGAGGTGCCGTCCTCCCTTGCGCGCAGACAACACTCATGAAATCCAAGCGGGGCAGAGTTGGTCTGTGGGCAGGAGGTTCAGCTCGCCAGTCTTGAGTGACATGTGTCTGCCCTCTTGTTCTCAGAGCTTCTTCGTCACCACCTCCTGCCAACTACGGCGCCTTGAAACCGCAAGCCGGTCCCCCATCTTTTCCAACCTTTCGGAGACCTTTCACGGGAGCAGCATCATCCGTGCATACAAGGCCCAGCAACGCTTCGTTCTCCAGAATGACTACAGGGTGGATGAAAACCAGAGGGCCTCTTTCCCTGCCCTGGTGGCTGACAGGTGTAATATTGAGGCCTGCTTTTGAGGGACTGGCACCCCTTCGTACCAATTTTGGAAGGGGTTGGTCAAGATCAGGCCAAGACGGCCTTTCTCTTGGCTCAGTGCGCTGATTTCTGGGCCCACAAAAATGGCTGGCTTGTCAGACCTCCTGGCACAAGGCACCCATGTGGGGCGACAACTGAGCCTGAGATGAAGTTCATGCAGTGAAAGAAAGCCTTCCTAGGGGAAAGCATCTTTTCAGGGTCCGAGCAAAACTAAGAACATAAATATAAAGGGCCCTGGTACCTCCATCACATCCAGCATGCAGGTTTCTGTTGTCACCTGTCGGTTGTATCTGGGAAGCCTGCACGAAGGGTATCAGTGGAACTTCACTGGCCTCCGTAAATCCTTCAGCGTTTTTCTTGGCAGAGATCGTGGGCTCTTCCCTGCACTCCAGCCCAAGCTGGCAGTTCTTCCGGAGTGCAGCTGAATAAATGCACAAGGGTGCAGGCAGACTAGCGGACACAAGTCAATAACCTCCCCATTGCGAGCTTTTTAGTACAAAGTGACCCTACAGCACCCCCCTGTACCAGTTTGGGCCAAAGTTGGTGCCTGGGCCCAGCATGGCCTCGGTGGTGGTGTGGATTTTGCGCTGCTGGTCACTAGTGTGGGTTGGAGAGTTCTTTACGCAGAGGCCAGGTGGGAGCAGATCAGCACCATGGAGAGCTCCAGGTGGGCCTGGAAGCCACACAGGGTGTCTCCGTGATGCTCCAACATGAAGCTGATCGAGACGGAACATTACGTAAGAGTGCGCCGGCTTTGAAGCTGCACTTGAATGCCAGCTAAGGCTTCGTCGCTTAATTGCTCGGACCTGTTTTGGCAGCCTCAGGCTGCAGGGATGTGGAAATAGCTATGGCAGCTGCCATCTTTGGACTCTGGAAGAGGAGGAAGCTCCACTTTGGACTCTTTGGTGCCAAAAAGAAGGAAGCTGTGCTGGATGCAGGGGAGCCGAACCCTGGGGTCTTTCTGGGGAGGGGGAGCTTCCCGATGCCTTTCCAGGAATAAGCATCCTTCAACTGGTCCTTCCAGAGCCTCTTTTTGTGGGGACAAGGGGTCAGTGCTCTCTGAGGATGCAGGCTTGGGCTCTTGGTAAATGATACCCACTCTCTCTTCATTCCAGGTGGCTTGCCACCAACATAGAGTTCCTGGGCAATAGCGTTGTCCTGGTTGCAGCTGTACTTGCTGTGATCAACAGACCATACCTCAGTCCAGGGCTGGTTGGATTTTCCATTTCGTGCGCTCTGCAGGTAACTGCAATATGTGCTTACCAGCTCTGGGTCTGCCTTTTCAGATTCCCTGTGGGGGGCTGCTGTAACGTGTGCTAGAACCAGCTACTTCTTTGACCAGAATGCTCTTATTTTCTCTCTTGGCCAGATAACGGGGGTTTTGAACTGGATGGTGCGAGCCTTAGCAGAAATGGATAACAATATTGTATCTGTAGAAAGAGTCAGAGATTACTCAAGCACGGTCAAAGAAGTAAGCATCAGTCCTCTCTCGGCGATCGTGTTGAGCGTTTTCATGAAAACAAGATGAGTGTGCGGCCTTAACGAACATATATCGCTACCAAGTGTGCGATTTGCTGTTATAAGGACCAATGTCAAGGTCACACCAACCTTCCCCACCTGGTGTCTTCCAGGTGCTTTGGACTCCAATTCCCATCACCCCCAACAAGCAAATATTGTGAATGAGCTAGCCAACTATTGGCGTTTTGAGTTTATGGCATTTCCACCCTTCACCACAAGAGGGCACTCAAAGACAAGAAAAACAATGCTCGCCTACTTCAGCACGTCAGGTCCCTCCATGCCTGCCTGGCTTTCCTGATCATCCTTGAGATGCGCAGCTTGCCGCATCATCTGGACTCCGCAGCCGATGTGGTGGGAAATGTTTTTAGAACCACCTCAGAACCGTAGAACAAGCCATGGTTTCTGGGGTGGCTTTGAAGCCACTCCCTTTGTGTACTTTCCTGACTTTGATAGGTCCCAGAAGCTGCGCCCTGTACAGGCAGATTTGGTCGCAGTTGGTGTGTGTGACCAACTCGCGTTGAGGTGGGCAAAGGAGTCCACCGTGGCTCCCTTTCCTGCCAGTCGTCCAACCCCAGTTAGCTACTTTCTCTCCTCTTGCTCTCGTGACTTCTCCCCCGAGTGCCTCATCATTTCAGTAATGTTTTGGCTCACCGATCTGGTTCTGGGATCGCCGCTTGGTGCATGAGTTGCTGTTGTATCTCTCTGCAGGCTCCTTGGACTCTGGACAATAATACCGTGTGTGAGAACTGGCCTCGCGAAGGGGCAGTCGAATTCAGAGGGTACAGCATGCGATACAGGCCGGACTTGGAGCTCGCTCTGAAGAAGATCAGCATACGGATCAGTGGGCGAGAAAAGGTAAGGTATGACCAGAATTGCAGGATTGCTCTGCTGAGCCAGACCTAAGGTTTCCCCAGGCCGGCATCCTGCTCCCAATAGTGGGCGTCCAGGTGCTTCTTGGGAAGCCCTGACCAAGACAAATGAATCCTCCCCATGGTGGTTCTGCAGCAAGTGGGATTCAGAGGCAGCATGACCAGGAATCATGTCTCCATGATTAGGGCAACCTCCTTTCAAACCCATCATTTGGAGAGCCTTTGCCATACAAGCTCGTGGCGGAACACCTACCATTTTGGTTCCTTCCGGTGCCTTGCGTGCTGTCCCAGGAATTGCACCCTTGAGGCTCCTGACCCTCCAGACTTGGGCTCCTCCTTATCTGGGGCAGAGTGAGCAAAGCGCTGGAGGTCATGGCCACTTCTCCTGACCCCTGCGCTCGGCATTCTGGCTTGTCTTCAGCGGAGGCTGGAGCACCCTCAAAATAGCTCATGTCCTCGTGGCCACAATCTTCTCCCGTCTACACCCTCCAAAACAGCCTCTTGACCCCTCTCTGAGGCTGATTTCCCAACCTCGGAGAGGCAGTCAGTGCAGCCCTTTCCATATCAGCGGAGGGAGAACGGTGTCGAAGCTCAGTCCCTGGCTCTGAGGTTGGAGCTCTGACTGCAACCTCAGAGCTGGGAATCTGAAGTATTCCATGGCGCCAGAGCTGCTGTCTAGGACACACTCCGACATAGCCAGTTATTCTGCAAACACCACTTAAGTAAAAACCTTATGCCTTCCGAAGAGTGTTTGTATCGTGTTATTTTTATTTTATTTATTAAAAGCTTTTGCGTGCCGTCCTGTTATACAAGATCTCAGGATGTTATAACAGGAAATGTGGAGCACTTTAAGCACTGCACTTTAAGATCCTTCCAAACTGAAGACTTCAAGAGTTTGAACCTGGGGGCACAGCAGATGCCATGCCTAGGAGGCCATGTGTCCACTTTTACAGAGGACAGTCCTCTGTTTGAAGGACTGCTGCAGGACTGCCCTGTTCAAGGTTAAAGACACACGAAAGCTGTTTGGTTAAGCCTCTGTCTGGTCACTCTCTTTGGAACCATGTACTGTATTTCTACTTAAACTATAATCATTTTAAATCAGCATCCATGCATATTCATTGGTCTATGCAGCATTTATGCAAATAGCTATCTTGGTTGTGATGCATTTATTCTTTTTGGCAATTTGCGAGCGGCTGGCCTGTTCTGGTCAGATGAAGGCCTTTGGCTGAGGGAGGAGAACCGAACTGGCGACAAGACCCTAGCCTAAACCAGGAGACTTTTAAATGGGGAAGGCCACACGATCAGCCTGGGCCGGCAGAGCCCGCTTGGAGGCTGAGGAGGTTTCACTCCCGGAGAGATACCGGATGATGCCGTTCTGTTGCCTCCCTCCCTCGGGGCAGGCCCATGCAGAACCAAAGGTCCCTGGTTCAAGCCCAAGTATCTTGCACAGGGTTCCAGGGTCGCTGCTCTCCAAACGGAGGGGAGGAAGGAAGTGGTGAACCAGGACAGCAAGGGCTGAGGTCGCAATGAGTTTACCAATGAAAATGAAGGGAGCTTTACAAGACATCATGCCATTTTGTTGCTGAGCTCAAAAAATGCTCTTCTTACTGGAAAGAGGCAAGGAGGGGCTTAGTGCTTAAGCAGCCCTGGAGTTCATGTTGCACCCCATTCTGATTTTTTTTTCAATGGGGACAGCCTCGGCCTATTGGAACGAAAGTGGCAGCTTCGTGGTACCCTGTAAGCTAACCAATGTGTCCAGAAGGCAATGGTGACGGAGGGAAACCTTCAGGTTCTCTCGTACACATTCAAGGAGCTCTCATCTTCTAAGCAGAGTTGACAAAAGCAAGGCCTGCGTCCCGACGCTTGGGCTGACCTGGCATTCTCAAGGCTCTTGGCTCTCTTAGGTCGGCATAGCAGGAAGGACCGGTGCCGGAAAATCTTCTCTCGCTGCAGGACTTCTCAGGCTAGTGGAAGCTGCTGAGGGGGAGATTTTGATCGACGGGACCAACATTGCCCAAATAGGCCTGCACGATCTGAGACGGAAGATTACTATTATTCCACAGGTAACATACTACATTTCTACTAGCAGTCATTCTACGGATGTGATCTGCAACAAAACGTTGGAGCATGAAGTGCTTCTCTTCGTTTTCCCAGTTAGGCAGGTGTGTTTTTCTTCTTCCAGTTCAGTTTTCTTTTCCACCCTGCTCCAAAGTTTTGGGTATTTCTGCAAATCCTTGGGTTTTTCTCAAGCCTGTGGATACCTCCCTATTTTAGATGGCTGGTACTGTTTCAGCTACATAAATAGTGCTTTGCAGAAGCTGTACATCCAAACTAGAGAGCATTATGTTAATTATGTTTAGAGATGAGCAAATTTGCTCCATTTCCTCTTGGGATTTTCCCAAAGTCCCCAGACCCCACATTTGTGTTAAAGTAAAGGGTATTTTTTCATAGACTGAAAATTCAGGTTAGCTCAAGGAAGCTGGCCAGTACAGGTGAAAGAGGGCTAGACTACAACTTTTTAAAAGTATCAGCACACCCATTTAGAGTGTTGAAAGAGCTTTGCATTCTGCAATTTGCACAACAACCTTGTAAGGTAAGTCAGAATTACTCCTCCCATGCAGAAGTTACAAATTTGGGTAAGAGTGGAATAGCTAAGATCATCTAGGGGTTTTTTGTTTATCAATTGCTGGAATTGGAGAAATGAATTAATATGTTAATATATTATCTAAGTATTAGCAATAATAATGCGGAGTTTGGAACAGGATACCTTTTCTGACTCATGCGGACTCTGCAAGCTTTCGTTTTGTGGTTTTTCGTTTTGTGGTAGCAGTGGGGATATCTGTGCTACTCGGCATTTGTGCTAATTCTTATTAACATAAGGCGAAGAACATTCTGGTTTTGTTTTTTTTTAAAGCCCTGTTCTGTCAACAAGCAGATACTGAAACAAGAGCCATCTGATGCCCCACGAAGCCCCTACTCTGGGCTCTCAACGTGGAATGCTTTTCCATACAAACCAGTCCCACGCACATGAAACCCAGAGGAAAGCTAGGCCAGAACAAGCAACGCATGGACCCTCCCGTTTTGCCTGCGTTCACCTATAAAGTACACCCTGCCCTGTTTCCAACATAATGTGAAATTCTAGGGTGCATAATGTGTGATTTTAGACAGATAATTGTGCCAACTTGCATAGCGACAAGTGTATTTCAGTGCCCAGTCCCCTAAAAGGATATCCTGGGATCCAAATTGGGTGGGGAGCTCAGGGCTAGGGGTAGGGGGTCTAACCCCCAGAGGTCGCAGTCCCGCTTTCTGGGTTCCTCACCCCTTATGCCTGCAACTTCCCCCAAATCTGTGGGTCCCTGTCCTATTACGGTTTAAAGGCAAACGATAATCCCTTCAAGGGATAGGATGCAGGTCTTTTGCCCTTCCCCCTTTGCCTCCAGTGCCCCCACCCCTGGAATGTGCAGTCCAAGGAGAGCTGCCTCCCTGAATTTGGCCGGGCGGGGGTGCTGAGAGAGGCTCCCAGCGCTGAGCAAAACAGATGCAATTCAATCCATACTTTGTCAGCACTCCAGCAACCGCCAAGACTGAGCCGCACATGACCAGTGCTAGCACAAAATAAAAATAAAAACACCACACATTTTACCCTTAAGCATAGTATAAAACCTGTTCCACTACATTCTGCTTTGAGCTGAAAACTACAAAAGTCGCAGGGTTTGGAGAAAGGTGACATCTGAACGATGGCGATGTTCTGAATTGCCCGTTAGTCAGGATGCCGGAGGTGCCGCTAGGTCTGCTCCCGGGAAATAGGATCCCTGCACGTCTCTAGCCAGACAACTTCTCCCTGGCAGCTGGTCTTCTAAACACGTTTAAAAGGGAACAGTCCAGTGCAGAGCTTTCAAATGGGCGATTCCCTCTGCCATCTGAAATGGCACCATGCCGACTGCCGTTAGCCCTGCAGAGAAAACAAACCGCAGAGTCCCTTTCCTGTTTGCTCAGGACCCAGTTTTGTTTTCGGGGTCGCTAAGAATGAACCTCGACCCGTTGGACGAGCACTCGGACGACGACATCTGGACGGCTTTGGAACTGACACGGCTCAAGAGCTTCGTTCAGGACCTGCCCAATCAGCTGGCCTGTGAATGCAGTGAGGGAGGCGGGAATTTCAGGTACCTCCCCCAAAAAACCCAGGATACAAATGACCCCGGTGCTTTGGTCCTGAGCTGCTGCAGGCACCAGAATGCTCTTCATGGTCTGCGTCCCTCAGCTTGGGTTGACTTGCGTCACTTTTTCCCCCTCGAAGGCAGATTAGGATGGCATGCGGCCCTGAGCCTGCACTTGATTTGTGTGGCTGTTTTCCTCCCACTGAAATCGGTACTGCAATGAGGGCGGGGGCAAAGAAAAGAAGTGGGACGTTTGCAAGGAAGCGTGGCGCCGGGGGCATGCTCCGTTTTTCCAAACTGGATCGCACACCTGGAAGCCTCCGCACACAGCCTGGTGGGAAATTCACAGCAGTTGGGGGGGGGGGTGCAGACCCTGTAGCTTCTAAGGGAAGTGCATCGCACCCCCCACCAAAGTTGCTGTAAAGGGTGCCTTCTGAAGACCCCTGGGGACAGCTTAGTGGACTTCTCCTTAGCTGAACGCTTCCTGACAAAGCTCACCTGCCAAAGAGGGCAGCAGAAGAGTTCCTTGAGTGATGGACATCCCCCGACTCACTCGTTGCATCTTGGTGGATTCGGCCCGTGGGAGGGTCCCGGAAGCAGCTTCAGTTATGTCCAGGGGGCTCTTCATTCCACGCTCCCTTGAAACAAAAATTCAAAATAAAAATGGATACCTGTTCAGCGGCTAGGTAGTCCTTCCTTCCCCAGAGCCTGCAAGAGGAGAAGGCAAGGCAAAGGGACCGAGGGGAGAGGGCAGGGGCTAGGAAGGAGGAGAAGCTGCAATCTAAGGGGCTGCATGGGGGAAGAAAGACCTGAGATCAGGGGCTAGGAAGGGCGAGAAAGGAAAGTCTTGGGGTGGGGAGAGACAGAGCAGGGCAAGAGCCGGGGGGGGGGGGGGAGGCCTGGGGGGGGGGGGGGGGGGAGAGAGCAGGGGGGAAAGTTCAGTGGGGGTGGAAGGAGTTTCTCAGCCCCCCTCCATCCCAGCCCCTGCCTCTGCCCCACTACTTTTCTCTCCCAGCCCCTGCGCGCGCACCTCTTGAGTAGCCAGGTCCCCATGGCAGCCTCCGCGTGGCTGGCCAGAGGCACCTTGGAGCCATTCTGTGCTTGCACAGAAATTTCTCAAATCCCCAAATGTGTCCACAGGCTCACAAAGGCTGGGACATCCCGCTGTAAATGTTCTCATACGTGCAAGTGCCCAGCTTGCTTTTGTTGCCCAGTGCTGTTTTATTGCGGCCATTTGGGTGTTGGCTTCTGAATTCATTTGTGCCATGAAATTCCAAGACGGCGACGAATTATAAAATGAAAGACAAGGAAAGGGTGGGAGGTGGGGATTGGCCGTATCAGTGGGTAGCCGTGAAATGTCTGCATTTGCAAATGCAGCTTTCCAGCAGTCCAGGGATGCATTTGAAGGTGGTGTCTGTGCAGCATCCATCCCAGTACTGAAAGCATGGTAAGGCCCAAAACCTTACACAAGCGGAGTATGTCCCCGTCCAGCCTTGGAATATCAGTCTTAGAGCTGTCCAAAGGGTTCCAGGATTCCCTTTGCACGGGCTGTTCTTTCATCTCGAAGGAGGAGGGATGTACTCTTTTGGACTAACCATATCAGTGAATATCAGAGAGTGTTCCAGTACAAAATTGATTCTGAGAATAACTGTAACCCGAAGAGAAGCAGCTCCCAAACACCACCACAACATGTGTGACCATTGATTTGGGCTTGATGGAATATTGGGAATAGTCTTGGGCAATTCTATTAAATCTTTGCTATCCTAATGCATGAAATCAATAAAAAGCAGGAAGCCCTGCCTCAAATCTTGTCCGAGCAGGTGAGACATGGATGGGTCTGTTGTCCTCTCCGCAGCGTTGGCCAGCGGCAGCTCCTCTGCCTGGCTCGAGCTCTGCTCCGGAAAGCCAGGATCCTCGTCCTGGATGAGGCCACTGCAGCTGTGGATCTCGAAACAGACCTCCAGATCCAGTCCACCCTCCGGGCTCAGTTCGGCAACTGCACCGTTTTGACCTTAGCCCACCGTTTAAGCACCATTATGGACTGCGACAAGTAAGGATTCCGGGATATTTCCTCGGTGGTTGGTGTGTTGCGCTCCTTTTCCCCAAGCTGGCACCCTCTGGAACAGCAACATCCATCATCCCTGGCCAGCATGATGCAGGTGGAGCGTGCTGGGCTGGGGAAAACTATGCTTTAGATTGTGCTAAGTATTTACCTTTTGTGGCCAAAGGCCCCGAAAGCATCCTCTGCTGCGGTTAGGAAGGCAAATAAAAGCTGTGTAACAGAATCTCAGATCAAGCAAATCGATAGACAGCGAGAAGAGCAATCAAAGTCCAGAGCTGTTAATAAAGCAAGAGACATCCACCTTGGGCTTTGATACATGGAAAGTCATGGCATAATGGAAAGAAATCTTTAAAATAGCAATGGGGAGCACAAAGAATGCCAAACGGGCCACAGCCAAGGAGCAAAAGGGCTGTTGCATCAGCTCAGCTGAGAGGCCAGCTCTACCGAGGTCCTTCATCCATCAAGGGTTGCCTGGCAACAGCCAATCCATGACTCTGCAACAGGGGAGAGAAGTGAAGCAGGGCCTCTCCATCATCCAAACTGAAAACAGCAGTTTTTGGCTTTAATGACTCCCGGGGACATGTCAGAAATCCAATCTGAAGGTGGAAATCCATTGGATTTGCTTGACTCAGCCCCCTGGGTCCCAGCTGGCTTCCTCTCAATCCGAAGTCTGCCCTGAACCAAACGTGGGATGTCCAACAGGAAGTCTAAGTTAGTCCGTGAAGCCGGCTTGTGCACATGCCTCCCGCTTGCCCACCTTGCAAGCAGAGCTCGGCTTCTGCATGTGGGATTTGCTGACTTTGAATTCTTAGCACAGAGAATCCGCAGGTTGCAGGCCGCAACTGGTGTTCAGGCTGACCAGTCTGCTGCCGCTTAGGGAAATCATCTCACAGTAAATCTGCCAGTTCACCTCCTTCATTGCACAGCAGCACCTTCAGCTACTGTCCAGGCCCTGGATGTGGCCAGCAACCCGTCCTCACGTCCCTGTTCTTCTTGTCTTAACACCTGCAGGATCTTGGTGATGGAAGATGGCCGGGTGGCAGAGTTTGGTGTCCCGGAAGCATTGCTGGCCCAGAAGGGGCTCTTCTACAGGATGGCGGAGGAGTCTGGGTTGGTGTGAGGACGGAGCTCAAGGGGCAGGCTGAGGTGCTCCTCGAACGAGAAAGACAACATCTACCTCTCCCTGGGGCAGGAAGCCTCATTCAGGCACTTTGCACATCACATAACAGCTTAAAGCAGGGGTGCTTTGGAAGGTTCCATGCACACTGTTGTTGTAATAATCACAACAACCCTGTAAGGCAGGGCAGTTTGATCTCCAGTAGTAGATGGGAGAGATGCTGAGGCCACAAATGCCTTCTCTAAGGTGTCCTAGTGGGTTTGTGACAGGGCCACTGTTTTAAGACAGGGATTTCCTGATCTGTTGTAAATCTCTTCGTGACCTTGCTGCCCCCTCATTCGCTTCTCTTGTGCCTGGCAATAATTCTCCAACAGAACAGCATTAAATTGTCTGTTTAACAACACGTGTGTGTCCGGTTCACTATCTGCAGGTTCTTACAACGAGTCGGTAAACCATGGGTCCTCAAACTACGGCCCGCAGGCCAGATATGGTCTGCCATGGTCCTTTACCTGGCCCACCTCAGAGCTTTTGGACTCACTCGGAGAAAACAATCCCTGAACGAGTCCGAAAGCTCTGAGCTGGCACAGGCGTTCTCTGAAACTCTTTCATTTTCAGAGACTAGCAGAGAGCCGGTGCACACGCCAAATTGTAACAGCTCCCTTCAACTGCACGTGCACCGGCTCTTCCTCCAGTGCATGCATGTGTTGGCTCTGAATACAGAAGAGAGGAGGGCGGTGGGAAAAGAGAGAGAGACTGAAGACCCTAAAAATAGATAGAAGGTAAGAAAAATATAACTTTTTAAATCTATTTTTAACTATGTGAGCCACGTCCCTGGGCTGCAGGCCAAGCCGTGGCCACCTCACTGAGCAGGGCCATGGCTCCCGCGCCTCAGCCTTCTCTGGGCAAGCCACTGCTGCCATCAAGCGGCTGCCATGCTTCTTCCCCCCAGGGCGGGGAGAGGCAGGAGGTGTCCCGCTCGGCCAGCCAAGGCCCTGCCCCTCACCTCCTCTCGCTTCGGAAAGCAGCCATTACCTCCCTCCTCGTGGCCCCCTCCCGGCCTCCCGCTCCCCCTCCCGAAGCCAGGCGAGCGCCTGTCAGGGGACCTTCCTCTGGCTCGGAAGCGGGGCGGTGGCGAGGAGCCGGGAAGGCCTTAGCCGAGGCGAGCGCGCCCTCATGGTTCCCCCTCATGTCATGCTCCCCCTTTCAGCGGGTGGCACTGCATCATCTTGGGATTCTGCCACAGCCCGAGTGAGCGGAGCAAATTAAAAATTAAATTTTTTAATTTACTTTAATTTTAATTAATTTTTAAATGTATTTTAATTTTAATTTTTAAATGTATTTTAATTTTAATTATTTTTAATGTGCAGTGTGCATAGGAATGTGTTCATTTTTTTTCAAACTGTAGTCCAGTCCTCAACAGTCTGAGGGATAGTGAATTGGTCCCTTGTTTAAAAAGTTTGAGGACACCTGCAGTAAACAATGTGCTTCTCATGTTCACTGATAATATTGCCTTTGTTACTTTTCTAATCGATTCTGTTTTCCTTCCTTCCCATCTACCTTTGATTTCTCCTCCTCTTTTCTTTTCCTTCCTTCCTTCCTTCCTCCATCCCACCTTCCTTCCTATTTCAGTCTCTCTCCCTGCCTTTCTTTTTTCATTTGTGTGTGTCTCTCTCCCCCTGCTCTCTTTTTTACATTTTCCTTCCATTGCTCTTCCTTTCCTTCTTCTATCGTTTGCCTCTCTCTCCCCTGCCCGCCTGTCATCACAAAGCCAACGTACTTCCTTCGTCCCTGGAATGTGGCGCCCTTCTCGGAAATGGGCCGTAGCGCGTCGATGGTGCGCCTACCTGGCCTGTCCAGGATCCCAGGCTCAGCCACTGGAATCTCTGGTCAGGCAGCAGCAGGTGTGTCGGGCTCCATGCACGACCCTGGACTAGGCAGCCATAATACTCTAATGTGGCCAAAGGCAGATTCCTGTTGCTAACCGTCCAAAAGATTGCTGTCCCTCGCTTTTCGTGCAAAGGCATCGGACCAGAAAATCAGAAATGCATGTCTTGATGGGCTCACTGAGAACTCTTTAAGAGAGAGGCTTACTTTTCCCCAGAATAAAGCCATAATGGTCTGTTAAGCATATTGCATTTTGCTGAGGATTTGAACCAGGTTCCCCTCTGATGTAGGGCAGCTTGGCCACTAAATTCTACACTGAGTAGGATTCAGTGTGAAATGTGGGGTTCACATTTCAGAACAGCATTCCAAAATATCGGGGGCCAGGGTGCTAGTGGTATTTACGAAACCAGCAGGATGCTGCTCTAAGATGGCCTTCGCCTGCCCACGGACTCCTCTGTCAGAAGTCATAGCAGCAACTGCACAGACATGCGAAGTCTGAGGTCACCAAACTTCTCCACGCTCTCTCTTCTAGCTCTTTCATTTGAGTCCATATCGGATTGCAAGCTTTGTATTGTTTTTCTTTCTTGTGAAGATCCGTGTCTTTCTGTGCATATTTCCTTGTGTGCACTCCTCAGTTGTGCTCATCTCTGAAACATATGCCTTTGTCTCCCATTGATGGAAGTATATTTGCGTGTCCTTTTCAAAGGCACCCCTGCTGTCAATCAAAAAAATATGACTTGGTCATATGAATTGCACTTCAAGCTCAGCAATGTACAGTCTTTGTCCACAAATTGAATCTAAGTTGCAGTTTGATCAGGAGAGGACAAATCGGGTCATTTCTGGTAAAAATGAGCTGGAATGAATTTCTTGTCTATCCCCACTTTGGTGCTGTGGGAGTTGTGTGCCAAAACAGAGCCCTCAAAGAGCCCTGAGTGGCTGGGGTGCCCCTGCCCCACAGACCCACACCCTCCTGAGCCCCTCCTCCAGCTTCGGGAGAAGAGCCGAAACACTCAAGACCTGCTTTGTGAAGGCAAGCTCTCTCTCACCACCGTCCTCCGGAGCGGCCCTGCAGGGGAGCGTCGGGTGTGATTTTTGCGAAAACTGATTCGCACCACAAGGCCATGGAACTGCTACGCAGGGTCATTTTCTTTTCCGCTCTTGCAGGCAGCATCGCGCAGCGTAAGTAGGACCAAACAATCGTGCTGCATCTCTCAGAAACTGTGCGACTCTTTCTTCTTTTCTGTCTCTGTGGGTCTGTCTCCCCCCGACCCCTTTTCTGTCAAGTCTGTCTCACATGGTATGACCTCACTTGCCAGGCATCCGCTTATGTTGAGGCTACTCAAGAGTTCATCTTTAACTTATTTTCAAGGTGCCCTTTTTTATTCTCTGAGTGATAAGGCAGGCAGGCAGTGGCTGCTCTCATGCCAGCCGACTCGCTCGACTCGAAAGATGCACCAGCTGAGTCAGCACTGGGTTGCCCACCCTCCGTTGTGCAAACTGCCCGAGGGGTCTTATCTTTGGGGATTTCTGCAATGTCTCTTCGGGTGGATGCATTAGTCAGCTCAGGAAAGGGCAGACTTCAGGCAGGGTCTTCTAACAGTCAAAATAATTTCCATTAGACAACTAGCCCCATAGTCTCTAGGGGCTAAAACATATAAATCCGTGCGGGTGAGCGCTGGGATTGGAAACTCATGCTTTTCAAACCTGTAGTTTTTCTGTCTCTGGCATATTTGCTAGCTGTGCACATTTTAAATACAGTTTAGAAATTTACAAATACCTCTGGATATTTGTAAATTTTGTAAATTTGAGAGCTAGAACTAGGAAATGTTCTTCCTAGCCATGACAAAATAGTCTGCCCATACCCCAGGGTTAGTCACACGAACCTCTTGGAACTGTGACAAAACAGTGACAAAAACCTTGGATTCTTCATCTCGGCTGCAAAAGGTTTAGACGAAATACAGTGAATTTGCTGAATGAGTTTTAGGATGGATTCAGATATGCTTGTAAATACTGGAAGGATGAGACATTAGTCTTAAAGGATAAAAAATCAGAACGAATGAACGAACCAGAAGTATCGCTGGGCCTAGACACCCAGAGACCTGAGTGTCCATTAATACCAATGGAAAGGCATTCCTTTAATTGCTGCAAAGAGAGCAATTTACATAGAGGACTGCAGGTAGAAATGGAAGGGCTCACTCTTCTCATTTTGGACCCCTCCCACCTCCTCATATTAAGTAAGCTTGGGAAGCGACACATTTGCCACTGATTGGGATGCTTGGAACAGGGTCTTGTCTGTGATTATTTCAGTGAGAAAGCAATGAACTAGATGCGCCTGCTGCAAGATTTAAACTCCAGTAATTAGTTCTGCATGTGCATATACAAATATAAACTGACAGGTACAAATTTTAAGTGGATCTGTGTCCTGTTGGACTGGGCCCCAAATCTTCTAAGTGTCTCACAAGCCCTGGTGGAACTCTGAGCTGAAGTCGGGACATTGTGGCTTAAGGTGTGGGGGGGGGGGCAGGGGGTGGACATATGCTCAGAATAAGCAGTGGCATGTTTGAAGCATATGCCCTGCCTATAAAGTTTAGATCAGTTCCAGAGCCACACAAGTCCTTTCATGCAAACATCCATACCTGGAGTCGTATCCACTAGGAATCCTACCTGAAGAAGATCCATTGCAATTAAAGGAACCAAAGGCAGGCAAACCTTGAGTAGAGTCCCTGGCTTTTCATTGAGTGATCTTTTCAGCAGCCTAGTTTACGAGACGAAACTCTCATCCTAGGCCGATCTACTGTAAAACTCCTGACTTTGTTATCCTCTGGATTTTAGCCTTTTCCAAAAATTGGAACACCGTTCTTGGGAGTTTTGAAATGTCTTAAAGTGTGTGGTTATTTGGCTTGGATACAAATTTAGGCACACTCTATGGGTGCCGACCATTGTTGGGGGGGGGGGTAGGTTTATTCAGAGCCCCCTCTCTGAGCTCCTGTGGCTATAGAGATGGAACTCTGACTGCCAAGCATGGAAAGAACAAAACTAGCTGCCTCTTCAAGATGAGAAATGAGCCTCAGACGGAAGGAAGAGTCCAAGGCATTAGGCTGTGCCCTCTGTTATTCTTCGAGCCATAGAAATCAGTGGGGTTTATGCTGGCCATTGCTAGCTTAAGCCCCATCGATTTCAATGGACCCACATGCCAAAATCTGGATCCATGCAGCCCATTTTTGGTCAAAAACCACCAAATGATCTTTATAAATAACAAATAAATAATCTTGATAAATAACAAATTCAATAAAAGATTATATAAAAGCAAAAAACCGAAAACAAAAAGAGCGACTGTTAACGACAAAATTTTAGTTTTTAAAATAGCGGTTAAATAAAAAGGTTTTAACCTGGCGCTGAAAAGAATATAAACTCGGCACCAGGCGCACCTCTCCAGGAAGCGCATTCCATAATCTTTTTTTTAAGTATTATTTTTTTTAAAGTTTGATCAAACCAGTGTTTGAAAACTCACACACAGTCAAGTTCTAACAAGGTGAAAAACTGCTCTGGAGAAGAAGGCAGGTTAGGGCTGGGGTGGGAGCCAATGGATCAGCTGCACGTGGCCACGGCCAGGAAAATTTGGTTTCCTCTGGTCTTGGCCTGAAGAAGATGGTTGTGCATTGGAACGTACCGCAGGGAGTATACTTCCAAAGTGGGTGCAGCCCCCATTATGTACCAGCCAAGTTCCTATAAGGAAGACCTGGCCCCCTCCGTTGATGCAGCAGCTTCTCCACTGCAGCGTCCATTCACGGGTGCTAGGAGGTCTCCCCAGCCTGGAAGAGGGAAGCTGCCGGCACAGCTTGTGCCGCTCGATTGCTGGCAAGCCTTCCACACCCACTGGACGCTTGCCAGGATGTCAGCCTTGGAGCCTCTGCAAAGCAGGCCAGAGTCCAAGGAGAGAAGCCCCAGGAATCCAGTGGATTCTTCCAGCTCCCTAGATTCGTGTCCATTTAAATGATGGCCATGATTTTCAAATGTGTATCTGTACACATACAGCAACATATACAAATTGTGTGCGGAGCTGCGGCCTCTTTGCTTCCATACTGCGTCCATATCTGCCCTCCCACCCCTTGAGATCGGTGGCAGAAGCCCTTCTCCGGGAACCCTCTGGGAAAGATATTAGCCCCGTGAAAGAGGGCTTTCTCTGCGGTGGCGCCCAACTTATGGAACGCGCTCCCCAGAGAGGTCCACCTGGCGCCGTCGTTATTTGCTTTTTGGCGCCAGGCCAAGACCTTTTTATGTAAACGTCATTTTAATTCTTAATGTTATGTATTGATTTTATTGATTTTAAAATTTCGCCAGGATGTCTCCACTATTTTATGTATTTGTATGATGGAATTTATTTATGACTGGAAGCTGCCCCGAGGCTTATGCGAAGGGGGCGGCATATAAGTTGTCTGAATGAATGAATGAATGAATGAATGAATATTCCATGGTGGAGCTCCTCCTTAGTGGTATGAAAACTGTCCCCAGATACCAGGGCACCTTCTCAAAATGTCCCTGTGTTTTCCTAGGATCTGGCGTGGCGGCTTCCCCATCAGGATCCAGGCTCAGCTATCGCTATTCTACCTCCACGGACACTTTCCTTCAAGGAAGGGCCTACAAGCGAAGCAGCCTCTCCCTGGAGAGCACCGTCGTTGTTGAAGTGCTGGCAAAATGCCACCGGGTTTTAAAAGTGAGTAAAGGCGCAAAGCCGCTGCGTGCAGAAGTGACTTTGGATGCCTTCACTGGTGGCAGGAACCCAGCATGAATGGGAGGTGTTTGAAGATGGTCACCTGCAGGTCTGGCTCGCAATAGGGCTGGTCCCCGCGACAGGTGTTCTTCCATTTGAGGAGGAAGAAGAGCTGGCCACTCGCTCTAGCAGTGAGCCCCAGCCGGCATGGCCCGTGGTCAGCAATGCTGGGAATCATAGCCCAGAATATCTGGAAAGTGCCAGGTTGGGGAGACGGGGCCTTAGGCGGGAGGGTTCATCACAAGTCTCATTGCAATGAGCATCTCAGAAGTTTCATTATGTGCCTACCGGGAAACATGGAATTATTGTTCCGCTGCTTCCAAGGGAAAGACAGCTAAAATCCAAGGAGGTGCACTCAATGGATGTACTTCCTAGCAGGAAATATTATTTCTGAGCATGCTCAGGAACTTCATTTCCAGTTAAAAAGAGGATTGCAAAGGTCCCTGGTAAGCCATACTTTCTAAGGCAACAAAGATTGCTTTGTTTCTGGTGATGGTGGTTGGTAGGGGAAAGGATGTGTCTTATCCATTCATATTTTGCACATTTTCTTTGCAAGACCTCTCTGCAAACAGAAAGGGAGTTTGTATCCTGTCTTTCAGAGCTCCAGATTCTCAGGGAAGCGAACCTGTCGCATTTGTATTTATTAGAAAGGTGAACCAGAGTGAAGGCCAGTCATGGAGGGTAGGAGAGGAAGCCCTCTGAGGACCTGAACAGATCTATCCTGGCTGCAACTCGGGAAGAGCCGTTATCTCAGTGCAATGTAGAGGCCGCCTGAAGCCAGTTGAAAGGCTGAAAATCTGTCCCCTTCTTAATGCGTCATTTTCTGTTCTGCTGCCAACAGCCGAGGTTCAAGAATAGTCAAGCACTGAGGACTGTATTGCAGGAGTGTCCTCAGAGTCCAAGGAGTCTGATTAAAGGCATGTTCTCAGGCCTGGAAGGTCTCATAGTAATGATGCATTACTGGATTAATCTTCTTTCCACTCTGAATCTTCCTGTGATCCAGAGGAGGAATGGTTAATTGATAATGATAGTTCATTCACATATTCATTTGCTTAATCATCTTTTCTTTACGAATGTTCAAAATCCCTCTTCAGCACAGAAATGCTATGAATGACTCAGAGAGTTTTGAATATTGGATGGTGTGCGGATTGATGAATGGATTGTTTGAATATGGACCAATTCTGGTCTCTAGTCTACATTGCCTGGACTGTATCCAAAACCCTAAACTTTCCTCTGTGTTATGTTTGGTATTGAGCCATATAATTTCAAGAAGCCTTTTGGCCAATGTTGTTGTTGTTGTCCTTGTTCCTAGTTGCAGGATGTACAAATCAAGACAATCTTTGAATCAAGGGAGAGGCCGCACGTGGAAAATAACCATTTAAGGTAATGTACCTTTGAGTCCAAAACACATCCTTGCTTATGAAGCCAAATAACTTGCAAGTGAAGTGGTACCCGTTCTTGGAATTAGCTTACCAGTGAAAATCAAGTCAAACTTATTTGCTTAAAGCCTGAGCTGAGCCTAATGTGGAGGAAGATCCAGTTTTCGCAAAGTAGCATTGGCCATGCTGGCTGCCTATGATGGGAGCTGTAATCCAACATATCTGAAGGCCACCAAGTTGGGGAAGGCTGCCCTGATCACCCTGACATGAAGTGTTCTCAAAGCCACCCCTGCTGTTTCTCTTTCGGGTTTTCTGCTGTATCTCATGTGGGTTGCCCCCTTGCCTGTGAAGCCAGAGAAGAAAAGCTCAAGTAACGCAGCCTTTTCTATCAATTCAAGGCAGCCATTCCTTCAATGTCTTCCAAGCTCCAGGAGCACCTGCTCTCTCCAAAGAGTCGCTCAACAGCCTCTCTTCCACCTCCTCAATGGTGTCTCTATTGTTTGTTCCCGATGAAATCCCCTCGCGCTGCCCCAGTGCTCACATTCCCAGCCCCCAGCCAGTGCCTGTGTCAGCTCCTCTTCAGCAAAGCTCATTAGCAGTACAGAAGGTCTGGAAGAATAAGCAGCAACAGGAGTTTTTCTCTCCTACGGTTGGTATCAGAGATTTGGATGCAGTGTCTTGAATTTCGAAGTGTTTCATTGAGACCCCCTCAAGACAATAGATGGGGCAGTGGCATCTCTTCTCACATTACTTTTTTACCCAGTTCAATGATCTGTTTTGTTTTAAATGGAGCAAGAAAGAAGACGGTGGAAGATTCTCTTGAGATCTGACTTGCTTCTTGCTTGCTTCTTTTAAAATAATTTCACAATATCTGAAAAATCCTTTATCTACACAACAGAAAAAACAGGATTTAAAACAAAATGAATCTGGGAGAAAGAGAAATGGATAGATTTGTCCATCCAGGCAGAGCGCTTGGAGGGCTTAGCTCTTCAAGCCTAGCTTTGAATCGCTGTGTCTCCAGCCATGCTTGGGTTGTTGAGCCAGGGTCAGAAATTCCTTCATATCTGGGATGGAGAGAACCTGAGATTTTAAAAAGTGGGAGAAGCTGAAACTGACCAGTCCAGTCACTGGTATCTCAGTGGCCCCCGAGCCTCCCCCCTCCTTGCTCTGAGATGCTACCCTGTGATGGCTAACATCAGCTATCGATGTGTTCTGCATGGTGAGCAGAGCGGGAAGGCTACCTTTACCCGGCAGAGCAGACAGGAGATGCCCATAATCCTCCAAGTCTGGAAAGTTACTGGTGTTGGGAATGAGAAATGTGGCTTCTTTGGGTGTGCATTCCCAAGGGCTGCTGGCTGGTCTCCAGGAGGAAGAGAAGAGGAGGAGGACCATGCCCTGACACTGAGATGGAAGAAGCAGAGCTGCTCATCTCAAGGCCAGGCTCCCCCGGTGGGCAGGTGGCCTCTGGGAATCGCCAAGACGTACAGTTGGTGGCAGGGGGCTTGGAGCAGGGGGGTTTCTCAGACACAGACAAGATGGGCACAGCTCTTGACCCCATGACATGATGTTGGCAGAGGAGGGAGGCCCAACTGGAGGATCAGAGTGCAGCGAGGAGGCGTGATCGTTTCCAGAAGGCCCTTCCTGAAGGGATGAGGCCCAGGCATGCTCATAAGGAGAGTTCCTGGAGGTGGATGCAAGATGGGGTTCTGACAAACCGCTTTGTGCATGCGCAGAGATTCCTTCCGGGTGTTTGCGCATCTGGAAGCACTTAAGTTTCGCAAGAAAGGTCTGTGGCTTTGAATGTGCTCAGGGAGGAAGCTCGGCTCACAACAACCAACAACCTCATTGGAGTGACTGTTAGCAGCCATTTCTCCCATAGCGTCATCTTCCTAAATGGATCGTATTTGACCCAGCCTCATAGTACCTAACGGCACCATTAATTCCTAAGAAGCTGGTAAGCAACCACCATGGGGGGAGGGGCCACTGTAAGGTCATCCAGATCTGCCCTTCCACTTTCTCCTGTCCTCTGTATGCCAAACCTCACCAAGGCAGCTCAAATTAAAACAATGTCCAAACAATCTTGCAGAATTCATCATATGGCAAATAAAATGCAATCCAAACTAAAAGCAAACAGAGCATTAAAATAACAGAGAGAACCAGCACGCATGTTAGCATAATGCAGCTTGAAATTGGAAGGTTTGAGGGCCGGTGTTTAGGAGTGGAGGCTACAGGATCTCTCTAGGGAAGTGGCGCCACAACTGGGGGGATGCCCCCCAGTAGGCCCTGTCTGTGCAGTCCCCCCCCCCCCCCGATGCATCTCTGGGATGGACTTTGAGGAGGCTTTAGGGAGATTCTCACTGGTGCTGATGATCCTACATGCAACTCGCTCTCAAACTGCTTAGGCTCGATAGTCCAAGAAGCCACAAAATCCTTCCAGGTGCCTTTGAAAGGGCTTTTCTCGTGCCTCCGCTCAAATCAGTGTGGCACCCTACACGGAGCCGGCTTTCCCTCCAGAGCATCTTTCTTTACATTGCGGTAATGCGTCGACTTCCCCATACGCAGCGAGTGAGAGGTCGCTCCCTTGGGAATTAGAAAAATCAAAGAACGGTCCACTTTCCTCCACTTCGCAGGGGAATCCTGGAGAGGCATCCACTCTGGTTTTGCTTTCATAACGGGAAGATTCTGAAGATCTTCCCCCAGGACCAGGAGCCGACCTGGGCTCTCAACCTCAAACGGGGCATCCTCAGCGTTTTCCAGACGTTACCGGGAGCAGCCGTAAACAGCAGTGTGGAAGAGGTGAGTGGCCTTCATCAGAGCACACAGGTAGGTTTTGTAACAGTTCGCAGTCCGTTCCCTGGAGCCTGGACTGGGCCCCTTCTTATTGGAAGACTCATGCTTAGGCAGTGCAGCGTAGTGGTAAGAGAGTCAGTGTATGCAATGTTATCTCAAAGCTACATTTGATTTCTCCTAGGCTGTGGGCTTGCATTTCGTGTGTTCAATTGTTTTTTGGTTCAGTATTCCAAACCCTCATTGTGCTGCCTTGTGACTGCAACTAGGTGGATATCATGGGGAAATGCCCCACGGAGTATCAGCGGAGAGGCGCTCTCCTTTGGAAAACGAAGCGTCTAAACCTGTGTTCCCACCGCTTCTCTGGATCCGCTTCTCTCAGGTCCACAGCCCTGCCAAGTGCTGCAGTACGTATGCCAGTCCCTCTCCTCCTCTCTCCCGCGTGCTCCCTCCGTGCGAAATGCGAGATTAAAAGGATGCCAATGGCCATTTCCGGGGGGGGGGGACTTACTGGTGGAGGGGGCCTACGGCTGCATGGTAAACAGGTTGTTGCTACTGTCCGGCCAGTGTGGCGCGATGGCTAGATCAGGTTGGGCTGTGAACTTGGGAGATCCGGGTTCCGGTCCCCATCCTGACTCCCTGGGTGACCTTGGCCAGTCATCAGCTTTTGCCTAAGCCACGCCACAGGGTGAACCGGCCCTCTGCCTGTCGAACAAGCACGTGGTCACCACGGTTAGTAAGAAGAGAGCGGCAAGAGCAGCTGGCAGCGGAGGCAGCCCCACCGCAAGGGGGAGTCTGCAAAGGGCGCCTGCCATGGGCCCCAACACCCAGAGTGGGTTAACTTGGCTTCTGCCCTCGGCAAAAGGCTGCTCTGCCCTCGGCCAGCGAGTCCAGCCAGACGGCCAGTGCAGGTGGCCACACACAGCCGGCCCAGGCAGGGCTGCCAGCAAGGATAGGCATGGCTGGGCCTCCACCAGCAGCCCACATCCGGAGAAGAGCTCCTCCTCCCGCTGGTTCGTGCTCTGGCCCAGAGCACGATGGAGGTTAGGAGGAGATGCCTGGGTGCCATACCCCTGGGTCTCTGCCTGTCCAGCAAGCCAGTGGCAACCCTGGCGAGGAGGAGGAGCCTGGACAGTGGCGATCAGGGTGGCTCGAAGGACTATCAGTGGGTGGGTTAGTTTCTTTTCTGTACCTCCCAGCAGCCCAGAGCTCTCTGGGAGGTTTACAACCATGGAAAAATGCAATATAAAAATGCAAACTATGTTCAAAACATCATTGAAATGTCAAAGCAAATTAAATCACATTTAAAAAAATGGCAATAGCCCATATGAATGGATCAATCAGCCTGTTTAAGCGGCTAACAAAGCCCTCAGACAACTAGCTGAATGCCCTGCGATAGGATAGGATACTGAAGGTGGGGCCTGGTGGGCCTCAGGAGGCGCTCGTTCAATAACTGGGGCTGGGGAGACAACATGGGAGGTGCCTTCTCCAAGGGGCCTCAAAAAGCCGGAGCCAGCATGGGTGGGCAGTGGGGCCCCTGCGGGGGGTGAGCCTCAGCACTCACCCAGCAACACCGACCCTTGAGGCTCACGGTGACAGCAAGCACTGCGCCCCCCACCCCCAAAGTCTACGAGCAAAATGGCTGCTGCAAAAGACCCTGTCTCTGTGATTCACTGCAGGAGCAGCTTCCGTCCTCCAGCCTTGAATGCATCCAGAGACTGGAGGAAGGGATCCTGCTGGAAGCCAAATGTACCGACTCCCATCTCATCACACCTCCTGGAAGGGCAGGCAGTGGAGTGATGACCCAGACGCAGACTTCACTGAAGCTGTTCCGAACGGAAGCGGACATCTTGGCACGGGAACGAGGTGGGCGGATGTCTCCCAGCAGGGAGAGATGCATGGAACGCCTTTGGCAGGGCCCGCGCTCTCCTTCAGCGCAGTGGGGAGGGTTCCTCAGGCACCGGGGGCATGAAAAGAGCAGCCAGTCATCCGTTCTATTGCTTATTCCTGTACCAGAAGAGGAATGTGTGGAATTTTCCACCTCAAGTGCAAGCATGACTTGATGAGCAGTGGAGACTTTGTCTGGAGAATACAGGTGGGAGCAGCATCTGCTGCTGTGCCCGGGTTGCAAATGGTCTTGGGCCATTCTGGGCCTTTGAGTTGCCTTTCGGTGTGTGGAAGAGAACCTCTTCTATGCTGGAGATATGAGCTCCTCTCTTGCTGTTGCATGGAGAAAAGGTCTTGTCTACCACTTGCCACCAACTGGGATGACAGAATTCCCCATCGACTGTCCTGCTGCAGGGAGCAATTGGAGCTCCTCCTCCTGGAGGTGCCCCCAGAGTCCTCTCTCCATGTCAGACAAACATTCCCAGGAAGAACCATTCCAGGCCTTGGTCGCTGCTCGCCGTGCTCGCTCACACGCAGGATCTTTCACTCGCAGGATCTTTCCCCACACCTGCTGCCCAGCAACCCGTTGTCCCAGAGTCCTGTGGCCCACGTTGACCCCTCTGAACTCTCATCACGCTGCATGGAGAGACCACTGCATGACCCTCGGGTGGTCCCGTGGCCAGCTTTACACAGGGCAGTCCTTTAGTGGCAGAGCTATCAGAGGATAGACTGCTGTTTGAGGAAGGATGGAGAGCTCTGAGATGAAGAACCTGAAGAAGCTGATCTGATGTCACCCAGTGATCGTTTCCCATAACTGGGCAACAGATGGGGTAGATTCCCATGAGTCACCTGGTCACTGCTTTCCACACTGCATTTCTATCTAAATAATAATCATTCGATCCAAATGTGACCCTCCGTATCCAAATTCACCCGTGCGCATTTATGCATCCTGATGTCCTCCCATTTTGACACTGGCTTTCCTCTGTTGGCCACATCCAACCAGCAACCCTGGGAGACAGTGCTGTGCCGAAGGCCACCTCTGGCCCACTGAAATTGCTGGCTGTTTCCCATGATCTATAATGTAGGACTGGTTTGGTTTCTCCAGGAGACCCCAAGGAAAATTACGAAAGCAGCTTGCTGTATGAAAAGGAAAAACTGACTGTGTTGTCCACAGAGGAGGAAGTGGCCGCTACACTGCAGAAGCTCTGCATGAAACCGGCTGTGGATGCTGAGGTAACTTTTCCTATAGACGTACTTCCACTTAGGTGTTGTTAAAACCGTTCATTCACTGTTTTGCACCAGGGAGAGCTCCCCTCCTGACCATCAGAAATGGTACAGTCCAGACCAGGTTGGTGTCCTCTAGCAGAACTCCCAAGGGGGAGCACTGCGGTGTGGGGTCAGAGTGCTGGACTGGGATGCAGGAGAGCTGGGCTCTAGCTCCCACTCAGCTCTGAAGCCCACTGGGTGGCTTTGGGCCAGGCACAGACTCTCAGCCCAGTCTACCTCACAGGGTTGTTGTGAGGATAAAAAAGAGGAGGACCACACGAGCCAGTGTGGGTTCTGCAGAGCAGCAAAAATGACTGGATAGAACTAAAATAGCACAAACATAAACTCGGCCTATGCCTCTCCAGCACTCCTGATACACGCTGCTCATGGAGTGGCCACGTGCTTTGCTTCACGAGGGAGGGTCCTTTCTTTGATATACTGTCCAGTGTAAGTCTGGTTTCAAGTTGGGAGGGATGGGAGTTTCGTTTATTGGGTTAGAAGAACTTCCAGAAATATGCAAGTTCTTCAAAGAGAGCATGGGAAGGACCAGAGTTGGTCTTGCTTGGGTTTTTAATCAAATGCGGGAGAAAGCAAAACTAGCAGGTGCAACCATCTGAAGACAGGGAGCCGTAAGAAAGGAGATCAGATGGGGCCTTCAGCCCGTCCACGTTGTACCCCGCGGTTTTTCAAATGAGACCAGAGACCGGATGGTAAAATAGGAGAGGAGGTTTCTTACCTGCGCAGGGGCCACATTCATACGGGAATGTGGCCCTGAACAGAGTTGGAATGAGATTTTTATACTTTTACAATCAGCTTTCGGCAAAATGGGGAACAATACAATCAGTCTTTGACAAGAGTGAGAACAATGGCGACAATGGGGAGTTACAGAATCACATAAGCAGCAGTTGAGCAAGCGATATACAGAAGCAGATTTGGTTAGCAGTAAGTTTTATCTTTTAATTTACACCTTTTAGGTAATCTTTGCCCATTACAGCTTTGGTAAGCTTTTTCCATTTTCTGAGGGAATTCTCTGAGACAGCTGCTAGACGTTTCGATTGAGCTAGAGCCTAGGGGAGCCATGCCTATTATGAATGCCCTGAAACAGCTGATAGATATTCCAATGCCAGTTGTTATGTTAATCATGGGTAAGACCTGCACAGGCAACAGAGAAGAGCACCAAACACCATCAGTCCATCTCTGATGAGACGGATTGCCGCTGTGGCATTCTCAGAATGGGACTCGGAATATCTGGGTTCATCTCAGCCATGAAGCTCTTTGAGTGACTTTGAGCCAGTCCCTGCCTCTTGGCCTGACCTACCTTGCAGGGTTGTTGTTCTGAGGATAAAATGGAGAGGAGGAGAATCTTGTAAACCTCCTTGGGCTCCTTGCAAGAGGAAGCCAGGTGAGGTATAAATGTAACAAGGATGAATTCTTTTTCCATTTTAATCAGAGCTGGGAAACGCGTAGGCCTCCAGACATATTGTTCTCCAACTCCCATCATCCTCACCCACCTGGATGAGGCTGATGGGAAGTGGCATGCAATCCGTCTAGTAACATTGGTGGGATCTGTATTGCTTTTCTATTTAAATTATTGGTTGCCAAGTTTGTTTTTCCATGTGACACATGCTTGTGCTGGTCCTGATTGCGCACCTTGCACAACTCTCTCAATTTGCAAATCAGCAGCATCTTTCTCCTCAGCAGACTGAATCAGCCCCACTTCAGCCTCCTGAGGAGTCTGTGCAAACTTCCCACAAACTTCCCATTGCAAAGTGAGCAGAGATGGCAAATGGAAACGCTAGAGAAGAGGTGTGCCTACGTTCGCAGGATCCTGTCCCTTTGGCCCATCACTTGCCCGTCCCTAATTATTCATAATATTCATGTTTTGGTCCAAACAGACTTTCTGCTGTTTTCCATATACTTTCTGTCAACATTTTCTAAACCCGAGTTATATTCTCAGCACTGACCCACCCACCCACCCCTTCCTTCCTATCTCCACCTCCCCAGCCTTAAACAACAAAACCGCCCTCTGGTCCAGGAAGAGGCTGATGGGAACTGTCCACAACATCGCCTGGGAAACGGCCTCTTCACTAGCCATGCATAGTTCCATTTCTCTCCTTCGCATTGTTTTGCCTTTGAATGGTGCCCGATTATGCACTTCATTCAAGCCACAAAAACAAGCATCAACAGGGTGGGTGAAGCCCTCCCAGATTCCTATTGAAAGCATGACGGAAACACCTTGTCACTCACCAGGATGCTGCTTAAAGACTGCTCAAATGCCTTTGTGTGGACAGATTGAATTTAAATGCAGATGAAGTAATGGGCCAGTAAGTGAGCAAAAATGTTAGACAGGGCAGGAGCGGGGGAGCTGTCTAAAGAAAGATGGGGTGGAGCTGGGCGGGACGTGGGCAGAATCCCTTCTGGGGATGGATTATCTGATGGGCTGACAGATCCAGAGAATTAATCCCCCTGTGTGGCCAAGTTTGGATGGTGGCGTTCTTAATTTAACGAAGTCTCAAGCCAGCCAATGGCTCCTATGCTTACAGGCTCAAGGTGGGTAAAAACATTCAGATCTGCAACCCACAGAAAGCTAACACCACCTTAAATAAAAATGCCCATTTTAAAAAGCAATAGGAGCCGACTTCCCCGACTACTGAATTATTGCCCAAATTAGACTACATTAGTCTACAGACCTAACAAAAATGTTCAGGCCATGTACGGGAGAAGAATTGTTCAGAGCATAAAAGGCCATTGGTAGATTGGATGATTGCCCGCATAACACTAGGAATAAAAGAGAGCTATGTTTCAATTGTTTGCTGAAAACAATCTTCCAAAATTCAAAAATGCCCTCATATTGGGGACAGGAAGAACTTGAGATGGGAAGCATGTGGGAGAAAGCGCACCAGATGGGTTTCCACACAGGCGCTTTCTTGATGTGTTTTCACAAGCTTTTCTTTTCATCCTTGAAAACTGAGGCATAGATGCCAGAAGAATAAGTAAATACATTTTAAAACTTATTTTAAAAGTTGCCTGATCTTGATCAGCAACATGTTGAGGCCCTAATTTGAATGGGAAGGCAGTGTGGAGTTCCTGATGCCAGAAACTCTCAGATTCTGTTTTGACCCCGTGTGTATGCCAGGCGTGTTCCTGCTGAAGGCAGCCTCTTCAGAAAATGCCCCGCTTGCTTACAGACTGTTCAGTGTTTGTGGAAAAGGAGGGCTCAGGAATGGCTTCCAAGAACAACAAAATGTGGCTGCGATTTGCAGCCAGTGCTGTGCCAAGAAGGTTTTTCTTCAGAAAGAGAGAGAGAGAGAGAGAGAGAGAGGCAAAGGGGCTGAGGGAGGGAGAGGAGCAGACAGTTCTTGTAAGAAAAGGGGGAGGCAGAAGCTGTGCCAGCCCCAGGTTTTGAGACAGGGCGGTGCAAGGGACCGAAAAGATCCACTGCTCAGAAAGGACGTGCATACATTTGCATGTGTTAGTCTTCATGCACCCAGCGTGGGGATGCGTCTGTAAGGGAGAGTTCCTCCGCAGGACATCCTTATTTATAAAAAGGGGTGTATGGACAGGGCAGAAGAGGGGATTTTGATTCAGAAAGAAACCTCAGGCGGAAAGATTCCAGGGGTGGCCCAGGGGAACCAGCCCTGTGGACACAAAGCCAGCTCATCCAAGGGGGTCAGATGCTTAGGGACCCTGTACCTTTCTTTCAGGAAGTGCCCTGGACAGCAGGGCAGTGGGCGGAGCTGCTACTTCTCCTGGCCCAGAGAGATGCCACTAGCTGCTCGACTTCTCCTGGCCCACTGCCTCTCCGGGGCAGCCACTTGCAGGCTGGCAGAGGGCTTGGAGTTGCCTTGCCCAAGAATCCTCAAAACCCTGAAGGACAACCAGCCAAGTCCCTGGAGTTGCTGGGCTTTCATTACAGACCGGGTCGCCTGGGCTTGACCTCCCCATGTTCCTTCTAGTCTGCAGATCTGTTCGTGGCGCTGGTGTTCGAGCTCCGGTCCCTCTCGGCAGGTGCCCTGTTGAGCCTATGGAGGACAGCCTCATCTGCGTGTCGAGGCGGCTGGTAAGGCAGCGAACCCAGAGGGCTGGTGCAGCACACACACGTGGAGCACTCCAAGGCAGTTGTGAGGAATTTTGTGGCTGAGGAGGGGCGGCCCACGCCGTGGTCCTCTCCGCCCTCTTGCACATGTCAAAAAGAGCCCACTGGGCGGACAACCTGCTCCCCTGCAGCTTAATTCCAGGAAGTCTTGTGCAAGTGATCCCTTCAGGCCTTTGGCAAGATCGATCTGCCTTGCCTTGCCCAGAATCCAGTGGAGAGGAAGATCGAGAGGAGGGGTGGGAAGGGGTCTGTCTCCACCCCCTTGAAGCCGCCATGCATTGCAGGCCTTCTGGCAAAACTCATACTTGGGAGGAAGTCCCGCCTTCTAACCCTCCTTGGGTTCCTCACAAGGATTAAAACATTCGGATATAAATGCAATATAATGATAACATTTGGCCTTTGCATAGCTAGACTTACAAACAGAAATAAATACTGCTCTATATAGAATATAAAGGGGTGCATGTTTCACGCATGTCGTTTGCAATTGATTTATTCAGATTTCCTATAAGAAAACTGTAGTTTTATCTTATTTTGACTCCTACACATTTGTTTTGTTTTAATGAAATCCACAATCCAAAAATCAATGCATGGAAAGAGAATAAACAGGAAGAAGCCGGAGACAGAAACACCGGCTGCAACAAAAGCAGGGAGTCCAAAACATTGCATTTCTTTCCACCTTGGCCATGCCCCTGCACTAATCGGAATGATTTTTCATCCGTAGAAACTCTGCACTTGCAGTGCGGTTAGCTAACCAAACAGATTCTGGATGTGGGACTCCTCGTTTGCAGTGGCCACTGAATTGCCTGTAATTGCTTCCATTAGGCAGTGGTCCTTGGCCTGCACAACTCACAGAGGGGAGAAAGGTCAACGGTTGCTTTTATTAGCAACAAGGCTGGATCCAGGGATTTAGGTCATCTGCACCAGACAAATGTTCCATAGAGGCTTGTTTTCTCTCCAGCCACACAAGCTTTATGGAGACTGTCTCCTGACAGCCTGCCACCCTCCTGGCTCAAAGAGGATGGTCTTTCTGCCTCATGCTCCTTTCAGGAAACCTCTCACGGATGCTCTCCCCTCCTGCGCCACCGAAGCCTGTGTCGTTGTGATGAAAGAGGTCATTGTTTCGGAAGAAGTAGAAGAGGACAAAGTGGAATCTTTCCTTCGGTCACTCGCCTTCCTGCCCAAACCCACCACAGGCATGATCGAGGCGCTAGCTGTAAGCAGACCAGCTGATCGTCCCAGCATGAAATTGGGCTTGGGTGGAAAGATCGTATTGCGTACACACAGGGTGCAACATGTGTGGCGGGCTAGAATCTTGGGCCGCAAAACCACAGTTCTGTGGAGCAAACCAGGCTCTGCCGGGGGTCCCCACCTGTCGCGAGCTGGGCATTCCCTCCCCAACAAGACAGACTCTCCAGCACTTCTCGTAAGCATCTTTGTTCTACATAGAAGACTAAGCATAAACAAGGAGAAAGGCTGAACCCTCTCTGCACGCCCTTACCCAAAGCTTTGCTTATAAACCCTTCAGGGTCCGTCTCTGGAGGGAGGGGGTGCTGCATTCTGCCAGCCTGAGGCTGTCGTGATGGGCCCTTGGGTCCAATTCCTCAGGAGGCGGGCGTTCTTCTTCCAAGAGACTATCCAGTTCCAAAATCTCCTCCCGCTGCATGTTTGTGTCCATCTTCTCCTCTGTTCCCACAGGTGGGGAGACTAGCCCCTGTGGGTGCCCTTGAGCTACTTTCTTCCAGAGCGGGCTCAGACTGGTACTGAGAACCTGGGCCTGCGGGTGCAGGCCTGTCCGTTGCAACAACAACTCTGCTATCAGCGTTTGAGCTCTGAGCCTCATCTGGTTCAGCCTCAGACTCTGAGCTACCAGTTCCACCAAGACGGTCAGCTTCTCATGCACACCTGGGAATCTGCCAGGGCACATGCACACCATAACTCCCAGGCCACTGGAGTTGTCCCCAAAATAAAGTCTCCTTTCTCTTCCCCGAACCATGGAACATTTTACGGGTTCCTGGTTTTCTTCATCCTAAAAAGTTGACATGCCTCTTCAATAATTAGCCATTGGCCATATGAGGTTTAATCCATAAATGCGGATAATCTAGCCAACACTCCTGCTCTATGAAATTCACTGTCAAGAGGTGGCTGCTGGCTTAGATCTCTTTTAACGTGGTCAGGTCATCTCCAACTTGTGGCAATCGTATGGATGAGGCCCTCCATGAAAAGCCCCGCTCAGCTCTTGCCAACTCAAGGCTGAGCCGTCCTTTATGGAGTCGATCCATCTCTAAATTGGTCTTCCCTTTCATCTGCCTTCAGTTTTCCGTAACATGATTGTTTCTCCACTGAGACTGGCCTTCTCGTGCTGTGCCCAAAGTAGGACTGCTTCAGTTTCATCGTTTTGGCTTCTAGGGTGAACAATATAAGCTTGAACTTGGAGCGATCACAGAACTTGGAGAGGTCACAGTCAGGTGATGGAGGTGCCCGCTAACCCAGTCTCCGTGCATTCTACTTCGTAGATTTGCATGTGTCCATGCATTTCTTTCTTCATGCCCCAGACTCTGCTGAAGTTACCAGGAGAAAGACAGAGTGCATTTTTGGGAATATCAGCCCTGGTGAATCACTTCTGCTCCATGAGGAATGACTGTGTCCAGGAACCGGCCGTGAGAGGCATTATGAAGATTCTGGAAGGGCGGCTGGGAAGGAAATGTACCTTGCATGATTCCAGGGGAATTGGACAGGTAAGTCTGCCTGCTGGTTCAGCGTGAGGAACCTCTTTGGGTGTTGACCTCTTTGGTTACATTTCCTTATGGGAAAAATCTCTGGGTAATGGAAAGGCTCGTACCGAAACATTCCATTTGCAGAAGAGTAACTACATTCATCACCGCAAAATCTGCTAAAATCAAGACAATCACTACAGTTCAAGCTTTTGTGGAATAGTGATCTGGTTGTGGAGAAGAGATCACGTTCTTAGGTTCAACCAGCCCTGATCTGACTGTTTTATTTCTAAGATGCTGTGTAGACCTATCTCCAGCCAAAGAGCTACTCTCTGGAAAGCCCATTCTTGTGATAGATAAAGGTACCACTCAAATGCATCTAATTCAGCTTTACTCTTGATTTCCAGATGGAGCTTGTTTTGAAAGCAATTGGAAACGCAGGACTAGCTGCAGCCCCTCTTGCTCCTGTCTTGACATCCTGCGCGATGCTTAAGAGCAACCCCACAGAAATCCGGCTGGCTGCCGTCGAGGCCTTCCGACGCATTCCTTGTGCGAGTGAGGTGGGTCGCCTGCCACTGGCTTACTGGTGCTATGTTGTCATCTGTGCTGTGTTGAATAGAGGATGCGTGTGAGATGGGCAGAGAAGCAGGTTGGGCCGGGGGAGGGAGCAGCGAGGCTTAGGGTCTTCACCGTGTCAGCCTGCCAGCACTTTAAAGACCGGCTCTTCTCATGTACCCCCCATTGAGGGCGGTTAGGTGGATGGCCAAGTGATGGCCTCCTCTGCAGTGGCCCCACACCCAAGACGTCATTGGGTCCTGCAAGGCTTCATCCCTGCAGTGTTTCAAGAAAACCCTGAGAACATCCCATTTTGGCCTTCACCTGGTAGATTTCCTGCTGCGGCCATTTATATTGCTATTTCAGACCAGATCAATTTTCTTATGTATTTTATGTGCATACTGCCTTCTGCCTTGAAAAGCAATCAGGAAATGTTTTAAATAAAGTATGGGGAATACCTCAGGTCATGTATACCTGGCCAGAGAAGAACGGCATCCTCAAAGGAGAGGGCATCAGCTACTCTGCATGTATCAGTGCAAATTTAGAAATAATGATGGGCATTTAAATAGAATCGCCACAAGTCTCACCATAATGGGGGACCTTGCCTGGCTGCTCTACCTGTTGCTCAGGTGCTCAGTGCAGTGCCGAGGCCCCTTTCTAGCAAGGACTGGACAGCCTGTCAAAATGAAGGGATAGCTCTCCCAATAGAGGACTGTTCCCTGCCAAATCGGACACATGGCCACCCTGATGCGAAAGCAGCACTCATATTCCTGCTCTGGAGTGAGGCGCTCGATTGCATTTCCCATTGGCCTTCAGGGCATGGAGACGCCGGTCCCCAGGCCTTGCTTTGAGAGGTCGGTCGGAGCCACCGCAGCCTCCTGCAGCGATCGCATTGCCGTGTTGTTCGTTCCAGCGTGCTGCCTTGCTCCATCTGTATCAAAACTACAATGAGAATGTAGAGATAAGAATTGCTTCTTATCTGATGTCCATGAAATGTCCGAGTGAAGAGTTGTTTAACCAAGTGAAAAGGACTCTGCAGGAGGAGAAATCCAGCCAAGGTAAGACACAACCATTCTTCACTCCTGGGGTGAAGAGCCTTGGGTATGTGGGACGAATCCAGCCATTCGGGGGTCTCCACATGGCACTCTGAGGTGCTCAAGATGCAAGATGGGCCATGTCCATTTCCCTGGCCACATCCTCTTTCCTCAACCCCTGATCCCTTGGTGGTTTTCAAGCTTATGCATGGATTCTCTGCCCCTTATTAGAAGGTTGGAATGCTTTTATCTTCCAAAAATGGAATAGTTCTCTGGTCTGTACTTGCCCCTTATTTCAAATTCAGTGGGTTCCTTCGTCTGGAGTCATCTTTCCGAACTCCTGGGAACAGATGATCCACTGAAACAGCATCTTAGGAATTCCCTTCCGGATGACATCCTTGACAAGCACTTTGATGGGGAGACATGGAAGTATTCCTCATATTCAGATGCTACCATCCGTTCAGGTAGGTTTGAAAATGAAGGGGTGCATCTTACAGACTTCACAATGAACAGATGATCCAGTTCCATCCTTCTGCTTAAGACTGAGGTTGAACGGCCATCAAATCTTCGCTTCCTGCAAGCTTTTTCGGACAAATAGGCAGCATCCAAAGTTGTGCTACCATTCTGCACAATTGGTCTTGCAGTGGTGGGAAGGGATGGTTGCCAACACTTTGCTGGAAATTGGTCAGGGGTGTGTAATATGGGTCACAGATTAATGCAGGTATTTTGCCCTGTCTGGCTCTGAAATCATGAAGTTCCTTCAAATTGGACAAGCCGTCTGTGATGAATGAATGAATGAATATCTTTCAAAATGGCCAGAGTACTGCTCAGCCCTTTCAACTCAAGGCTGGGGTTTCCTTTATGGAATCATTCCATCTGGTGTGAAAATGCACCTAGATTTAATGCAGAAAGGAATGCAGCTCACCATCCGATGCAGACTTGAGTGCAAACGACCTTCTTGATGCAATTGAGAGAACTCTGACAGGTTCATGCTTTGCTTGATTCGCACAGCCCATTTTTGAATATGTGTTGTTATGACTTCGAATGTGTTCTTGGAATTTCAAAAGAAATCCTTCCCCTTGGAAAGCAAGGCTATCAGGGACAGGAGTTCCCACCTAGTGCTCTACATGCAGAGGATGCTGAGCTACACAGCATCATTCCATTGCGCGCATGCATGTGCAGGCGCATGCAGCCGGGGTGGCACAGCAGGTTGCCTTGGCAAGAGTTAGGCATCTCTTAACTGACCGAGATGTTGCCATTTTATATTGCAGCAGGAACGGAAGCAGGTGCAAATGCCGAGACCAGGATCGTCTTTTCACCCTCCTCTTTCATCCCTCGTTCGCTAGCAACCAACCTGACCATCCATCTCCTGGGACGGGCAGTCAATCTCCTAGAGGCAAGTTCTCCAAATCATTTTGCTAATCGCATCCCAAGGGCAGGGTGTCCAAATCTGATTTCTATGCACAGGAATGCAGGATATCTATTCGCTGGAGCCTTGGAAATGGCCTTATCCCAAGCCAGATGGCCGGATCCTTCTAGCTGTGCCCTGACAAGCAGCAGTCCCTCAGGGCTGGAAGCTGAAGTCTTCTGAGCTCTTTCAGAGATGCCCGGCTCCAGCATCCACAGGCTCAATGCATCTGGCTGGAGCACCAGAGAGAGCGCCGAATGAGCACCTGGCTCCAAAAAGGTCTGAGTCCAGACTGAAGCCTTCTATGCATCAGTGCAGACGCCGCCTCTGCCCCTTCCTGCCAAGTGGAAGCCCTTCAAGGGACGGGCCTCCAGCCAGTGCTTGGCACTCCTCTGCTTCTCCAGGAGCTCGGGGAAGAATGCTCATTGCTCTTCCCTCTTTCAGACGTGTTGGCATGATCCGACTCCTGCAGGTTTTACTCCCTGAGCGACGGGGTACTTTGTTCTCCTTTCTGTCATACTTGATCATTGTGTGCTGTCTCATTGTATGTTCATTAGAAAAAGCTGTTTTGTGTTCTCCGCTAGTGGAGATCCTAGTGGTTGAAGTTCTGCAGGTGTGTATATCCGATCAATTAAATGGGGCTGGCTCAAATTTCCTGAGCCGGCCCTGTAGCCTTCCAAACACTCTGCCTAATTTCCTAGGTTGGGGTAAGGCTGGAGAATGTGGAGGACACAGTGCAGAAATTCTTTGGCTTCCAGCCAGTTCAGAACGCCAAAGGAAGTTTCTCCAGGCCGGAGCCTCCAGATGAGACCATACACCAAACTCCTCCAAATAAGCCAAGACCCAAGAGATTCAGCCACCACGGTGACCTCCCTCCCAAAGAACACAAGCCCAGGTTAAGAAAGGAGGAGAACTGCCCAAGGGAGCAGTACAATAAGATGAGTGAGTTAGTGAAACAGGTAACTTACTCTGTGATGTATTTTTCATCTAGTACTGTCTAATGCTATTGGAAATTCTCTATTAGCAGAAAGAGCACATTGGAATTGTCCTGTGGGTCTTTAGTCCCATATTTGCCATGTCCCAGTTTTAGGGGATCTCAAGCAAAGTCTGTAACACAACATTTTTGAAATGTTTATGAAGAGGGGCCCATTGGAATCAGAAAGCCTGGCACCTAATTCTATCGAGACAGACATGCTCAGGATGCCCCCATAAATGAATCAGTGCATCTAATAAATGCAGAAGGAAGGAGAGGTCTTAGGACAAGGGAAGCAGACATCCCTCTCTGCTCCTCTTCCAATACCCCCGGCGGTTATTTGAGTGAGGCAGGGCAAGGAGGCAATGCCAAAGTCCAGTATTCAGTATGACGCCTGCACATGAACTGTTCTGTTGAGCTGCTGTGCCCTTCAAGGGGCCCGGCTCCAGCAGGTTACAGCTCTAGACACTGTGAATGGCCATCAACACAGATGGATTTGCAAGTGGACTGAACAAATTCCGGGAGGGGGAGGGGAGGCGGCGATGGCTCCCAGTGTGGAGGTTGGGCCCACTCCTCCTATTATTATGATAATATTATTATTATTATGAGAGCCAGTGTGGTGTAGTGGTTAAGAGCACGGGACTGGGACTCAGGCGATCTGGGTTCTAGTCCCCGCTCAGCCATGGAGCCAACTGGGTGACTTTGGGCCAGTCACAGACTCTCAATCCAACCTACCTCACAGGGTTGTTGTGGGGATAAGTTGGAGGAGGAGAATGATGTAAGCTGCCTTGAGCCCTTTGTAGGAAAAAGGCAGGATATCAATCAATCAATCAATCAATCAATCAATAAAATTAGACAGCCTGCAAAGGTGCCTGAATCAGATTCAGTGGTTTTATCCACCAGGCCCAAGTTCCTGGCATGGCCCCTGGCTTCCCTCGGGGAGCAGTGCATGCTCATCCTTGATGCAGACGCTTGAGGTCCTCACCCCCTTACATCCCAGTGATAAATGCTTCCTCACCAAGCAACCAAAAAAGAGAAGGAATTGCTTTCTGACACTCGCTTTCCCGCTGAGTTGGCATTCTAGCTCGCTCACGTTCTGTCCCTGTGCTTCAGTTTACCAAAAGAATGGGAAAGAAGAAGCCCAGATGTGCTCTGAGCATGAGAATCTTTGGGAATGAGCTTGTCATTCTGGACTGTGGGGATCTCAGAAGTCAAGCCAAACACCACTACCTGAATCTGGCAGAACTCATGGTGAAACTATTGAAGGTAAGCAAATCAGGAATGGGTAAACAGCCTTCCCCACGGGAAGTTTTGGACTAGTCAGTTCCAGCGTTGCCAGCAGGGATGATGGGAACTAAGTCAAAGGCATTTTCCAGTGTTGGCAAAGCCCCAGCTTTGGGCCAGCCACCCTCTCTCAGCCTAACCAAGCCATCGCAGCATTTTCAGCTGTTCTTGGCTGTGGCCTGGCTGAGCATTCCTGAAATTGCAGTCCAACACATCTGAAGGGGACCAGGATGGCTTCCTAATTCGACCCGGTGATGGTGGGACACCATCCTTGTCTCCCACTTCAAATCCTCCAGCTATCAATGCCCATCAGCCAGCAACCTCTGTCACACTTCTCGTGGAAAACTGTTCTTGCATTGTGACTTTATGCTCTCGTATGTTTTTCCTGCCTTCCCGTTCTAACCTTCCAACAGGGACAAGACATCCAGTTTAACAAAAGGATGAGTTTGGCAACAGAGGTGCTTCAGTTTCCATCCCTCTCTGGTTTGCCGGTCCTACTTGCCCTGAACGCCTCGGCAGCAGTCAACGTGACGATGAAGGGCAACCTGGACTTCAAGTCAAGGCACCATTTCTTTGTCAACGGCTATATCAAGCCAAGGTCGAGTCTGGCTTTTGAGTGGGGCAGGGTGTGCCATTTAAAAGCAGAGACTGTTGGAGCAGGGCTGTTCAACCAAGCTCTATCGCAGAGAAGAGATAAAAGTTTGATCTACAGAGAAATGGAATTGTTCAGATTCCATGTGCCCTGGTAGTTCTCACATATCAACAGGGGCAAGCAGTAGATGTTGCCAGTAATCTCTCCAGCATTTCACGGGTGAACACAGACGTTTCTGTGTAACACACTATTCATTTTCAGGGGTTATTTATCCATCTCGTTACAGAGCCCACAACATTTTGTTGCAATGTACAGTACTCCTGTTATCTGGATATCCTGCCACTTTTTATTTTATCATATTGATCAGGCAATCAATTGCTTTTGTAAACCGCTTTCTACCAAGATCGATGGCACCCGATAATACTCACTTAACACTGTGACCCTTTGAGCAGCCACAATCCTCATTGGACCTTTTTGGAGGTTCCTCCCAGGTTTTATTTCTAAAGGATTCTTTGTACTTCTTGCTCCATGTCAGCTAGCAAGCCCCGTTACAGAACGGACCTCATATCACAGAGCAGCAGGTGATTGGGATTACAGAAACTCTGCTATGGATCTGGTTCAGGTCTTGCGGCCAGTTGGGCTCATGTGGAATTATTACAGTTGTCTGTCTGTCTGTCTGTCTGAATTATAAACCTCTGCCATACCTCTATAAGGCTCTCGGAAAGGTATAGAGTATATTAGAGTTTGTGTGCAAATTTAAAATACATTTTAAAACTAATTTATCATATATAGTAGATCTACTCCATATTAACCAAACGATAGCAAGTGTATTTAACTCGGTATGCACTGTTGCTAATTTTTTATTTTTCATAATACAAATAATAATAATGAAAAGTTAGAAACATAATCAAATTCAGACCAGTGAAATCACCCCTGATAGTAAAGAAGGTTTGCAGAATCATGAACTTAATCAGTTCAACATAGAACAGAGACTCCATTTTTATCAAAAGAAATGATTTATTGCATTACCTCTCTCCACTCCTGTTACGGATCTTCTTTCCACTTCCTTCTTAAGACAATACGCTAAATATCTCCCACATTAGTTTGCATGTTCAAAATGTTTTCAATTTAAAAATCTCAACTTCTTTTGTATCTCCTCTGTCTCTAACACGTCTAGTTTATTTCTTAATTGTCTAAATTCAGTTCAAATTAATTTGTCTTGTTTTTTATGATGATCCCCGAGTATTTGAATTCATTTCAAAAGTCCTTTCTTTGTGCTGACCTCTCTCTTTCTTCATCAGTCAAAACTGTCTGTTCAGAGGAATTCTTTAATTGTCTTTTAAAAGAAAAAGAATGGGGTTTTCACACTTGTCTGCATTCCTTTGTGCTGTTATTGCAGTGCTGTCTTTCAATTATCTGCTCAGATGGGAACAGTGGGAGCTCTGGGGAAAACTGGTCTGAGCTGGTCAATGGGACTGAGGTCATCCACTAGCCTTGATGGAGGGATCCAGGTGAAGAAGGGGAAGGAGCTTAAAGTGTTTTTGAATACTCCTGAAGAATCCATGGAAATCGTTGATTTCAGGTAAAAACATCCAGGGGTATCCGCATTGTTTACCTAGGTATGTCATTACAGCCGACTCCAGTGGCCCTGGGGGCCCTCCTCCATCGCAGCTTCTCTTTCCAGCTGCATGGGAGCTATCCATGGTGCTGAACGCCGTGCCCAGGTTAGATTCAGTACCATGGATAGCTCCCGTGGAGCTGAAAAGAGAGTCTTCAATGGATGAAGATCCCCATTGACTTTGGAGCCCCACCCTGTCCAGTCCTTGCCCCCCATATCTCATCAGCTCCAGCCAGTGCAGCTAATGATCAGGAAGGAAACGAACAGAATCTGGCGGGCCGTGGGCATCTACACAATGCTCATATTGCCTCTGGTGATGCAGTTGTTGTCCTGGGAGCCGAGGAGATCTGAGTTCTAGCCCCTAAGCCAAGCCCCTCATTATTCTCTTTGTGCTGCTCATGCCATGAAGACTTGCAGCCTAGCTCCAGCAAAACCAACATGAAAGTATCTCACCCTAGCAAGTCCAGCTCTAGCTAGGCAACCTACTGATAGTCGGGCTTAGAGGAAAGGCGGGCAGATTCCCACAGGCACCCCATAGTTAGGTGCTGGAATGCAGGCTTTGTTATCATCCCTGATAGCAAAACCCCGCCCATCAATGGGTGCCCATGTGATGAGGCTGGCCGTTGTCCTTCGGCTCTGCTGAGCCAGGCCTTTAGCTGAGGCAGACAGGGTGAGGCCTTGGCCCCGCAAATGGAAGACCTGCATGGGCTACATCTGCCCAGAGCCTTAGGCTGGATACTGGCCTGCCAGATGGCCATGCCCCTTTCCCCAGACTGCTGATAGTGTTGCAAGTGTAAGGAGCTGCCCATTGTGCTGAAGCCCGTCCTCAGAACAGGCTCTGCACTGCCGCTGGCTCCTTTACGTTCAGCCTGGAACTTGGGGTGGATACACTGGCCTCCCGCACTGCGTCCTGCAGGCGTTGCTACTCGGAGACCTTCAGCCTCTGAAATTTACCAATGGCCTCTTCACTAAGCATTGGTTAGAAAGGTGGGGAAAAGGGAATGCCAGTTTTGAGTACTGTCTTTCCTTCTCTACTGCAGCTCTAAATTATTTTTAAGAACAGCAGAGGAAACAGAAACTGTGGAACGTTTCTCAGACCACATCGAAACTAAATCTTGCACAAATGAAGATGGTAAGGAGACTGCAGCGATGCTTTTCCAATATATTAGAACCATTTTCGTGTTGTTCCTAAACATGGGCGAGAGCAAGTTTTTTATGATCTTTAGTGAATGCAGAAAATAGAAATTCTGCATATGGAGCTGTATTTTACAGCAAAAGAAGAAAAACAGAACTGAACTGGAACTGATTTAGGGCATAACCCCCTCCCCTCACAACCTAATAATCCTAACTCAAATTTGCTGGCACAGTAATTATGCAATTGAACATCCTGCATAGTTCTGATAGAAATTAAACAGTTCAGTGGTTCTTGCTCAGATTAATGCCTATCAGTTTTGCTGATTTTTTTCATTTTTCCATCCTTAAGTGAGCTTCATTCTAGGATATTTTCACCAATATATGCATGTGTGTGTTTGTGGGTGTATGTAGACTTCTACAGTTTTGCATGCATTTTTGATCAGCAAATTGAGTCACAAAATCCAGAAGTGCAAATGCCAAAGGATAGCTCTGCTTCAGTTCACATACTGATTCTGGAAGTGCAGGTAAGGTATGTGCACCTTAAAAAGTGAAGTGAAGAATTGTACCCTCCATCCTGAATCACTGAACTGAACTGTCTGCTTGATATGTTTTATAATGCCAAGCCTCACTGGAGGAATCACAGAGGAGAAAGATATCAAGGGGCAGCTCATGCCAGAAATCCAAGAGAATCCCAGAGCTTTGGCAGAGTTGGCTTTGGTGCATCCCATCAACTCCATAGACCCTGAGAGAGAAGAGAAATAGTTAGTTAGTTGGTTAGTTAGTTAGTTAGTTAGTTAGTTAGTTAGTTAGTTAGTGAGTTAGTGGATTTCTTACCTTCCCCATTAGCCACATGACTCCCGGGGTGGGTTACAACATCTCCGTAGCTGAAACTTCTCCGTTTCCTGAAGCTTTTCATATTGCCTGACTACTACAGAGCACCAAGCAGTCAACTTTAGCTAGAAAACCAAGCAAATGTTGGCTCTTTTGGTACCTAAGAGCTACTTCCAATTTCATCTTTCTGTTAGATATAGCCTGATGCTGCGCAAAGAAGATGTGGGCCATTGGGAGGTCTAGGGGCCTAAATGCCCCTCAGATTTCTGAAAGATACTCAGTTCTGCTTTTGGCCATGCTGGTAAGGGGATGCTTCTGAGCGCCACCTGCCCTTGGGGATTTTCTGGATAGTCTGCTCCATAACATCTTACTTGCAAATAGGCATCATGTTCTCTTGGATTAGCCCAAGCAAACCATCTCTTTCTGGCTTCCCTCTGCTTTTATACCCAGTGTCCAAGGCACTCGGCTGGCAACTGTGCTCAGAGTTTTCTTACCCTGCCAATGAAACCAGTGGCTTCCTCTTCCCTTTCTTCAGACCAGCAAAAGCTGCCGTAACATTAAAGAAGCAGGACAGAAACCTACACCAGTACTTACTAAAAGCTGCCTACAGTTATAATGCTCAGGTTGGGATCCTGTTATTCAGTCTGTATTTGTATTATATGTCTAGACGTTTCTGTGGGGAAAGGGTTGATCCAAGGATTCATCCATTCATTCTCTCAACTTATCAATAGTCTTCACCTCTGCGCTTCTTCCAGTTCTGGAAAACGGGGCAACTAACCACACACACACAGAGAGTGTAGCATCCTTGCAATGGCAATATTTTAAAACAGCAGGATCTCTGACCTTATTGGACCCATGGGCATGTTTGCAGATGTCAGAAACTGCTGTGGGGCCACCACAAGATGGGTCCTGCAGAGGGTGTGGCTAGTCAGGTGGCTGCCTTGGAGTCAAAGGCAAGTAATTCATGCAAGAATCCAGGGACATGAAGAGAAGAGGTCTCAGCTCTGAATCCCATTAACACATATGACCTCAGTTGGGGGCATCTTGGTCCATCCATGTCCTCTCCAAGGTGGGCAGGGGAGATGTGAGGCAAGCAAAGCTGGTACCTGATGAAAGGTGGGGGTAATGGATGTCATGGAAGGCATATGCCCATCCTCTGACACCCACCTGCCTTGGGTGATTAAGGTAAGCTCCCCTGCTCTGGGCAAACAGAGGCGTTTTCCCCCAGACTGCAGCGGTTGACCCTTCTGCCACACACGCCAGTCCCCCTTCTCCCATTTATCTTGCACAGAGGGGTTCCTGGATCCCAAACGAAGCTGGCCTGCATTTCTTTATGGGGACTCCAAAAGCAGAGCTGCAAAGGGATGTGGCCATCCACATCCATGCCAGCCTCCCCCAGAAGAAATTTGGAATTGAATTTATCCACCCAAAGAGAAAAATAAGAATGAACGGTAAGGAGTTTTGCCAAGAGGCTTTGCGTTTCGGCTTAAAGGCCCCTGAAGTGAGAGGCTGATGGCTTCTCTAAGGGTGGAGCAAATTCCACTGCATTGCCACAGATGCCTGGCTGGGGATCCTGAGCCTTATGGTCAGGCACAACTGGCTGCAGAAGCCTGCATTAGTGGGCGGAGATCATGGTTCTACCTCTGACCTCTCAGGAAAGGTGGGCGCACTCGCTCGCGCGGGCATCCTTTTCCTCCCCGTAAAGTCGCAACCAGCCTTTAAGGTTCAGCTTGTACAGCTCACTGTCTGCGCATAATGCTCAATCATCATGTGGCCTGGCTTAGACAATGCCCCTTTCCTTTCAGATGTAGGCCCCAAGGCCATGTTCTCCCATAAAAAGAGTATTTTATTCATTTATGTAAACCATTTCTATGCCGCCCCATTCGCAAAAAGCCTCGGGGCGGCTTGCAACGTAAGAACCTTATTCTCTGCTTGCCTAAGTTTTATTTGTTTGTTTGTTGATTGGATTTCTATGCCACCAAGAACTCAAAGTGACTCACATTCTCCTCCTCTTGCTCTCAGTCTTATCCCCAGAACAACAGCCCTGTGAGGGAGGTTGGGCCGAGAGTCTGGGACTGGCCCAAAGCCACCCAGTTGGCTCCATGGCCGAGCGGGGACTCGAACCCGGATCGCCTGAGTCCCAGTCCCACGCTCTTAACCATGACACCACACTGTCTCTCTGTTTTGCATGAGATGTGTTTCTTTTGCCAACATGGCGGTATCTGCTGAACTGCCGGTACTAATGTTCTGCAGAATATGTTGAAACCTGTGAAATCTTGATCTGTCATTTGGTGGGGAACTTGCTGTGCTCGTGTCCTGCGTGTGGGCTCCTGCCCAGGGTCGTGTGGACAGAACGCTGGCCTGGACGGAGCCTGGTCTGATCCAGCAGGGCTTGTCTTATGGCTGAGAAATGGTGTTTCCTCTAGCCAGTGCCAGGCCATAACTCCCTCTCACACAAAAGCAGCTTGCACCTAGAGTTATTATTATTATTATAACATTTCTGTGCCGAAGCCTCGGAGTTGTGCTAGTCTCCCTCGCATGTGGATTATTCTGGTTCTCGGCTGCTGAGGGGCGAACTGGCAATTCTAACTAAGTTTGTTCCTATTCCAACCAGGAAGAATCGAAACCTTCAGGAACACCCGTGCTGGGCATCTGGAACTAATACTAGATGACGGCAGTTTCTATTATATCAAGGTAGGTGCACTCAAAATATAGCACAAAGTCAAAGATGTACGGCACACAGCGGCAAATGCACATCTTGTGTTTCCTGATCATTCCATGTCAGAAGATCCATAATGCATCCCATTACTATTGTTAGGAAAACCGATACAAGTCCTACCGGAAAAACATGGAGTAGATACCCTGCAGAATGAAAACTCTGCTTTATGCAAATATGCCCCGTGCTCACTTCCCAAACTTATACACAGAGTGGAAGTCACGGCATGCCAAACCCCACTTTTCAGAATTTTGGGGCCCACTTAGTAACCCAAGAAATGTGCTCATAAATCCATGTATGAAAGAAATATGCACACAAATATGTGTCTATTTGGGGGAAATACACACAAAATTCCATAATTTAAGGGAAATATGTTTATTTATTTAAACTTTTATATGCCACCTATTTCACCATGGCATCTCTAGGTGGCTAACAACAGATAATTTAAATACTTTATAAAACAAGGTGGCTAACAACAGATAATTAAAATACTTTATACTTTATAAAACAGTATAAATTAATATAAAATTGTATTGTTTTTAATGTATCTTTATCCAAGTGGAGGCAAAATCCTTGCTACTTTATGAAAGGGCATACAATGATGTGTATATTGGAAGAAATGAGCACAAAATACATACATTTTCAGTTGTGGAAAATGAGAAACAATGCCAATCTGATTGACCTCCTCCTCCTCCTGCAGGGAAGGTCAGATCTGCAAGCAGTGCCTGGAGAGCAGAGGTACTCAATCCACCTGGAAGCAAAGCTGCTAAAACATGGAAGCCCCATCATCCTCTCAGGAAACGTGACAAAGCAAGCCGGCAAGAAGATGGCATTTTCAGCATCCTTGATTAACCTGCTGAAGGACACTGCTTTTCTTGCAAGTAAGAACTTGCAAGGAGGGATATAAATGGGTCATTACGTCCAGGGCAGAGTAGGTCTCTCTGCTAGCTGCTCCCCCCCGCCATGCTGAAGTGCAACTAGATATTCTCCTCCATTAGCCACATGGAGTATTGTTTTTAAGGGTCCCCGTAACAACCTATTAGTCCTGCAAAGTAAATGTGGCCTGACTGACCCCCTCAAAACCCCCTGCTTCACCCCCTTGACCAGCCGGATTTGTTCCCTCCCTCCACCTGATGCCCTTCACCAGCAGCCCTTCACAGGTTCCATGTAGCCACTGTTTCTCTTGTTTCCTTCAGTGTGTTTGGAGAAAAAGGCAGACGACAAGCTGAAGCAGTATTCTTTGGAAGGGGAAGGCCACCTTCCAGGGGTGCTCGGCTCCCACGTCATTGCTCTTCTGCAGCAACGAGGGCGTGTTTGGTCCAGTGCCCTGAGAATTAAATACGGATTGTTCGGTACTTCATCCTTTTACTGTATTAAAACACACACACACCCCAAACACACATTTTTATGCTTTATTCCTTTTGCCCACACAATATCCGGTAACCGATTCAAAGACTGGAAGGATATTTCAGACCAAGAGCTGTGATCCCAAAGGTCATAGAATCATAGAACAGGAGAGTGGGAAGGGGCCATGAGGGCCATCAGGTCCAACCCCTGCTGTTGCAGGACACCACGTCACACCATCCCACCCAGGTGATGAGTACCTGCAGTTTTCCACACCCAGCCAGAAGGAAAGGGGGGACCTGTTGATGCCCTTGATGCTCTGGGCGGTAGTAAGCTTTTTGTTTGGAGTGTTTAGTAAACGGGAACTCAGTGCAAACCCTGAGGCTTGTCTTGTTTAGGGGTATAGTTGAGGTCTACTCGGAGTGACACCCTATGGCATCAGGCTTCTCAGTTCTACTCGGGGTGGCCGTGTGTCAGTCCTTTATTTGAACTTGAAGGTCTGCCAAGGACAGTCCTCTTCCTGCGCTCTGCTTCTGTTTCAAGTGCTGCTCAGCCAGACAGAACAGAGTGGCCAGACTCTCCCAACCAGGTGCCTCACAGATGCTTTTGACTACAACTCCCACCATTCCTGACTCTTGGGCATGATGGTGGACGGGAGCCGTAACCCAAAACGTCTGGAGGGCACCGTGCTGCAGGAAGCTTTGGTGTGGCCAAGCAGCGCCGCCTGTCTGTCCTTCCTGTGAGGCGCGAGCTGAGCCTTCCGTGCTCGCATTCGTTCTACCTGAATGCTGGGCAAGGGGGGGCATTCCCTGTCGTAAGGCTGGCCTTTTCCCCTCTGTGTGAACATGTGTCGGGAGCAGGCAAGGCGAAACAGCTTCAGCATGAGTGTAACATGGGCCAGAAGTTAAAAGTGGAGAACCGCTTGCGGGAGGCCGACACACTGGATCTGGACCACGAGCTGCACTGCTCTCAGATTCTCACCTACAACCACAAGGTATGTGGCCAGTGAGGGACACAGGACCCAGGGCTTGGCCATGGACCCTCTGGGGCACGCTTCGGTCTATCTATTTTTATTTATTTACTCGGTTTATGCATTGCACCCAGTCGTGCCACACAGGTCTCCTTCGTCACACCATTGCAAGTTCCCCATTCCTCCAAGTGGTAGGAAGTCCCAGGTTGCTTCTTAATGGGCTCGGTTTTGCTGAAAGGAGACTGTCCTGAGGACCTGCATCCTCACTGTTATTTTTAATGCTCAAAGAGATGTGAAGGAAGGTTAACTTGTTGAATGCAGCAGTTGGGACCTGTAACAGAAGGACCTGATGGTGTGACATTTTGTCGCAGGTCCCACCTGTCGAGATCTGGAGCAAAGTAGCACAACAGCAGGGGGATTCTCTTTGTGGGTGGCAAAATATTGCAGGAGTGGAAGGGCTGGTGATGGCGGCCCCAGTGCTGTTTTGGCGAAACATCACACCTCTACCTCCCAGTCATAACAGTACTGGTGTGTAAAAAATTGTATAAAAAATTAAGATGCTGTTGTGCAGGTTCGTCTGCATCATGAAGAAACCGCATCTCAGCTGCAGTCCCAGCTGGAGGTGAACTATGGAAAACACTGGGATGAAATCAACAATAGGAAAAGGGTGACGATCAGCCAGATATTTAGAAATAACTCTTACCCAGCTTTGACCAGCTATTTCATGGAGGTAAGAGAAACTGGTGGGCAAATTTATTTATTATTATTTATTTTATTTAAAACTTTTGTAAGTCGTCCCTTATGCCTTGGAATCTCAAATGGGACCTTTTCTGGAAAGTGGGGCGCGCCGTCACCAAACCTGAGCTGATGACTTAAAACCCCCCAAGCAGCTGCTGAGATCCGAGCTGGCATGGACTGGTAGCTTTCTTTCAGCTCCAGCTGATCCATCAGCTGCATCCCTACCTGGAGAACGACTGCCTGGCGACAGTGACACACGTGTTGGTGACTTCCTGACCTGACTTCTGTAACGCGCTCTACATGGGGCTGCCCTTGAAGACAGTCCGGATACTTCAATTGGTGCAAAATAGAGCTGCCAGGCTGCTGACGGGGACTGGGCTTTATGTTCACATGAGTCCAGTCCTCCGTCAGCTTCACTGGCTTCCCATTGAAGTCCGGGCCCAATTCAAGGTGTTGGTGATGACCTATAAAGCCCTTAACGGCTTGGGTCCTGGTTACCTGAAGGAGCGCTTACGTCCATATATGCCCACCCACCCCTTGAGATGTGCAGGAGAGGCCCTTCTCCGGGAACCCTCCGTGAAGGAAATTAGGAGGGTAAGTACTCGGAGGAGGGCTTTCTCTGCGGTGGCGCCCAATCTATGGAATGCGCTCCCCAGAGAGGTCCGCCTGGCGCCGAAAAACA